TATCTAGAAGACGTCCATTTATTTACTGTAGTCGTGGAAGTGATGGAGTGCAGGACTACAAACCCGAAAATCTTGGGTTCCGATCCTTTAGTCTACCCAGCAAAGCTGGTTACCTGTAACACGATCCCATTATACTGATCTCCTGGAACAAGTCAACAGCACATCGCCTACCCTATCAACAGCCAATTCCATAGGTTATCTATCTTTTAGGTATGTTTTTTCTACAATCCTGACAATTGTCGTGAAAATAAAATTATTATTTTTTTTTACATGCAGAGATCTGATCATTTCTTGTCAACAAATGTATTTCAACACCCAAACTAACCCAACCCTACACCAACCACTGACGTGAACCCAACCCTACACCAACTATCGACGTGACCCCAACCCTACACCGACCATAGATGTGGATCCAACCCTACACCAACCACTAACGTGAATCCAACCCTACACAAACTTTTGACGAGAACCCCACCCTACACCAACCACTGACGTGAACCCAACCCTACACCGACCATAGATGTGGATCCAACCCTACACAAACTTTTGACGAGAACCCAACCCACACCGACCACTGACGTGAACCCAACCCTACACCGACCATAGATGTGGATCCAACCCTACACCAACCACTGACGAGAACCCAACCCCACACCGACCATAGATGTGGATCCAACCCTACACAAACTTTTGACGAGAACCCAACCCCACACCGACCACTGACGTGAACCCAACCCTACACCGACCATAGATGTGGATCCAACCCTACACCAACCACTGACGTGAACCCAACCCTACACCGACCATAGATGTGGATCCAACCCTACACCAACCACTGACGAGAACCCCACCCTACACCAACCACTGACGAGAACCCAACCCTACACCGACCATTGACATGAACCGCTCCGGTCAATGTATCCCACAATGCCACCGCGTCCAGTGCCGTGAATAAATCATGACGTCACGGCCGACTCTTTAATCTTTCAGCACCACCGCAGGTCCGGCTTTCAACCGGCTTGCAATTATGACGTCATTAAATATGCTGTAATTGCTTAATCTGTGCCCTCGACAAAAGGTGAAGAGATGTGTGTACTGTGTGCCGGGGAATGGGTGTCACATAGGTAGAAATAATGGGTATTAAAAGTTAGATTCGAAAAAAAAAGTGAAACTGGGAAATCACGTGTAAATGTATCCCTTTTGTGACGTGTTGTCTGGCCTGTAAAAACATAATTATGTACTTATATCTAAACAGGATTTACAATTATAAAAAAAGAAAAAAAAAACGATTAACGATTTTGTTTGTAGTTTAGTTTTGCTAATCTTAGTGTATTTAATTTTAATATGTTTTTAATAACTTGCCATTTTTTTAATTCTTTATTCATTTTTTATAAACAATATTTTCAAATAACTGACGTAAAAATGTTATTCCTCATTCGAATATCGTTAACTAAGTCAACCGATGATCATTTTAATGTTTGGGGTTTGGAATTACTAGAACGATGAGGTCTATCACAGGTAGAAACAGGAAAAAGAATTTCTCGCACCCTGCAGCACCATAAAGCACCCAACAGCACCATACAGCACCACACAGCACCACACAGCACCTTGAATGAAAGCACGCGAGGCAGCGTCAACAAGACGACAAGAAAATGGCGACCATGTTGGCAGTCTAGGAGACATTGAGCACTGACGTCATTTACAGAACAGTTGACTTTTTCTTTAGGCGTTGGTTTCAATATGTTTTAACAAATAGAGCTATCCTACTCTTGTTTAATGTGATCGTTTAGTCTAGTGCTCGCTTTATTGTCATGCAGTCTTAGGAATCTTACAGACAAGTCACTAGCGCAGGTAGATCTAGATCTCACTCACACCTTGACTTGAAGTAGTAGAGCTAGGTTTAGGTCTTGATTCGTAGATCTACCACCTAAATCTAGTATCTTTAGTTGCATGAAACTGGTAAGTTGCATCAGGGTATACCACAATCTCATACGCCATCGATTATTTACTTATGATGTACTAGGTAATCTGGTCAACACCACCTCCCCTGTATCTTAGACGGCATCGCTTTTCGCCTAAAGATACAGATGTAAATCTATGTAACTTTCAAATGTGTTAAATTAACTAAACAAATTAGATCTTGCCTCCATGGATGTGAAGTGGGGAGGGGCACTTAAAACTTTCGGTATGGGGGGAGGCGGGGTACAATTAAAACTAAACTTGTTTCTATATGAGGGTGTTTGTACATTAATAAGAACGTGGCGGCTTTTAGCGTTTTATTATAATTATCCCACAGTCTATATTGTATACTGGCGTCGGTCTATGTTGTGTCTGTGATGAAAGCCTACTGTCTCGACTAATGCCACAGTGGTAATTATGGCGCACTAATCATTAGTGCACTGAATAAATTATGGTTTTCTGTATCCTTAGTTTTTCGTTGTTTTAAATCAATATCTGTTAAAGTTAGGACCCCTGACGACCCCAGGCAAGTGCACCTAATGCACATGTCGTTGTTTTAAATCAATATCTGTTAAAGTTAGGACCCCTGACGACCCCAGGCAAGTGCACCTAATGCACATGTCGTTGTTTTAAATCAATATCTGTTAAAGTTAGGACCCCTGACGACCCCAGGCAAGTGCACCTAATGCACATGTCGTTGTTTTAAATCAATATCTGTTAAAGTTAGGACCCCTGACGACCCCAGGCAAGTGCACCTAATGCACATGTCGTTGTTTTAAATCAATATCTGTTAAAGTTAGGACCCCTGACGACCCCAGGCAAGTGCACCTAATGCACATGTCGGAAGCCATCTTTAGCTGAACTGACGCTAGTGCCAGACGGAAGTGAAAAACCTGGCAAGGCTTGTCTCTCACATAAATCGTCTTGACCCAACCCACCAGAGGCGGGTAAAGCCTGGGTGGGACCCTTGGTCAGACATTGCCAGTGGCCGTTAGAATTGTATGACACTAGAAGCAGAACCATTGAACACTAATGTAGCAGCTACCACAGGCGTAGCGAGGGGGTGGGGGTGCGGACCACACCGGATGACACCATTTAGGGGAGGGGGTGACACTAAGGCAAAAAAATAGCAAAATATATAGAGAAAATTTGAGGCGGGGGGTGCAAATCGTAAGTTTGATGGGAGGGGGGTGTGCAAATCGAAAATTGAAAGTTTGTCCACGGGAAGGGTCGCTACGCCTCTGGGGGTGACACCATTAAGTGCCGCACCGGGTGACACCCGACCTCGCTACGCCACTGGCAGCTACCCTTTAGTGTGGCTTCATTGGTTAGCACTTTATATGGTTTTCTAGTGAAGGAGGGGACCTAGGGCTATTGCGGAAATGTAGATTTAGTTTATGTTATACCTGCAAAAAATAAATCTACTTCGTGAAAATATATTATTAACTGTTCATCTGGATCATGTGTTTAAGTAATGGATTATTTTACTTGCGAGACATTGTCGTAAGCAGTGACGTCACTAGATAGGGCGTCACCGGGTGCGGTAATTTGACAATAAGGGGTGGACCAATACAATCTGAGGCCCCATGCTGCCCTCTAGCCCCACCTTAAATCCGCCGCTGTAGCTGAAATCATAAAGCCTGGTCCATGAAACAGTCCGTCACTTAATTAATACCTGACCCACGGACAGTTAACATGTAAACAAACGGCTCCTAAATCTGTCCCTCTCGTGGTCATGTGATCTGACCGTAGACAACCCAGGAAGATGTAACCTAAATTTATGGCTCCCACAACAGTTAAACCTGCTAGTCACGCGAGCGCTTAAAAAGTCGCTGAATGAACCAAATCGATCTATGGCCATCATGTAATATTTCAGCGTGAACAGTGTTTGAATGAACTAAATCGATCTATGGCCATCATGTAATATTTCAGCGTGAACAGTGTTTGAATGAACCAAATCGATCTATGGCCATCATGTAATATTTCAGCGTGAACAGTGTTTGAATGAACCAAATCGATATATGGCCATCATGTAATATTTCAGCGTGAACAGTGTTTGAATGAACTAAATCGATCTATGGCCATCATGTAATATTTCAGCGTGAACAGTGTTTGAATGAACCAAATCGATCTATGGCCATCATGTAATATTTCAGCGTGAACAGTGTTTGAATGAACCAAATCGATATATGGCCATCATGTAATATTTCAGCGTGAACAGTGTTTGAATGAACCAAATCGATCTATGGCCATCATGTAATATTTCAGCGTGAACAGTGTTTGAATGAACCAAATCGATCTATGGCCATCATGTAATATTTCAGCGTGAACAGTGTTTGAATGAACCAAATCGATCTATGGCCATCATGTAATATTTCAGCGTGAACAGTGTTTGAATGAGCTAAATGTATCGATGGCTATGGGAACGACCATAAATGACGTCACACTCGTAAGGGCGGGGGTGAGGTCTGTAACTTTGTGACGATATGTGACGGAGAGGGGAGGTAAAAATCGTCAAAAAAGTGTGACATCATTTATGGATGACCCACCCCCACCCCTATCTTGTATTATTTCAGTGTACATTGTTTGAATGAACTCAGTTGATCTCTATGGCTATCGTGTAATATTTCAGTGAGCAGTGTTTGAATGGACCCAATTATCAGTGTGAGCAGTAACTGTGTGAGGTGACGTGGTGAAGAGATTGTAGAGCCTTGACGTCCCTACGACATGCCACACAATCAACGTACGCTTGCCATTTGTTTTCTTATTATATTCAAACTAAACTTTACACGAACTTTTTAAAACCTAGCAATGACGGTTAAAAGTAAATGTGTTTTGTTGTCTTTGATAACAATTTTATGCAAGTTCTTGTTTGGTATGTAGTTGTTTGTTGTTGTTCATTTCGTTGTTTGTGAATATTGAGTCTGTCATTTATTTTATAAAGATTGTTGTTGTTCTTGTTGAATGTCACTTGTGTGATTGAACCAACCCTGATGAGGTATCTGTTGGTCCATGTTCAGAGCTCTGAGTGAAGCTTTGTGATGGGGGATGTAGAGAAAGACGGCGACGAACCAGACGACTATCAGAGCGAGATCCAGAAGCTCCAGACCCGTTTTGGTAGTGTGTCACCGTCCAAGTCTGCTGCCAGAGGTGAAGGTCAGACGCCCGGCTTCCAGAAGGACGGCTTCTGGTCCTGGGTGGCGTGTTTCTGTGCCACCATGAACCAGCTGCTCATCTTCGGCACCGTCAACGTGTACTCACTGTTTCTCGTCAAGTTTGTCAAAGAGTTTGGCTGCTCTACGGCTGAGGCAGGTAAGACTAATCACCTGGTCATTAACTAATTATAGTTACCATGTCTTTAAGTCATCGGTAGCACCATAGGAAAGAGGTATGTTTACACCCAAAATTATGACTTTTTAGAACTAAAGTAGACTTTGCACTCGACAGCTTGGCTTAGAACTAAACTAGACCTTTTACTTGACTTGTTTAGATATGTTAATGCCGTGTGTTTAGATGTGTTAATGACGTGCGTTTAGATGTGTTAAAGCGTGTGTTTAGAACTAAACTAGACCTTTTACTTGACAGCTTGGCTTAGAACTAAACTAGACCTTTTACTTGACAGCTTGGCTTAGAACTAAACTAGACCTTTTACTTGACAGCTTGGCTTAGAACTAAACTAGACCTTTTACTTGACAGCTTAGCTTAGAACTAAACTAGACCTTTTACTTGACAGCTTGGCTTAGAACTAAACTAGACCTTTTACTTGACAGCTTAGCTTAGAACTAAACTAGACCTTTTACTTGACAGCTTGGCTTAGAACTAAACTAGACCTTTTACTTGACAGCTTGGCTTAGAACTAAACTAGACCTTTTACTTGACAGCTTGGCTTAGAACTAAACTAGACCTTTTACTTGACAGCTTAGCTTAGAACTAAACTAGACCTTTTACTTGACAGCTTAGCTTAGAACTAAACTAGACCTTTTACTTGACAGCTTGGCTTAGAACTAAACTAGACCTTTTACTTGACAGCTTAGCTTAGAACTAAACTAGACCTTTTACTTGACAGCTTGGCTTAGAACTAAACTAGACCTTTTACATGACAGCTTGGCTTAGAACTAAACTAGACCTTTTACTTGACAGCTTAGCTTAGAACTAAACTAGACCTTTTACTTGACAGCTTGTCTTAGAACTAAACTAGAACTTTTACTTGACAGCCTGTCTTAGAACTAAACTAGACCTTTTACTTGACAGCTTGGCTTAGAACTAAACTAGACCTTTTACTTGACAGCTTGGCTTAGAACTAAACTAGACCTTTTACTTGACAGCTTAGCTTAGAACTAAACTAGACCTTTTACTTGACAGCTTGGCTTAGAACTAAACTAGACCTTTTACTTGACAGCTTAGCTTAGAACTAAACTAGACCTTTTACTTGACAGCTTGGCTTAGAACTAAACTAGACCTTTTACATGACAGCTTGGCTTAGAACTAAACTAGACCTTTTACTTGACAGCTTAGCTTAGAACTAAACTAGACCTTTTACTTGACAGCTTGTCTTAGAACTAAACTAGAACTTTTACTTGACAGCCTGCCTTAGAACTAAACTAGACCTTTTACTTGACAGCTTAGCTTAGAACTAAACTAGACCTTTTACTTGATAGCCTGTCTTAGAACTAAACTAGACCTTTTACATGACAGCTTGGCTTAGAACTAAACTAGACCTTTTACTTGACAGCCTGCCTTAGAACTAAACTAGACCTTTTACTTGACAGCTTAGCTTAGAACTAAACTAGACCTTTTACTTGATAGCCTGTCTTAGAACTAAACTAGACCTTTTACTTGATAGCCTGTCTTAGAACTAAACTAGACCTTTTACTTGACAGCCTGCCTTAGAACTAAACTAGACCTTTTACTTGACAGCTTAAGATATGTTAATGCCGTGTGTTTAGATGTGTTAATGACGTGTGTTTAGAGGTGTTAAAGCGTGTGTTTAGAACTAAACTAGACCTTTACTCGACAGCCTGGTATAGAACTAAACTAGACCTTTTACTCGACAGCCTGGCTGGGCTCCATGACGTTCGGCTTGATGAAGCTGCTGGGCCCACTGAGCAGCTCCCTCAACATCCACCTCAACAACCGGGTTGTCATGATTCTGGGCGCTGTTCTCTGTACGCTCTCGTTTCTGGCCTCGTCGTTTGCACCAAACTTTATGTGCGTATTTTCGTTCGATTCATAACATTTAAATATGGAGTTGGTTTTGTTGGTCGTGTGGAGATTTATGTTTCGCTGACGACACTGTTCGTCCCCTGTTTGTAAACTTCTGCATAAATTTCGCTTCACACCGTGTCAATCCCTAGGGCCAATTGATGATTTTAGCTTTTACCACGGTGTATGAGGGCAGACTGTGGTCAGGAAGCCATCAGTCAAAAAGGACGCAAAACTTTCACTCTAGGAAACGACCCTTCCCATATGTTTTATTTTCATTTGTATAGGTGTTTCCTGAATAATTATTTACTTTTATCCGTGTAAATCCTGGTAAATAGATGTGCAGCCTAATTATGTTTGTTTAGCTGTATTAATGACGTGTGATTTAGATGTGTTCATGAGGTGTGTTTAGTTGTATTAATGACGTGTGATTTAGATGTGTTCATGACGTGTGTTTGGCTGTTTACATGTCATGTACCAGGACATTGTTTGGGACCCTGTGTGTACCTTTTGACGTGTGTTTAGATGTGTTAAGACGTGTGTTTAACTGTTTACATGTCATGTACCAGGACATTGTTTGGGACCCTGTGTGTACCGTTTGCTACCGGCGCGGCTTTCACGATCACGCCCTCCGTTGTCGTCCCTGTCATCTACTTCCGTCAACATCAGAGCGTTGCCATGGGTATCGTGGCGTCAGGCAGCAGTCTCGGCATGTTGATTCTGGCACCTGTCGTACAGGTGAGGTCTCAGTAATTGCATGGATGGCACAATGTTTGTATGTGTGCCACAATTTTTGTAGGTGTGTCACAATGTATGTATGTGTGCCTCAATACTTGTATGTATGCCACAATATTTGTATATGTGTGCTACACAGTTTGCATGTGTGCCACGATGTTTGTATGTGTGTCACAATGTGTTTCACAATGTTTTATGTGTGCCTCAATACTTGTATGTATGCCACAATATTTGTATATGTGTGCTACACAGTTTGTATGTGTGCCTCAATGCTTGTATGTGTCATGTCCCACAATGTTTGTATGTTTTCCACACAGTTTGCATGTGTGCCACAATGTTTGTATGTGTGTTTGTATGTGTGCCTTAAAGTTTGTAGTGTGGTCTCAATGCTTGTGTACTCACCTCAGATCATGTTGGACGCCCTCAACTGGAGGATCATGTTTCGAATCCATGCCGGCGCCCTCTCCTTCCTGATATTCCTCAACTTTTTCATCAAGCCGGTCAAACGACAAAAACCCATCAGCGACAACAAAAAACCATTCTGTGCCTCAATGATCGAGGACCTCACACTGTGGAAGAACAGGGTCTTTTTGCTGTGGGCCTTTTCAATGGCCATCGTTTACTTCGGCTATCAGATCCCTAACATGCTTCTCGTAAGTAACCGATACAGCATGTTTATATGGTAAAATATGGTCATTGTAACCAATACAACATATTTATATGGTAAACTATGGTCATTGTAACCAATACAACATATTTATATGGTAAACTATGGTCATTGTAACACACAACTCTACGTAGCTGTACATAAACAAAACGAAATAGAATTTGAAGTAAACGAACTAATTGAGATTTAACATTTAATTTAAAAACAAAGTAAAATAAAGAAATAAATAAGCATCTTAACAATAAGAAATGTGTACCAAATAAACTGCAGCTTTGGTTAGCACATACGAGCGTGGTGCTAGATTATAAGTAGTTGAACACGATGTCTGTATGTTGCTACCGGTTTCACGATTAGAATCGTCTTCAAGGGATGTCGCTATCTGCTAGGAATGGTCTTCAACTAAGTGAATCATGACACCTGTAGTCATCTATGGACTATATAACTTGCCATGTCAATGCTAATCCTAACCCAAACTGGTAGTCATCTATGGACTATATAACTTGCCATATCAATGCTAATCCTAACCCAAACTGGTAGTCATCTATTGACTATATAACTTGCCATGTCAATGCTAATCCTAACCCAAACTGGTAGTCATCTATATAACTTGCCATGTCAATGCTAATCCTAACCCAAACTGGTAGTCATCTATTGACTATATAACTTGCCATATCAATGCTAATCCTAACCCAAACTGGTAGTCATCTATTGACTATATAACTTGCCATATCAATGCTAATCCTAACCCAAACTGATAGTCATCTATGGACTATATAACTTGCTATGTCAATGCTAATCCTAACCCAAACTGGTAGTCATCTATGGACTATATAACTTGCCATGTCAATGCTAATCCTAACCCAAACTGGTAGTCATCTATGGACTATATAACTTGCCATGTCAATGCTAATCCTAACCCAAACTGGTAGTCATCTATGGACTATATAACTTGCCATATCAATGCTAATCCTAACCCAAACTGGTAGTTATCTATGGACTATATAACTTGCCATATCAATGCTAATCCTAACCCAAACTGGTAGTCATCTATGGACTATATAACTTGCCATATCAATGCTAATCCTAACCCAAACCATAATCAAAGCTCTGATATAACCATAACCCTAATTCCGGCCCAAATACTAAACCTGGTATTGCTATCTTACTAACCACTTAACATACATAAGTTCTTTGCAGAAATAGTTCATTAGCACTCACTAGGAGAAGGAATACTCTGGAAAAAATTAAAATAGGGGGTCGTATCTAAATGAATTTATGCAACTCAGTGTTGGAGGGGGGAGGGAGTAGTATGCTCATAATTATGTGACAATTTGCTGTGATGTAACCAAGTATATTTTTCGAATCTTTTACAATCATTATAAACTTATTTGTATTGAGGTTTAGTATTTAGTCTAATGTGTCAAAATATAAGGAAATGATACATTTTCTCCTTAGAGGTTAGCTATGCGGGTTTTCTGGGCATCAGTGCGTCTCGAGCTTCATACATCGTCATGGCAATGGGCGGGGCTACCACGGTGTCACGCCTCATCACCGGCAAGATACTCACATGTCAGCTGCTCAGTCGACTCCATTTTAAACAAACAATCTTCGTCGTCATGGGAACCAGTTACCTTCTCCTGGCTCACGTCACAACCATAGAGGTAGGTGGAAGTAATTTGTTAGTCACAAAGATGGGTAGGTGGAAATAATTTGTTAGTCACAAAGATGGGTAGGTGGAAATAATTTGTTAGTCACAAAGCGGGTAGATGGAAATAATTTGTTAGTCACAAAGATGGGTAGGTGGAAATAATTTGTTAGTCACAAAGATGGGTAGGTGGAAATAATTTGTTAGTCACAAAGATGGGTAGGTGGAAATAATTTGTTAGTCACAAAGATGGGTAGGTGGAAATAATGTGTTAGTCACAAAGATGGGTAGGTGGAAATAATTTGTTAGTCACAAAGCAGGTAGATGGAAATAATTTGTTAGTCACAAAGATGGGTAGGTGGAAATAATTTGTTAGTCACAAAGATGGGTAGGTGGAAATAATTTGTTAGTCACAAAGATGGGTAGGTGGAAATAATTTGTTAGTCACAAAGCGGGTAGATGGAAATAATTTGTTAGTCACAAAGATGGGTAGGTGGAAATAATTTGTTAGTCACAAAGCGGGTAGATGGAAATAATTTGTTAGTCACAAAGATGGGTAGGTGGAAATAATTTGTTAGTCACAAAGCGGGTAGATGGAAATAATTTGTTTGTCACAAAGATGGGTAGGCGGAAATAATTTGTTAGTCACAAAGATGGGTAGGTGGAAATAATTTGTTAGTCACAAAGCGGGTAGATGGAAATAATTTGTTAGTCACAAAGATGGGTAGGTGGAAATAATTTGTTAGTCACAAAGCGGGTAGATGGAAATAATTTGTTAGTCACAAAGATGGGTAGGTGGAAATAATTTGTTAGTCACAAAGCGGGTAGATGGAAATAATTTGTTAGTCACAAAGATGGGTAGGTGGAAATAATTTGTTAGTCACAAAGATGGGTAGGTGGAAGTAATTTGTTAGTCACACAGAAAAAATGTTTAAGCTGTGGTTTTTAGGGATGTATGAAGCCATAAAATAAATGTGTTGGTCTGTGGTATTTAGGGATGTATGAAGCCATAAAATAAATGTGTTGGTCTGTGGTATTTAGGGATGTATGAAGCCATAAAATAAATGTGTTGGCCTGTGGTATTTAGGGATGTATGAAGCCATAAAATAAATGTGTTGGTCTGTGTTATTTAGGGATGTATGAAGCCATAAAATAAATGGGTTGGCCTGTGGTATTTAGGCATGTATGAAGCCATAAAATAAATGTGTTGGCCTGTGGTATTTAGGGATGTATGAAGCCATAAAATAAATGTGTTTGCCTATGGTATTTAGGGATGTATCTATATATATAAAGCAAAGTGGTCGGGTGCCCGATAGGGCACTTCCCGGCGCCGCAGGCGCGTCAAATTTGGCACGATGGTGCCTTGGGGAGATAGAACACGAGGGCCGGTGACGGTTGGCCGAAAAGTCTACGGAGAGGGGGTCAAAACTGACCTCGACTGACCGGCGCCTTATATGGGCTATATTACGAAAAAAAAATTCCTCCGACGACCCCCCTTGAAATTTTGTGAGGTGGTAGGAGAACCCCATGGGGTGTCACAAAAAACTCGGCATATCTGGGAAAACTTCGTAAAGGGGTCAAAACTGACCAGTTGTATTTCCCTATATAATCTTTGTATTTTATGGGAAAAACAGAGGGTCATTTCAACTCAGACTTTAGGGTACTTAAGCTCAGTATATCTGGCTAATTTTTTGCATACTCTTAGGTCAATGGCTTGACCTTTAGGGAAAACTGTCGGTTACACTCAAAGCCCTCGACGAGGGCTAAAAAGTGACCGCGAGTGAAATTCTCTTTATATGAGCTCTATAACGAAAAAAAATTTCCTCCGACGACCCCCCTTGATATTTTGTGAGGTGGTAGAAGAACACCTAGGGGTGTGTCAAAAAACTCGGCATATCTGGGAAAACTTCGTAAAGCGGTCAAAACTGACCAGTTGTATTTCCCTATATAATCTTTGTATTTTATGGGAAAAACAGAGGGTCATTTCAACGCAGACTTTAGGGTACTTAAGCTAAGTATATCTGGCTAATTTTTTGCATGCTCCTAGGTCCATGGCTTGACCTTTAGGGAAAACTGTCGGTTACACTCAAAGCCCTCGACGAGGGCTAAAAAGTGACCGCGAGTGAAATTCTCTTTATATGAGCTCTATTACGAAAAAAAATTTCCTCCGACGACCCCCCTTGATATTTTGTGAGGTGGTAGGAGAACGCCTTGGGGTGTCACAAAAAACTCGGCATATCTGGGAAAACTTCGTAAATGGGTCAAAACTGACCAGTCGTATTTCCCTATATAATCTTTGTATTTTATGGGAAAAACATAGGGTCATTTCAACGCAGACTTTAGGGTACTTAAACTCAGTATATCTGGCTAATTTTTTGCATGCTCCTAGGTCAATGGCTTGACCTTTAGGGAAAACTGTCGGTTACACTCAAAGCCCTCGACGAGGGCTAAAAAGTGACCGCGAGTGAAATTCTCTTTATATGAGCTCTATTACGAAAAAAAATTTCCTCCGACGACCCCCATTGATATTTTGTGAGGCGGTAGAAGAACACCTAGGGGTGTGTCAAAAAACTCGGCATATCTGGGAAAACTTCGTAAAGCGGTCAAAACTGACCAGTTGTATTTCCCTATATAATCTTTGTATTTTATGGGAAAAACAGAGGGTCATTTCAACGCAGACTTTAGGGTACTTAAGCTAAGTATATCTGGCTAATTTTTTGCATGCTCCTAGGTAAATGGCTTGACCTTTAGGGAAAACTGTCGGTTACACTCAAAGCCCTCGACGAGGGCTAAAAAGTGACCGCGAGTGAAATTCTCTTTATATGAGCTCTATTACGAAAAAAAATTTCCTCCGACGACCCCCCTTGATATTTTGTGAGGTGGTAGGAGAACGCCTTGGGGTGTCACAAAAAACTCGGCATATCTGGGAAAACTTCGTAAATGGGTCAAAACTGACCAGTCGTATTTCCCTATATAATCTTTGTATTTTATGGGAAAAACATAGGGTCATTTCAACGCAGACTTTAGGGTACTTAAACTCAGTATATCTGGCTAATTTTTTGCATGCTCCTAGGTCAATGGCTTGACCTTTAGGGAAAACTGTCGGTTACACTCAAAGCCCTCGACGAGGGCTAAAAAGTGACCGCGAGTGAAATTCTCTTTATATGAGCTCTATTACGAAAAAAAATTTCCTCCGACGACCCCCATTGATATTTTGTGAGGCGGTAGAAGAACACCTAGGGGTGTGTCAAAAAACTCGGCATATCTGGGAAAACTTCGTAAAGCGGTCAAAACTGACCAGTTGTATTTCCCTATATAATCTTTGTATTTTATGGGAAAAACAGAGGGTCATTTCAACGCAGACTTTAGGGTACTTAAGCTAAGTATATCTGGCTAATTTTTTGCATGCTCCTAGGTCCATGGCTTGACCTTTAGGGAAAACTGTCGGTTACACTCAAAGCCCTCGACGAGGGCTAAAAAGTGACCGCGAGTGAAATTCTCTTTATATGAGCTCTATTACGAAAAAAAGATGACCGCGATTGAAATTCTCCTAATATGAGATATATATAAATAAATTGATCCCCTTAATATTATTTGAGGTCGTAGACCGACCCTCGAGGGTAACAAAAAAACTTTATTCACGTCGGAAAAAGCCATTGTAGACGTTAAATATGTTTATATATTGTATTTTCTTATATAAGCATAGTAACTGTTTAAAAGAAAAGTAAACACAGACATACGTCATTCGGTTAATTTTCAAGGGAGGTAACCTTTTTAAATAATTATTTTTCAAATAATTGTATACTATTTTTAATAGAAACAGAAAACGACAAAGTATAGCATTTGTTTTAGAAAAAAATACGTTGTTAATTAAGCTACGTATCATAATTAAATAAAAAATTAATTTTAAAAGTAAATGTAATATAAATTGTGAGATATACCGTTCATGGAACCTCTGTAGTTCTATTTCCATTATAGTTATAAATTGCGTACTTTCGATGGCTTTCTCTGAAAGCGGATATTAAACAACATACAACAACATCTTCTCAAAAATTAGCATTACTGTTTAGATTTAAGAACTCCGCGCCTCACCCATCACCAAATAATTAGTATTCAAATTATCAAATGTTTTGAAAACCTAAGCTAAGCTAGGCAGAATGCCTAGTGAAGAAATAAAATAAATGTGTTTGCCTATGGTATTTAGGGATGTATGAAGCCATAAAATAAATGTGTTGGCCTGTGGTCCACCTGTCTACAGGGTCTGTACGTGTTTGCTGTGGTCCGTGGTCTGCTAGACGGGGCCCACATCGTCATGTTGCCCATGTTGACGGCCTCCATGGTCGGGCAGAACAAGGCCCTTCTTGGGTGGGGCTACATCGCCGGCGCTATCTCAATTACCTACACAATAGGGCCCCCTATTGCAGGTAAGACATTTTTTTCACATCATAGGGCCCCCTATTGCAGGTAAGACATTACTGTCACAACACCATAGGGCCCCCTATTGCAGGTAAGACATTACTGTCACAACACCATAGGGCCCCCTATTGTAGGTAAGACATTTCTGTCACAACACCATAGGGCCCCCTATTGCAGGTAAGACATTACACTGTCACAACACTATAGGGCCCCCTATTGTAGGTAAGACATTTCTGTCACAACACCATAGGGCCCCCTATTGCAGGTAAGACATTACTGTCACAACACCATAGGGCCCCCTATTGTAGGTAAGACATTTCTGTCACAACACCATAGGGCCCCCTATTGCAGGTAAGACATTACTGTCACAACACCATAGGGCACCCTATTGCAGGTAAGACATTACTGTCACAACACCATAGGGCCCCCTATTGCAGGTAAGACATTATTGTCACAACACCATAGGGCCCCCTATTGTAGGTAAGACATTATTGTCACAACACCATAGGGCCCCCTATTGTAGGTAAGACATTATTGTCACAACACCATAGGGCCCCCTACTGCAGGTAAGATATTACTGTCACAACACCATAGGGCCCTAAATGCTAGAGCTGTTTCGTCCGAAGCATCCTTTAATACTCCATGCATCTCCAACAATACACATAGAGCCTCCATTTTTGCTCGGCACATCAAAAAACCTTTCATTTATAATAAGTTTTAAAAAAAACATTCCTTTTAACTTACTTGAATGTAGATCCCCCGATCTTGATTAGATTATTGTATCTGCTCTCAATAAAGTTTTATGTGGCATCAATCATAATTACGATATTTTCGTATTGCTTTAATTAGTGATGTCAAACCATCTCATTTCTATGATGTATTTTATGTAAATCGATCCCTTAATTTTATAAACCTCCGTGCTATCGAATCCTGAGTTAATATTTTCTGTATATCTATTCTGTATGTATATCTATTCTGTATGTATATCTATTCTGTATGTATATCTATTCTGTATGTATATCCAGGCTACTTAAAAGACGTGACAGGGAATTACAAAATGCCGTTTACGGTTGCCGGCTTGCCGATGATCGCATCCGGTCTTCTGCTCTTCTGGCTGCCCTGGGCTCAAAGGACGGAGAAAACAGAATCTTTAGCCGACATTATCAGGTAGGTCATCTCAACTTTACTGGACATTATCAGGTAGGGTCATCTAAACTTTACTGGACATTATCAGGTAGGGTCATCTCAACTTTACTGGACATTATTAGGTAGGGTCATCTAAACTTTACTGGACATTATCAGGTAGGGTCATCTCAACTTTACTGGACATTATCAGGTAAAAACATTTATAACTTTACTGGACATTATCAGGTAGGGTCATCTCAACTTTACTGGACATTATCAGGTAGGTCATCTAAACTTTACTGGACATTATCAGGTAGGGTCATCTCAACTTTACTGGACATTATCGGGTAGGGTCATCTAAACTTTACTGGACATTATCAGGTAGGTCATCTAAACTTTACTGGACATTATCAGGTAGGGTCATCTCAACTTTACTGGACATTATCAGGTAGGGTCATCTCAACTTTACTGGACATTATCAGGTAGAGTCATCTAAACTTTACTGGACATTATCAGGTAGGTCATCTCAACTTTACTGGACATTATCAGGTAAACTTTACTGGACATTATCAGGTAGGGTCATCTAAACTTTACTGGACATTATTAGGTAGGGTCATCTAAACTTTACTGGACATTATCAGGTAGGGTCATCTCAACTTTACTGGACATTATCAGGTAGGGTCATCTCAACTTTACTGGACATTATCAGGTAGGGTCATCTCAACTTTACTGGACATTATCAGGTAGGTCATCTCAACTTTACTGGACATTATCAGGTAGGGTCATCTAAACTTTACTGGACATTATCAGGTAGGGTCATCTAAACTTTACTGGACATTATCAGGTAGGGTCATCTCAACTTTACTGGACATTATCAGGTAGGTCATCTCAACTTTACTGGACATTATCAGGTAGGGTCATCTAAACTTTGCTAGACATTATCAGGTAAAATCATTTATAACTTTACTGGACATTATTAGATAAGTTCACACATTAGATGGGACACGGCAAAGCTTGGACCAACATTCAAATGGAAATATTGTATTTGCAGTATCCATGATAGACTCGATGAGGTCAAAAGCGATGAGACGATATCAAAAAGACGACACACCATCTCTAAAGTTTTTCCATACCCTGTAATTCGAGAGCTGGAACTGATGCCATTAGATGTTCCAGACATTGTCAAGTCCCCGCCGACTTCAATCAAACACACGCCATCTTTTAAACCCAAGCGGAAGTAAGTTAGCTCTTGCGTGCTATTGTATTTCACGACAAGGATGAAAGGTTTCAGGGTGATTGTTGTTATAATTTGATAGGTTTTCATTTTGGTGTCTCTTGTTGAGGCGAGTTCATGAATATTATCGATACGAATGTCATTTGTTTGATAATTTACTGTCCTCGATTAAAAAGAATTACAAATTGTATGCTGTGAAAGTAACGAGACACGAATGTTTTTTAATATTTAGGAAATTTAACCTGGTCCAAAAATCTGCCTCGCTGCCAGAGACAAGAGATATCCCTGTCTTTGGTAACAAGACACCCAAAGTCAAAAGTGAACCTTTAATCTCATTCAAAGATGTAAGTGATCCTTTAATCTCAATTGAAGGTATAAGCAGGGGCGTAGCGAGGGGGGGGGCGGGGGGTGCGGACCGCACCGGGTGACACCATTTAGGGGGGTGACACCAAGGCAAAAAATAGCAAAATATATAGAGAAAAACTTGAGGTGGTGGGGGTGCAAATCGAAAGTTTCAGGGGGGGGGTGCAAATCGAAAACTTGAGGGGGGGGGGGGTGCAAATCGAAAGTTTGAGGAGGGGTGCAAATAAAAAATTTGAAAGTTTGTCCCCGGGAAGGGTCGCTACGCCTCTGGGGGGGGGGTGACACCATTAAGTGCCGCACCGGGTGACACCCGACCTCGCTACGCCACTGGGTATAAGTAAACCTTGAATTTAGTTTAGGATGAGAGCTGTATGCATGGTGTACTTACAACTTACTGGCTATAAGCATGTGTCTTGTAGCACACTATTGTGTCTTGTAGCCCACTAATGTGTCTTGTAGCCCACTCATCTATTGTGTCTTGTAGCCCACTAATGTGTCTTGTAGAACACTCATCTAATGTTTCTTGTAGCCCACTCATCTAATGTGTCTTGTAGCCCACTCATCTAATGTGTCTTGTAGCCCACTCATTGTCTTGTAGCCCACTCATCTAATGTGTCTTGTAGCCCACCCATCTAATGTGTCTTGTAGCCCACTCATCTAATGTGTCTTGTAGCCCACTCATCTAATGTGTCTTGTAGCCCACTCATCTAATGTGTCTTGTAGCCCACTCATTGTCTTGTAGCCCACTCATCTAATGTGTCTTGTAGCCCACTCATCTAATATGTCTTGTAGCCCACTCATCTAATGTGTCTTGTAGCCCACACATGTGTCTTGTAGCCCACTCATCTAATGTGTCTTGTAGCCCACTCATCTAATGTGTCTTGTAGCCCACTCATTGTCTTGTAGCCCACTCATCTAATGTGTCTTGTAGCCCACCCATCTAATGTGTCTTGTAGCCCACTCATCTAATGTGTCTTGTAGCCCACTCATCTAATGTGTCTTGTAGCCCACTCATCTAATGTGTCTTGTAGCCCACTCATTGTCTTGTAGCCCACTCATCTAATGTGTCTTGTAGCCCACTCATCTAATATGTCTTGTAGCCCACTCATCTAATGTGTCTTGTAGCCCACACATGTGTCTTGTAGCCCACTCATCTAATGTGTCTTGTAGCCCACTCATCTAATGTGTCTTGTAGCCCACTCATTGTCTTGTAGCCCACTCATCTAATGTGTCTTGTAGCCCACCCATCTAATGTGTCTTGTAGCCCACTCATCTAATGTGTCTTGTAGCCCACTCATTGTCTTGTAGCCCACTCATCTAATGTGTCTTGTAGCCCACCCATCTAATGTGTCTTGTAGCCCACTCATCTAATGTGTCTTGTAGCGCACTCATTGTCTTGTAGCCCACTCATCTAATGTGTCTTGTAGCCCACTCATCTAATGTGTCTTGTAGCCCACCCATCTAGTGTGTCTTGTAGCCCACCCATCTAATGTGTCTTGTAGCCCACTCATCTAATGTGTCTTGTAGCCCACTAATGTGTCTTGTAGCCCACTAATGTGTCTTGTAGCCCACTCAACTAATGTGTCTCATACCTCGAATGTTCTACCCATTTGATGGCTTGATTAGCTTAATCTATTGAGCCAACGTTGCCAGCATGTCTATCCCTTTGTTTACATCTGACCAGGGCTCGCTAGAACTATTGGCTGAAGGTTCTTCCACCAAAAAACGGTTACAGTTGGAAGAAGACGTGGACTTTTTGTCCTGGAGATCTCCACTCAACCCAGACACGGGGTCCTTCTCTACCCACCCCGCAGGGTCGACTGAGGAGAGGGAACCTCCCCAAATACAGGTCTGTATCTACACGGTGACTGGAAAGATGCGAAAGAAAAAATTGCGCAAGGAAAACTGCGTACAAAAAGTGCGCAACGGCATTTTTGTCTTCTTATATCGAGGGTATAGAGGACGAATGCAGTGTCCACTTTTTAGGTCAAATCGATGTACATTTATACTGATACTGTCATTAATAAAAGCTGCAAGAACACTTATGTACAATGTCAGAAAAGTAGAATGCAAATATTTTATGAAAGTTTAAACATAATATTTTGCACTATTATAATATTGGAATGAGATTTAAAAACTCATTTTTCTCGAGATTATGTTTTTTTGGACATACTGCGTTTGTCCTCTATACATTCGATATATAGACATTAATAAATATTGACCACATGTACGTGTAGCATAGTAACACACTTTTTCCAAGAAATATGACAAAATTAAAGTGTATTAGTATAATTAGTTTGTAATTGCACAGTTTTTCGTTTTCGCATTTTTCTGGGAACCAAACTATCTACACGCGTTCACACACATATATATTTATCTGTTTTGTATGTCATTTTGTAAGAAACTTCTATGATATGCATTTATGTTTGTATACAATGTAACTTCTAAAATCTTGGTTAATGTTATGTTTCCTGTGTAAATAGTAAATCTGGGACTATTTTAAAATTGTTTATAACTAAAGTGTTAACCTTCCAGCAGCGACCAGCCTCTTCCAGGAGAGCCAGCGGTCCTCTGTCTGTCACATGTGTAGAGTCAACCTCAATCTATTCCAAAGTGTCAGACTATTTCAGTGAAAAGTCTGGAGAGGATGATATACAGGTAAACATCAGGTTTTAGAATCAACTCTGTCCGTCACATGTGTAGAATCAACCTCAATCTATTCCAAAGTGTCAGACTATTTCAGTGAAAAGTCTGGAGAGGATGATATACAGGTAAACATCAGGTTTATGTTCACATCACATTCACATAGACTAGTCTCCTGGTACTGTTTCTTTCTGTAAGCCAAACTTTAAAACCTTTGTCCACTGAAGCCCAAATACACAACAAATCCTCAGTTTTAAAAAGAGCCATTTCGTGATGTATGATATAGTGTAGGGGTGGGGTGGTTGGACATGGGATATGGGGAGAGCAGGTTTACTTCAGACATTTCTTCTGCCTCCTCCTCTAGTTGCTTCCCTCTTTCCCCCTACCCCGAAAGTTTTAAGTCCCCTACCCTAACAATGTCTGAAACTCTGGAGTGGGTAAAAATAAGTCTAATTTTTCAATGAAACATATTTGTAAATATAATGTTATATTATTTAAACATAAGCATACCCACGTAATAAATAATCACATAAGTTCTGCGCTATATTAAACACGAACTATAAAGACTACAAACAGCTGTTTTCCTCTTTTGTTACTGAAAAAAATATTAGACTAAATTCTAAATTTGTTTGAATTCGAGTGGAATAGAATTTTTTTTTAAATAACCTGTAATGGCCATAATACGTCGTGGGGGAGCAGATGAAAGTGGGTCAAGTCATGATTATGTAATGTGTAGGGCGCGGGGGCTTGTAGAAAGTTGAAGGTATTGGGACTACTGATAGCTGAAGGGATTGTGGGGACTGTTAGCTGAAGGGATTGTGACGCCAGTTAGCTGAAGGGATTGTGGGGACTGATAGCTGAAGGGATTGTGGGGACTGATAGCTGAAGGGATTGTGGGGACTGATAGCTGAAGGTATTGGGACTACTGATAGCTGAAGGGATTGTGGGGACTGTTAGCTGAAGGGATTGTGGGGACTGATAGCTGAAGGTATTGGGACTACTGATAGCTGAAGGGATTGTGGGGACTGTTAGCTGAAGGGATTGTGACGCCAGTTAGCTGAAGGGATTGTGGGGACTGATAGCTGAAGGGATTGTGGGGACTGATAGCTGAAGGGATTGTGGGGACTGATAGCTGAAGGTATTGGGACTACTGATAGCTGAAGGGATTGTGGGGACTGTTAGCTGAAGGGATTGTGGGGACTGATAGCTGAAGGTATTGGGACTACTGATAGCTGAAGGGATTGTGGGGACTGTTAGCTGAAGGGATTGTGACGCCAGTTAGCTGAAGGGATTGTGGGGACTGATAGCTGAAGGGATTGTGGGGACTGATAGCTGAAGGGATTGTGGGGACTGATAGCTGAAGGTATTGGGACTACTGATAGCTGAAGGGATTGTGGGGACTGTTAGCTGGAGGGATTGTGGGGACTGTTAGCTGAAGGGATTGTGGGGACTGAAAGCTGAAGGGATTGTGGGGACTGATAGCTGAAGGGATTGTGGGGACTGATAGCTGAAGGGATTGTGGGGACTGATAGCTGAAGGGATTGTGGGGACTGTTAGCTGAAGGGATTGTGGGGACTGTTAGCTGAAGGGATTGTGACAACCGTTAGCTGAAGGGATTGTGACGATCGTTAGCTGAAGGGTTTGTGACGGTTAGCTGAAGGGATTGTGACAACCGTTAGCTGAAGGGATTGTGACAACCGTTAGCTAAAGGGATTGTGACGCTCATTAGCTGAAGGGATTGTGGGGACTGTTAGCTGAAGGGATTGTGACGCTCGTTAGCTGTAGGGTTTGTGGGGACTGCTAGCTGAAGGGATTGTGACAACCGTTAGCTAAAGGGATTGTGACGACCTTTAGCTGAAGGTATTGTGACGCCCGTTACACCTTGTATTTCAGACGTCCACTAGCAGCATGTCTGATGAAACACTTGATGAACGTCCAAAGAGTAATCGGCGACGGAGCAGAGGTCATAAGGTCAAGGACGTTGAGGAAACAAGTCGCTCCAGGTTGAAGGATTAACCCCTGACACAAATTGATTGATCTAAAACACGTTTCGATGGACAAGATTATAATTTTGTACTCTTTTTCTGGAATTGTGCTGTTAAAGGTTGTTTTTTTTAATAAACACAGTAATAAAATAACGCTATTAGGCCTTTTATTTATTTAGGATCATCTGTTAAAATGTTTATAAAGAAAAATGGAGCAACATCATGGGTTGATTTGGTTTTTTAAATCCCAAATGTAAAGTATTGGTTTGACAGGCTAGGTCTGTATACAGCTCTTTATGTGCGTAATAGTCTGATCCCAATAACAACAAATTTGACAGTGTAATTTCTATGTACATATAAGGTTTAGGTTGGCGAACGCAGGGTGGACTAGCCCGCCGGTCAACCAGGAAAAATCCCGGTGGGCTCCCACGAATGGCGCTGAAGTAATAGCCCAATCAGTGGGTTTTTTTAATTTTAAATAATGTGTTAGTATTTCTCCAATGTCCATCCTTCATATCAAGGCGTAATATTCAATTTGTAGGGGGAAAATACATAACGAAACTTTCAGTCTGGGGTTATGGGCCTTTTTAAAATCTCTAGGGCCTCTTGGACACACCCAGACCACCCCTAAGCGAACATGTCAGTTGTTACACTTAATGACCCTGCTAATACCACTTTTAGCTGGTTTGCAGATTGCCAAAGGCTTAGTTACTAATTAGCTTGCCATACGGGGTTTGTTACTCAGTGAAAGACCAGATACAAAATGACGATTGGGGAAAAAAATTATTTGAACTTTAATTAAGCATAAACTTTTACAAACATTATAATTAAATCTTCGTTAAAATACATGAAACTGGACATGTATTGATTGCAAGCAAGATCTTATCAGCATAGTGTGGCACGCTCGACTGGGTGTGAATCTATTTCTTCAATTCAAATCAGTACAGGAGGGATCTCTATTGATACAAGCAGAGCTGACAGTTGCCATGGATACTGGTTAGATGTAATCCTATGAATGCTTCCGGGTCAAATGGAGAATTAAGTTAGCTGGTTTTGTAAGCAGACACGATCTTCGGATTTATAGTCAAGTCTCGGATGTGCGTTCATTTCAATTTTCCCTCTCCAAAGGAAGCGGTCGAACGCTGGAATGTTGGATGGGGGGAAACAAGCAGAGGTTCCAGAGTTTTATTGGATTGCACTGATGTCGGATAATTGACGTCATTCGATGTGTGCCGGACATAAGCGTGTGTCAGATCATTTGAGATCAACCCGGGGGGGGGGGGGGGTATGGGGGTCGTGGAGGGAACTGGTTGAGTCTTCTTTTGGGGGGAAGGGGGTAATGATGAGTCATGTTACGGGGTGGGGGAATGAACCATATTTTAGGGAGGGGAAATGAAAACTGCATAATGAGACACGGCGAACATTACTGGATTTGTTTGATATCAGATGGTATTTTTAGAAGTGGCGTCTTCGGGGCAAGTGTCAGGGGCTAATGATTGTGTGTTGTAGACTGAAAACATTTTGTTACCCTAAATAATTTACAATTGTTCTTTCTTAAGCGATTTACCTATAGGCTCTAAATTATTATTGTTGATTTAACTATGATAAAGTCCCTGTACTGTTAGTGCTATGCATTTTAGTATAGAAATTTCTTTTTTGTTTGCGAGTAGGAAACTTTTTATTGAAGTAATACTTTAAACTTATTCTATACTTTACCTTAATGTGCCCAACTCCCTCTCTTCAAGGGCTAAATATTAACTGCTTATAAAATGGACCCTAGGGCTGATAAACCACAGGGAACATTTGTACTGTGGTTATAAATTTGTCTCTAGTAGACTGATGGATGCACGGACAAACATAATTTATTCAACTTTTTTTTTTTACCTGAAGCCTTTTATTAGCAGCAACTGTTTTTTGTATCACATCAACTATTTCCTTCTTGATAGAAAACATGCGGGTAATCATAAATAATTACTGTGTATTTTTTATTCATCAAATCTTGGCCATAAAAAAATTTTCGTTTGACAGCTGACAGCTTGACTTGCAAGAGTTAGATGTGTACTGTTACTGTTATGAATGTTTTTATAAAATTGTTATCAGCAGGAAATAAAATCTCAAGTGACAATCAAATCTTTGAATTTGATTTAGTAGTGCATAGGCCTACACGCTGATCAACCTTTAACACGCATAATGTAAATTATGGACTATTAAGAATTGAATGTAAAGGGAGGAAACCAAATTAACATTGTACCTAGACAAGATAAGCCACAAATATTAGAAAGGAGTTAGTGAGAATCAGTAGGCTACTTGTTTTAAGATGTCAAGAATATTCAAGCATTTTTTTTTCATTTAAACATTGCATCGAACTGATTTTTGAAAACTTTAAAATCATATTTTGAATATATTTTTTTAATATATGGTTATTAATTCATGTATGTTGTCCACAATGTTTAAAGCTTATTTAAAATGATATTTGTAAAATCAGAAAATGTGTTAGACTCATTACTTTTCTACAAATTCAACTTTTTAAAATGGGATGTATTTTAACATAGTAGAGTTTTCTCTACAAGTGTGTCAGTCACTTGACTGAAAGGCCACACAACCCTGCAGTCAACAAAAAGTCACTAAACCAAATGACTGAGTTGATTCATTTATTACCATCAGTGAATTGGTCTTAAACAAAGTCATTTTTATACAATAACAAGAAAGTTTACAAAATCAACAATATAAAAAAACTGATTGTGGGAGCTTCTAGCTACAGTTAAGTAGCTTGTAATAAATATATGTAACACATTTTTAAATTCAAACTTACAAAAGCTAGCAATAATATAGAGCTGAGATGTCATAAACCCCTGCCTTCATCCCTGGAGTTTTAATGATTCCCTACCCACACCTACACCTGAAGTTGTGATTATTCCCTACCCCCACCTACACCTGGAATTATTCGATACCCCTGCCTCTACCCCTCCCCCCCCCCCCCCACCTACACATGGAATTGTAATGATCCCTATCCCCCCCCCCCCCCTTCCACCCCACCTGAAGTATTGAATGTCTTCTACTACCTCTACCTCCACCAACTCTCAGAGTTCTAGATTCAAATCTTGGCAGTATCAGGGATTTACTGTCTCATATGGCTGAACTGTGGATTAAATTTTCTTGGCAACAAAATATTTAAATATTTCATGTCCAAGCCATCAGATTGTTTCCCTTTATACAAAAGAAAAAAATCCAAAAAAAAAACCCCATTCTTCATTTAAGTGTTAAAATAGAAAATGCAAAGAAAGATAACAATAAAATACAATGAAATACATATATATTCAATATGCACATATTTATAAATACTTACATAAAAAGTGAAGTTCTAGGACTACTTTTGGAGTCTTAGTACTTCATCCTTTTAAAACAAAATATCAAATTTAATAATAAATATATTATTTATACACAACTATTGCTACAACTAATTACTTTTTATTTCATTTGGTAAACAATAACTGTATTGAAATGTATTTTTTATGAAAATGTTCTGTCGTGAATGACTGAATTATCATAATAAAAAATAACGGATGTGCTTTTTTTTTTGACCTGTGGACATTTTGGACTGAATTATAATATTTGATCAGAATATTTGATGAGATAATCAAACTAATAATTTCAGTGATAATTGTACATACAGGATTTTTTAATATAGGGGCTGCAGATACCATAGATAATGTAATAGAAAGATGAGTGTAAGCTCTAGTCTCATAAATAAAGGTGCTCATAGACAGCTCATGGTGATAATTTAGCACAGAAGGATGAGAAACTTTGATGCTGTTGGTACATTTTTACAACTTCATAAATGTTTGTGTAGTTCACTAGGGGCTCAAGAATGAGTTGTTTTATAACTAAATTGCAGAAAACCTCAAAATTCTGCATTATTTTTGAAAGTTCAAGTTCTATCAAAAATTTTAAAGCGAAATATTAAATTAATTTTTACAAATAATTTACAAATAATTTTTAAAATGTGTAGTTATAGACAAACAAAAATAAATATTCTAACATGATTTTCAGTTTCACGTAAGGTGAAAATAGAACCCAATTTTTATATTAATTTTAAAGTCACAAATTTTTATTAATTATGTAAACCTTCTCTACAATCTGTACCTTAGAGCTTGGTTATGATATTTTCCTAAAAACTGAATGTACTTACATGTCTATGATTGAAGATTGTGTGGTCAATATCAGCTGTTTATTTTCAAAAGTATACTAATTTCTAATATTTAAATTTTTAAGTTTTTGAAAAATCTAAGTGAATTGAATAAGCAACCATTCAGCAAATAGAATTTAAAAACCTACACAGAGTGCAGAAATTGCACCCTACCTACTGTTATGTGAGACATAGGTGTTAATAAATAAACCAACAAATATTTAAGAATTACTTCATTTAAATGGTCTACACATTGTCAGTAAATTGAAATACAAAAACCATTATCAACAACAGAAAACTGTAACAACGATTGAATGAACTGGTTTGACCTTTGTTTATATTTATCCAGTTTTTAAAAATTGATGGACCGGTTATCTAAAGAAAAAAGTAAATAAAAGGCTACACAATTAACAAAGTGTAAACATATTAGAATCACTGTTTGCATGCTTAATAGAATTAAACTGAATACATTTTAAAATTCCCAGTCATATCTCAATAAAACCAATTGGCTGCAATACCAATAAAAAAATAAAAAATGTGTGTTAGAAACAAAAAACATGACGTAACTCAGAAGAACACAGCTACCATTTCACTAAACATAACGTGATGTAGTTTGTTTTTTTTATAAAGTTTTAACATGCAACTTATTTTCAATAAAGAATAAATACTCTGTTTTAATGTTTCAAATAAAAAATGGACAACTTGAGACAAGAATATAAATGCAAAAAAAAAAGTGTTCAAAAGCCAATAAATGTATGAACTTGTCCTGGACAAATTAATCACTTGAGGAGCTGAAAGAATCAGAATCACATTTGCTGGATGAAAACAGTGGAATCTCTCTGATAGCCAAGGGAGCTGTTGGGTCCATAAGCTGAGATTCATCTACGGGGGTCAGTAGTTGGCTGTCTAGGGGACTTGTTTGTTCTGCTTCCATTGAGTCTGGGTGGTCAGAGGACTTTGATAATGTTTGTATACTGTTGTCAGTGAGAGGGTCTGGGTTAGTGTCTCGCAGATGGCTGATGTCAACTGAGTGAGAATCTGATGTTGGGACCTCGGCATTAGAACTAGTCTGTTGGTCTAGAGGTTGACTGGTGGTAACTGGTGGAGAGTCTGTATTTACAGCAAGCGATGGTTCCAATTTTGATTTGTCTAACAAAGTGTCATCCCTAATGACAAGATTAGGGGAGCCAGCAGCCGAGTCATTGTCTTCAGACTCCGAGGTCTGATTGTCTAGAGTTGAAAATAAGTCGACCAAGTGTCTTTTACACAACTCAGACAGGGACTTGACTCTAGTACTAGCATCCTCTAGTGATGATGAGGCTCCACTGTCATTTGAATGAACAGCATCCAGGAGATCCAAATCAACTGAAGACTTGGTACCCAATACACGATCTTGATGCAAGGACTTGCCATCCAGCATGGCTTGAGAAAGTAAAGCTTCTGGCTGTGTGTCAAGTAACTCAGCAGGTAAGTGTGTCTCAGGTGACTTGACTGTGTTTTCTGACAAACTACTTTGAACTTGTGCTACATTCTTCTGCGCTGGGTTTTTGACAGGTTTTGCTTGCACTAGAACTGCCTTCCCTTTGGGGGGTTTGTGCAGGGAGACTAGAGGTTTGATTGAGGACAGGTGAGAGGCCTGTGCTGGCTGACCTGGGGTCTGTGATGTCAGCGTCCAGACACTGTCAGCAGGGAGGGTTGTGGTGGGGGCGGACACCTGGCCAGGCCTGAGGGTCACCACCTGGATGTTGCCTCCCACAACCACTGGGCTGTCTGTGTGAGGCTTGGCTGCAGGGTTAGCTATGACAACACTGCTTTTGGTCTTGCCTAGTGTTGATATTGTGGTCAGGGGCTTGACCAGCACGGCTGTTGTGGCAGCTGTCAGATTGGCTTGTACAACTTCTTTAGGTGTGGATGAAGCTTCGGTCTCCTCCACTGATCCCTGGCTGCTCAGTGATGCCACTTGAAATGAAGGTGTGAACAGGGTCGTGGGTGATGTCATGGGTGTTGTTGACTTGACTGAAAACAAGTCCGGGTGAAACAGAGTTGTTTTCCCATTGTTCTCCAGTGCCACGTATTGCCTCCCCTTCTCCAGGTTGAGAAAAGCTTTCTTGATGATGCTCCCATGCTCCATGCTCTTGGTGTAGGTCAGGGGCTGGAGCAAACTGCTGCCTGAGGGCGCCACGCCCCCACCTGCCTCCTCTATCACAATTGGTGGGGGGAAATGTGTCTTTTTGATTGGAGCAAGAATGTTCTGGATGATAATTTGTTGGACATCAGTGCTGTGTTTGACAACTGGCAGGGCAGTGGCATCTGTCAGTGGTGGTGACATGGTGACCAGATGGTCGTCTTCAAACACTATTTCTTCTTCTGTCACCTGCTCAAAGCCCGCCACTTCTGAACTGCCTGCTTCAATAAAGTAGTTCTTTCTATGCCTCCCTAAGCCTTTGCCTCTCTTTTTACTGCTCCCAGAGGAATGGCTGCCGGACTGAATTTTGGAGCCACTGAACAAGCCTTTGGCACAAGGTGTTTCAATCATAAATTTGCCATCTGCCGCATCCGATTTCTTCAATACAGAGATTTTATTTGTGTCATTTAACATGCTGCGGATAGTCCGAGATTTAGGCTTGGAGTGGCCTAAGTCAGCCTCTGTGTCAGCACTTTCTAGTGTGCGCCTTAGTATTTCCTGGTACTTTTGAGATTTGTTTGAGACGGTTGTGTACACTTCAATATCAGCAGCAGTACACTCTACTGGCTCCCCGTACACTATTTCTTCATGTTCTATATCAATATCTGAATCTTCTACTTCCTCATCTGAGTAGGATAGTTCGGCCTTGATTTCTTCTATAGCACTATGTTTGCTTTTGCTGGATTTAGAAGACGTGCCATTTTTCTCAGCATTGTCCAGGCGTGTGGCAGCCTCCAGGAGGAGCAGACAGGAGGACATGAGAGGCTCCTGGGACTCGGAAAGACTTTTAGATGTGATACGTTTTGACCTGCGACACAGAATTTTTGGGGAGTTGCTGCGGTGTTTGGTGCCTGGGGATAAAGCCGAGGAGGGGCTGGTCTCTTCCCTGCAGTCTGAAGAACAGCTCTCAGTGGACTTTCTCTTGCTGCCTTTTTTCACAGAACAAGTTGTGGTCTCCACACTCTCTGAGGCTCCGAGGCATGTCTCATCCACTTGGAGTGAGGACTTCCTTTTCCTGGTCATGTAGCCCTTAGACTCTTCTTTGACAACACTACTCACAGAGTAATGTTTACCAGCTGAGTCTGTTTTATCACTGTCTTCATCTGTCTCCTCATTATGCTCAACTTTAAATTTTGATTGCAGCTTCTTCAACATTTTTGTGTTGTTGAGCTGGATATCATGAGAGGTGTGTCCAGCATCCAAACCTGCAGAGCTCATGGCAGCTGAAGCCAGCTGGTCTAAGTTGGATATTAACAGATTTTTTACATAGTCTCCTTCATCTGGTGCACTCAGCACCTCCTTATGCAGAACAATGGATCCCACACCTTGCCGCAAGACAATTGTCTTTTCTGTAATGGTCAAGATAAAAGTTTAGATACAAAATAAACAAATTAAATATTCAACTTTAAGGTTTTAAATACAGATATTTGAAATAACCTTTTTATAGTATTAATATACTTTATAAATAATGGATAATTAGAATAAACCATGAAAATAAAAGTTCTACTGCTCATACGAGTTTTATCAGGTCCCGCAGAATAGTCATGGTCATGATGTAGACCATAGTCCTCCTCAGGAACATCTGATTTATCATCCAACTTCTGTACAATTACCTGTTGTCAAATAAAAACAGAGAGCATTAGTGTTTTTCTTCAATGAAACCTGAGATCAAATGAGAACAACTTTAGCACAGCAGTAATAGCGTTATGATGAAGACACTAGTAAAGATTGTACTCACCTTGTCCTCTTGAGAGGCATCAGACTCAGTCTCAGACCCACATTCTTCACTAGACGCCAAGTCTAAAACAAGGGACTGAACTGTGTGTCTGGCTGGTTTCTCATCATACTCAAGACTTTCTAACAGCTCTTGTTTATCATAGCTAGGATGTTCGTATGTCTCCTTTACTCCTACAAGCAAGAAATTTCAAATTAAACATTTCAGTTAAAACAACAGGTCGAATATCTTGTATATGTAAAAAGTATTTAGCATAATACCCATACTGTCTTCATTAGTTTAGTCTGTATCTTACTTTTTGTTTTGGCTCTCTTTCTACTGATGCTTTGTTCATCATTACTTTGGAGGAATTTGTATGTTCTGCATGCATTTCGACCCCTCCGTTCTAATGCATTAGTCAACTCAACAACATCGTGCAAGCTGTGAAGTGCACACCGGAAATTGGCTTTCCATCTCTTTGGTTCAGGAGGGTCCCCCTCTTTGTAGATGCCTACAAATGGATGGATAAAAAATTAGCATACAGATAGTACAGATTATAGATACAGATTATATTTCAAGTGCTTGAATAAAACAGTTATTTGATATTGTTTTCCTAAACTTTTACCATCTTCAAAGAGGAAATCTTCTTCTTCTTCTTCGTTCTTAATTATTAGTGTTGAAGGGGATCGAGATTTATCTGCCAGTGGGTTTGAACTCGAAACTTTGATCGAATTAATCAACCATGAGCTTTTTGCCGACTCGACCACGCCTCCAACACAATTAAGCATAAAGTGTCAACTGGTTATGCGCCATTGAGGCCATTGACTCCGATTTCAGCCTGCTTTTCTTTTTGGATTTGCTTCCATAGCCTTTGTCCAACCAAGAACAAACTACAAGGCAGCAGTTGTTTAATTTTGGAGTTGTCTCTCCTAGAAGAGTGGCTGTCCCCAGCTAACGAGCCTCATCTACCCGAGGGTTCGAACTCGAGACTTTTTGGTTTAGCAACCATGAGCTTTGCCGACTCGACCACGCCGACCCCTAAAGAGGAAATAATTTTACCTGTATGCCGTGCCCATCGCTCAAAAACATCTCCATCAGTTTCAAGGTTCCACCCAAGACGAGAGGCGTGTTTCCATGATATCTGAAATATTCCTTCATGCCTGTTGGTCCAGCGCAAGCCAAATACATTCCCGACATCTAACAGCTCCATTAGCCATGGACGCATCCTTTGACGATCAATAGGTCTTACTGGACGTCGCAACTTACAGATTTCTTTTCTATCCAGAGAAGGGAACTTTTCAAAGTCAATCTGTAAAGGAACTACTTTCTTTCCTGAGGTGCCTGGTGCTGTGCTGGTGGAGACTGTTATTACCTCAATGCTGTGAGGTGTGTCCAAATCCTAGTATAGGTAATCATACAGCTTTAAATTAGGCATATTTTAAAATTTAAATTTCAAAAAACTTCTCTAATTTATTTTTGACAGATATTTAATCTTTCATGCTGATCTATGTATGAGGTTTAAACATGCAGGAACATACTTTTAAAAGTTCCCATAGATTGAGATAGAAAGAGGCGAAGAAAAGAAAGAAAGTCCAACAAAGCAAACCTTGCTACAGAATAGAGTAACATTTGCATACTCACCATTTTGGTCACTATTTTCGTTCCAAGAATGTAACAGCCTGAAAAAAAAAATTGAGCTTTTTATTTTAATAACAAAAAGAACAATCTAAATTTTAAAATGTGTAGGCACAATGAAAAATGTAAAATTATTTTCATGTATATAAAAACTTAACAGAAATGGTCTTTTTTTAGCTAGTTACAGGTTTCTGATTTAGAGAAGAAAGGTAACTCTACCTTTGCTTAAGTTCATTTTTTAAAATTGCATAGATGCAGTTTTACACAAATATAAGGTAAACTTAGGTTTAAAAAAAAACACGGAAGTTTCATTTAAGTATTACTTTAAGAGTAGACTAATTGTTAATTAAAGCTTAGTAATTATATATAGGCCTTTATAGCCTATATCAGTGGTAATACTAATAGTATACTATAGGTTATGTATGAGTCATTTTTAGTAGGCCTAATCATCATATGTGACAAAAATCAGATGTTTTTATGATATTATAACTTAGTAAAATAATAAACAATTGAGTAGAAGCCTTGACCTAGCTTCTTAGTCTTAAACTAAACTATCGTATAGGCCTAAAAAAATAAAAAATGTTTGTGATCGGTGTAGTCAGTGTAACTCAGTAACTCACTGAGTCTCACTGAGTCTCAGTGACTGTACTGTACCAGCCTGAGTCTTTTTTTTTTTAATTTTAGTTTTTTTTTTTCAAGTTTTGAAGTACTGGCTTCCTCAAATATAATAAATCATACCGCCTTAAACATTTTAATCAAACAATAATATTAAGGTTAGTGTTTACTGTTAGTGTTAGCTGTGAGTTCAGTCATAAAAAAAAATAATCTAAAAAAACAAGTGGTCAAAACGAAAGTGAAACTAGCAAAATAAAAACAATACAATAGCAAGCCAGTGTTTTTCATATAGCCTATATGAAATGTTTTCGTTTGTGTAGATATCTTATTTATAAATGACTTACGTCTCTCTAACAGCTAATAACAACAGAAATCAATCAAATATATTTTTGTTGGTAGGGACATTCAAGTTTCTCTTTCATTACGGAAGTACCTATTACGCATTCTATATTCAAGGGGAGATAATATGCGAACGCTTGTTTTTTCCACTGTTTTATCGTTGTAGGTGGCACTGCATGAGTAAAATAATTTAGCTTTCTGTTTATACGCATGCGTGAAAACATTAGCAACTGTACTTTTCCTTTCGATGTTAAAAATAATCGACATTTAGCCTAGTCACGGATGAATGCGTTATGAAATCGTTATTTTTTCAGCCGTAATCTTTAGCGTTTTTTATTTGTTTTTTTTTAATAATTAGATCTACACCTTCGCAACTTTTTTTTTTAATTTCACCCATACCCAAACCCAACCCGTTATATTTTTATGATTAGAAAAAAGGAGTGGGGGGGGGGGGGGGGGGGGTGTTAGAATCAGTGTTACCGAGGTTCCTACTCATATTCCAAGCCAAAAATTCTCACTTATATTCAAGCAGCTACCTGTTCAGTTAATATTTGTTTGATAGAAATCACCAAATTGTTCGTAGACAATACTAATTGTACTGCAGCACCTTGTATTTGTTTATTCTAGTAATAAACTGTCTGTAAATTGTGTGAGTATAGGTCTGGCCTACATAATATTATGTAGAACCACGGGAGAGTGGAATTGATGCGAAATTTTGCTGAAATTTTCTAAAAACAGACAGATTTATAATAAAGAAAATTTTGTTTACATTTTCTGCCTACATACATAGATTTAAGTCCCGAAAACTTTAAGAAGCTGTTGACCCTGTTTAACTAAAAGACAGTATAAGCCTAATTGACTAATTGAGTATGTCTTTTTTAATTAATCTTTTTTTTTTATTATTTGTAATAGACATAGATCTAGATCTAATTATGAGAGGCCTATTTGGCATAGTACATCACCAGGGACGCTATGAGCAAATTACGTTGCTTTTCATTGGATAATCATCTGCTGTTAACCAATCATCTAACGTTATTTGTAACCGGAAGCAAAAGATCCCTGTGTCAACGTCTATGAAGCTACATTCCTTTATAAACACTTCACTTATGGAAAAATAAAACAGTACTTATAACAGTTATTTATTACCGTACCTTATTCAATCTTCGAAAATGGTAATGCATGTGTAATGCTGTCATTTTGATGTTATTCATCTGATCAAATAGATTCTATATCTTATCTAGATTCTAGATAATAGATATTAATTACTAAGATATACTAAAGAAAATTAGGTAATCTATCGTTTTGGGTACGTAAAATCGCCCGCGATTTGTAATGTGAAAAACAGGTGACTCCTTAAATTTTAATAAATATTTCACATTTTGAGGAGGATTAATGTTTTAAAAAATTCAAAAATGTTTCCTTGATTCATTTATGTACCTGTTTTTAAACAATTGAATTAAAACTTTTCCGTAATAAATGAAGACTAGCGATGTTTCCAACAGATGCAACCATGCTCATTTACTATAGCAGCCATCTTGTCTAAGTTTTATTTTTATAAGCTTTTAGCGCCAGATTCAGGGGGAAGCCACTCTAATTTTACAAATGGCTGCTGATTATATAGCAAATCTTGCTCTCAGACACTGCTGTTTAAAGTTAATTTCTGGCCTATATCGATATACATAGCCATTGATTTAGTTTTATTATTCATTTATCTATAATATTTGACACAAAAGTATGACAATATACTTCTATTAAAGCCTTGACAATGAGGTAACGTTTTCGTACATAAATAGCCGCGGGCGATTTTACGTACCCAAAACGATAGATTACCGAAAATTATGTCTGTTTAGGCCTACTTTGTTTAGTTTAAAATTAAACAACTTAAGTTTTAACTTACTTACTACTTAGAGTCTAATACTTATTAATATTATACTTAATTAATTATGCTACTTTAAACTTTTTTAAACCTATTTTATTTTAAACTTTAAAGTAAACTAATATTTAAATATTAGTATGTAAACTTTCTGTACTTATCTTTGTTCAACTTCATTACTTTTAATGGCCTATAATAATACTAGACTATAATTATTAGTTTATTAGGGGCCTATTACTTTTTTTAGTTTAATTATTATAAATATTAAATAGGCCTAAGTACTTTAGTTAATTATTATAAATAAGTAGGCCCTGGGCCTAAGTACTGAAGTTTTTGTCTTTTAATAATTCAAATTGGGTTTGGCATGATTGAGTCGGTAAAGCTCATGGTTGTTAAGTCTCGAGTTCGAACCCTCTGGCAGATGAGGCTCATTAGCTGGGGAAAGCTACTCTTCTAGGAGAGACAACTCCAAAATTAAACAACTGCTGCCTTGTATTTTGTTCTTGGCTCGACGAAGGCTATGGAAGCTAATCCAAAAAGAAAAGCAGGCTGAAATTGGAGGCAATGGCCTAAATGGCGCATAACCAGTTGACACGTATACTTAACTGTGTTGGAGGGGTTCCCTTCCAACTAAAAATTAAGAACGAAGAAGAAGAAAGAATTCAAATTGTACTAGATTTTAATATACTTAGCTTTAGTCCTGTGCTGCCTTTTTCAATTTACTTGACTTAACAATTTCATTTAACAATGGCAATCTTGTCTAGACTTTAGATCTACATTCAAGAATAATGACAATATATTTTAACACTAAGTAATTTTTGTCTTAGATGCTCTCTAGAACAAAGCCTGCTGTAGGCCCTGGGGCCACAGCAGCAAGTAAAGACACAAAGAAAAAGAAAAAAATGCCAACTGTGGAGGAATTTCTAGACATGCGGGACTATACTGGTGCCATTACCCTTCTTGAGGTATTTGGATCATTTAATGATGAATGCTGTAATTAATTAGTAATTAGCTGTTCTAACTCTAGTTGAGGAAGCTGTTATTTTTTACTAGATGCTTGTACATTCTTATGAAGTCTGCTCCTTAGATTTATTTGGTGTATAATATCTCACAAAGGCTGTCTAAATTTTCAGTTTAGCAGAAATGCTGGAAAAGGCAATGAAGAAACAGATATGTGGATAGCTTATTGTGCTTTTCACTTGGGTGATTACAAACGAGCAATGGAGGTACCTTGCATTTTACTTTACTAACCTAAATGTTTAGTGCTAAATACGTTTCATTTATAAATGTAATGAAATTGTTATTTATGTATATTTAAAAACAGCTAACTCTTGTATTTGAGTTGCTTTTTATTTAAATTAAATCTTTTTTAATGTTTTTAAATTTTCATATTAGGAATATGAAAGACTTACAAAAAGAGATGGTGTCAACCCAGATATATGGTTGTATCTTGCTTGCTGTCAATTTTTTCTTGGAATGTACCCTGAAGCAGATCAAAACTGTACCAAATGTATGCTTATATTTAAATATCATACCTAATTATTTATATGAAATACTTTTTAAAATCTTCACTGATCAAGGAACTAATAGATTTGACATTTGTAGTTCACGTTATATTTTTTTTTAAATCAGGTCCTAAAGGTCGTCTTCAAAACAGACTTCAGTTTCATCTTTCTCATAAGTTTGGAGATGAGCGCCGATTAATGAGCTTTCACCAGAACCTGCAAGATATCATTGAAGATCAATTGTCCCTTGCATCTATTCACTATTTGCGTAGCCACTATCAGGAGGCTATAGATATATACAAGAGGATCTTACTTGACAATAGGTTTGTTTTGGGTTTTTTCTTTTGTCTTGAAATATTTGTGTATTTAACTACTCACTGTAATAAAATACTTTTTCACTTTTTACAAAAGAAGCAAACCATTTATTCCTAAATTTGTTGTACTTATTGCAGGGATTACCTAGCATTGAATGTCTATGTTGCCTTGTGTTATTACAAACTGGACTACTATGATGTCTCACAGGTAATAGACAATTATAAAACATTTTTAACAACTCAACTATTCATGCCTAAATAATCCAAACTTTAAAAATTAAAAGCAAGACTAGAATTTGGATTCTTTTTTCAAGATATTCTATAATATTTACTTTTAAACTTGTTCCTTTGTTTTCCAAGCTAGTGTTCATAATTCTGCCAGATTTACTCATTGCGAATTAGTGTGTTGTTTAAAATATTGATATTAATACATTCTATCAGGAAGTGTTAGCTGTATACCTGCAACAGTTTCAAGACAGTGCTGTGGCCCTCAATCTGAAAGCTTGCAACCACTTTAGGCTGTATAATGGCAAGGCTGCTGAGGTGAGAATGGCATCACATTTTGAAGTTTTAACACATTTCATTTACGCTGAAGAAGTTGACTTTCTGATGCTTTCTTATGTTGTTAATATATTATTGTGTGTGTTTGTGATATAATTAAGTATTTTTGAAAAATGTATGATTTTTGTCGCTGGGTTTAAAATTATCCTAGTGTTGGACTAATTATTTTTTAGGCTGAACTGAAAGCTCTTCAGGAAATGGCATCTCCATCATTTCAGTTTGCTCAAGATTTGATTAAACATAATCAGGTATTGGAAACATTTAAAATGTAAAGTAGAAAGGTAAAGAGATTGTGATATATGTGTGGTTTAAATGTTAGCTTTTACAGATACCATTGTTGTTGTATAATTTATTTTCAAATTGTTAGTTACAACAAACTTAATTTATTTGGTTTTATGTATGCTCTAATTATTTTGAGTCAATATTGATGCAGATGTTAAAAACAAATTATTGGATTTTTCAAACAAAATTTTTCTCTTTTTTAACAATTAGGTAGTTTTTCGAAATGGTGAAGGGTCTTTACAAGTATTACCTCCCTTAATAGATGTGATCCCAGAGGCCAGACTTAACCTAGTCATTTACTATCTTAAACAAGGTAACATTCAGACTTAACCTAGTCATTTACTATCTTAAACAAGGTAACATTCAGGCTTAAACTAGTCATTTACTATTTAAAGCAAGGTAACATTAAGACTTAACCTAATCATTTACTATCTTAAACAAGGTAACATTCAGACTTAACCTAGTCATTTACTATCTTAAACAAGGTAACATTCAGGCTTAAATTATGCTATTCATCACCCCTCTATAGTCATTTTAATTATATTTGTTTGAATAATGTGCTCCATATCATCCAAAGATGACATACCAGAAGCTTACAACTTGATCAAAGATTTAGAGCCCACGACTCCTCAAGAATATATTCTCAAGGGTGTGGTGAATGCTGCACTTGGACAAGAACAAGGATCGGTTGGTTGGTTTTTTAATTTTACTGTGTGTTAAGGCATTAAAATTATCAACTGAACTGATTCAAAAAATGAACATTCCTTAAGAATAGAATAAATTTAACCTTGCAGAGAGAACACATGAAGATTGCCCAGCAATACTTCCAGCTTGTAGGTGGTTCTGCCAGTGAATGTGGTATGTATGTACATTCTCTTTCTAACATCTGAATGTGTTTCAACTTCTCTTGAAGAAAAGGAACTGAATTTCTCAATCTTATCATGAATTTATAAACTGCATTAATATTAGTAATACACTTCTCCATATGATTACACCAATAACGTTTTTGTTATAAAAGTATTTGTGAGCTGAGTTACTGTAAGATTAATTTCTGTGCATTTATTACATATATCTATATTTTTTTAGATACTATCCCTGGTAGACAGTGTATGGCGTCTTGTTTTTTCTTGCTTAAACAGTTTGAAGATGTTCTCATTTACTTGAACTCAATCAAGGTATTTTCATTTACTGGTGTGAAGTATCAATGTTAAAACATATTTTTAAAATACTAATGGAATATTTATTTGGATTTTAAGTTATATTTCTAGAACTAAGTTATCTTTCAGATCAATTTTCTAATTTGTATTTAGTGTATTATTGGTTTTTTCAAAACAATATATCTTTCTACATAATTAGATTTTAATATTTTCAGAGTTATTTCTACAATGATGATACCTTTAATTTCAATTATGCTCAAGCCAAAGCTGCAGTTGGTAACTTCAAAGAAGCTGAAGAAGTTAGTATTTATAACATAAATGCTTACAGTATATCATATTTGTTATTTATTTATACCAGCAGGAGATGTTTTAATAATTGTTTTTGTCCTTTCAGATTTTTTTGCTAATACAAAGTGAGAAGACAAAAAATGATTACACATACTTGAGCTGGCTTGCTAGAACATGTAAGTTTATCATGTACTGCAGCTTGTTTTATTACCTTGTCATTTTAATTGGTTGACATTTGAGTTAGATTGATGTTTTCTAACTATGGTAAATGTCAAACACTATTTTAAGATTTTGATTCTGATAAAACATGTTATCTAAAAATGTTTGTACTCTGAAAAGACATCATGAACAGAAAAGCCAGGCTAGCTTGGGAGTTGTATTTAAAAATGGAAACATCTGGAGAATCATTCAGCTTACTGCAACTTATTGCTAATGACTGCTACAAGGTAGAATTAGAATTTCAACCCTTTTTTGTGTGCATATTTACTAAGTTAATTTAATTTTTCTGAATTTGCTTTGTTTTTAGTTAAAGCAGTTTTATAATTCTGATCTAGCAATATATTTTGTTTTGAATTTGTTTTTAGATGGGACAGTTTTATTATGCTGCTAAGGCATTTGATGTGCTAGAAAGATTGGATCCTAACCCTGAATATTGGGAAGGCAAGCGGGGAGCTTGTGTTGGGGTCTTTCAGCTCATTATTGCTGGCAGTGAACAAAGGTAGTGTTTACATTTTTTACTTGATATAACTATTAAAATAAGTTAAATAATTATTACTGCTTTTTAGTCTCAATAATTTTTATTTAGTTACTACAAGATACAAGTATGCAGCTGTTAATGTTATTGGCTGCTGTATTGTTTTTATTTATGTGGGTATCAAAATAAGAAGAATTACATAGTGTACAGAGATGTAATGTTTTACAGGGAAAAACTATTGGAGATAATACAAATTCTTCTCAATAGTCGATATCCTCAGGTAGAGGAAATGATTTGTGCGTTTAGAAAATGGGGATGTGAAAATACACTTATGCTGTGAATGGATCACAGTGAGACTGTGGTTTTTTTTCAAGAGTTTGTTATTTGCGTTTAGTTTATCAACTTCTTGTGTGATTTCTTTTGTTAAGGTCTTATAATAGTATCACTTTTTTTTTTGTTGAAAGTTAAATTATGGTTTGAGTTTAATTAGTTTTTTGTGTTTACTTTAATCCAGTTGTTTTTTTTTACATAACATACACAAATACAAATTGGTATTTAATAATATTTATTGCTTAAAAATATTTGTTTTTATTGATGACATTTTGTCAAGTCATAATTGTATTTTTAAAATAATACACACAAATATAAATAGATATTTAATAACTATTTTTTTATGTTCTATTTGTCAAATGACAGTGATGGAGTTGTGAACATTAAATGTACAAAATTTCTAGATTTTTTAAAAAAGATTAAATTTACCTAAAAGTCTGGAATGCAGAATAGTGATTTTTAAAAACCTAGTGCCTACATTTTTTCTTTTTTTCCTGCAGAGAAACTCTGCGAGATGTCATCAACATGTTGCGCAATACAAGCAATCCTCAGGTGGAGTACATCATTAGGACAATGAAGAAGTGGGCTAAAGACAACATGGTGCCTGTACCATAAACACAACTATTTTTGTTATTCCATCTGTGATAGTTTGTTTTGTTTTTAATTTTTATAACTTATGTATGCAATTCTTTAAATTAAACAAGCACATTAATTTAGTGCTTTTATCTAATAAAAATGTCCTAGCTTTTATCTGTAAATCAGATGAATTCAAACTGATTTTTCAGTTTTACTGCAACTGAAAGTCGAATTGTTGGGGAATTTTTATTATACATTTCTGTGTAATTATAAACTGAACAACAAATGTTAAACAAAAGATCTGGTATGGAATATCACATACTGTTTGGCTTAGGAGATTTTTTGAATACTGTCAGTGTTTATAGAATTTTTTTGTACATTTATATTTTGTAAGTAAGAGCACCTGTTTGTAAATACATTTCAGATAATATTTTGAACAAGATAAATTTTAATAATTTTTACATGAAGATCAGTCTCCTGTTTATTAGTATGTTCAATACAATGTGTTGTATTCTTGATACAGTTTTAAAAAGTATAGAAGGTTACAAGTTATTGTCTTTTTGGAAAATCTGGTCGATAATATAATCAAATCAAAACATTTAAATACAAATGTACTTGTTTTTCAAAGTAGACACAATAAAAATGACTTTTAACTGAATTGTTTGTATTGTCATTTGATCTGAAATAACATACTTTTATCTTAACCGTAACATGATAGTCACAACTCTTATTTTAGCTATTAGATTATGGCTGCTCACTGTACACATAAGAATGTTATGGATTTAGCTATTTTTATGATAGTTTAGCTTACAGACATAGCACTTCATACTGCAAAAAAATTGACTTTACAAAGCCTTTTATAGATAAGTAATTGAAAATCTACACAATGAAAACTGTAGATTTATGTGGTTTTTATTTTGTAACAATCACATTAGTTTTTAATACTTGGAATGGGTATACTTAACAATTCATAGGTAGTTACTAATAAATATCACATTAACAAAATATGGGCAAAATATTTACTTAGGAGTCTTGTAAAAAATTACATTCAACATTCAGTCATAAATTATAGGCTAGCACAATGCAAGGTAAAACATTAAGGATTTTTCACACACATTTTAAAACTGTACATATTTATAAACAAAATATTAAAGCAATCCTTTGATTTAAAAACGGTACAAAAATATTTAAAACTTGTGTCATGTTGTGATATATCTTGGACTTCAGTTCACAACAATTAACATTGGCAGTGGGCTTTTAGCCTATAATATCATTAAATAGAATATATAACATTATCTTTATAAAAACATGCAGACCAATGAAAGAAAAAGCACTGTTCTAAGAATGCAGTCCAATCACTAGTTAGAATGGTGAATTCATACCCAGCTTTGTATCAAAATCTAAGCGAGCTCTTCTTTGCCTCCTCACAGCCAATCTAATAGAAAAAGATGTGACAAACATTTTTAAAATGAGAATAGCAGTATTGTGGACAATACTTTAACAAACAGAATTTGGAATATCTAAGAGGATGAAGTGGTCAGATGATAGAGCTCACTATCACTGACCCGAGTTCTGATCCAGAGTTTATAAGTCTATCCAGCTCTAATTGGTACCTAACATTACGAAAACAAAGACGACAGAGAGCTGACCACTCTATCCCTCATATACAGGGTAAAAAGATAAACTCTACTTCATCTGTATGTTGTGCACAAGAAGATGATGCTATTAAACTAGTACCATATACAAGGTTGAGGGAATAAATGAGAATTGTATGGAGTAAATAAGAAATATTACTTGATTTCCCTCTTCTTAGCAAGTTCATTGAGAGAGATGGTGATGAGAGGCCATACACATCCTATAACCCAAACAGCTGGCACTACATCAGACAGAGGCAAGGCAGATCCAAAGGTATTGTGCCTCATGTACACGTCTGCTACACAGAAGACAATTTGTGTTGCAAGTCTGAAATTTATTTTTAAAGAAATTTTTATTAAGAAATGAGCAAATTTCTGAATTATTCAAAACAATTTTAAATATCATACTAGTGTATTTTATAATAAATAACTCCATCACTGGTATGGTTAATAAAAAAATTAAAATGTTTGAAGATTATGCTAGATTGGCTGCAATAAAGAAAGTTGTATTTATAAGAATGTACTAGTATAATCAGGGCAAATAAACTACAAGTACATCACAGGCATCTTGTGACACTATGTCAGAGTTTAGCAAGCTCACACAATTTTCTTTATACATATTGCTAATAAAGCTAATAAGATACTAATTAAGGGTGTTGTTTTATATTGGCCAGATATTTGTAGCTAAGGTAATTCATAATGCAGGCCAGACTGAACTTTTCTTCCTGCCAGTTACTTACAAGATTCCAGCAGTTAGAGACCAAACCAAATTTTTAAATGGCAGTCTCTGCCAGAGATGGTCTTGCCAGTGGACTAGACTCATTGATATTGCAACTGTGGTCAAGAGATAATATGTTCTTTCATAAATTTGTGTGCAAGTGTCAAAAAACAAACAATTTTTTTATGTAAAGAAACATTATCATAAAAACATCATTTGTGAAGTATAAGCTAAAGAATAAAAAAAAAATTAAATTTTTAAACGACAAGAGAGCTTACCAAGAAAAATGACAAAATACAAGTGAAAAATGTTTTGCGCCAGGACCAGCCCACCTTGAAATTTCTGGCTCCATGAAGTGATGTTGGAGCTGTTGGCATCATATCTGTTCAATCAAGTTAATTCTTGTGTCATTTACAGACGTTACACAGAAAAACTAAAAAGTATTTAATTAATTAAATTATTTTAAATTTAAACTCAAGCAAAGATGGTTTTATTAATTGATAATATTAATAGAAATCAACTCATTAAGTTTAAACTTAATAGTAAACTGCTGTTAATATGTACTTAATCAAATTTTTTATTTGTAGCTAATAAAAACAATACCTGATTTCGTATATAGAACAGTGAACAGTAGAAACATTCTCACAGAATGAATGTAGCACTAATGCAAAGCTGAGCACAGCAATAATGATGGACGGCAGGAAGCGGGTACAAAACTGGAGGACGAATTCAATTATCATCTGAAGAAAAATATTTTAAAACATGAATGGACACGACATTTTAAACAGGTAATCTTTATTCAAATAATTTGTGGCTGATATTACCTGTTTGTTGACATGGTGAATGTTTTTATGTGTGGCAAGTCCCACTGTCCTTGCCTCATTTGGGTTGCCCAGCAGTGAAAGACTAAGGGCGGGTACGACTACTAGGACCAGCCATAGAACATGTTGGACGTCCATGACAGGCGGCAAGAGAAACAGGCAACAGACAAACTGGGACAGCACAACAGCCAGAAGACAGCACAGCATAAGGTAGAAGCAGTTCCTCATGGCAAATATGTAGTGTCTTGACTAAAAAGATGGAAATAAGAGATATTATGAAACAAAACTTGTATTATAAAAAGGAAGAATGGTTGAGACACTATTAAACTTGAATTGTATAGAGAAAACATTGCAAGATATGTCATTGTTGAAGCTCATGTATGCAACTGTATGTCCATATGACTACTAAATGTAATCTAATGGTAAGGTTAAAAGAAAAGATAGAAAAATTTAATTTAAAAAAAAAAAGAAAAAAGTTTTATAAATTAGAAACATTTTAAACTGGTAGGCCTATTACTCAACAGATCATACAAAGCTGGCCAAATATCCATCCAACAGTTCCAGTCATCTATATATATAATTTTCTTCTGGGAGCCGTTAGAAAACAAGCTGCAAGCGCCTCCTTGCAGTCCCCTCTCTTTCTCTCTATCACTATCACTACCACCCCCACCCCACCCCCACATTGTCTGGTGAGCTGTGGTCACGCTAAATGTTTACAAAGCTAAATGTTTACAAATCATAGAGCCGTAGAGCCGGGTTTCTATTAGGGGCAGATAATTTAGTTCGATTTTAAACTTACAGGAGGTAACTAAGAAATAACTAAGAGGAGGCTGCTTTCATGGGGGGGGGGGGGGGGGGGGTGTAGAGTCGGGGTTAGGGGAAAGGGGGGGGGGGGGGTTAGTGTTTTAAAGCAAATATTTTCAGTGGCAGCATTGGTACTGTCGAATTCACAAATTATGAATTACTGAAAAGTAGAAAATAAAACAACTAAATAGCGGCGTATGATACGCTGCGGGTCGGCTCGTCTTATATATTGTGTATACCTCCATTATAAGCTGCACCAATGTTATATTGTCTCCTCTTTGAAAAAATAAGCAACAAGGCAGAGACAGGATCCTAGAGGAAAGTTCAATTGGTGTTGGCTCATCTTCATTCCAGGGATAGGTCATGACAGGGTGTCTGGCGCACAGTTGTGGGAATAAGGGCTCAATGGCTATACTGTCACAAATTTAAAGAGGAACATTAGAACAGTTGTGGAAATAAGGGTTCAATGGCTATACTGTCACAAATTTATAGTGGAACATTAGAACAGTTGTGGGAATAAGGGTTCAATGGCTATACTGTCACAAATTTAAAATATAACATTAACATATCGTGGGAAACAATATTTATAATTTTCACTGTAAAAACATTGATATAATTATTAAAGTACATTATACAATTTAACAGATTATATTAAGACTAGCATACCTGCTATCAGCCTGCATAAAAACAGGTGTATTGACAATATTTAATGAGCTGCCAACTACTAGCACAACCTCACCATTTTCTTGCATAATTTTTACCATTTCACACGTTGCTGAAATTTATTTTTTAAATTTTTTTATTATAATTTCTAAAATCTTTTCATAAACATTTAATAACTAGAAAAATTATACAAATTTTGCTGACATTAAACAAATTATACAAATTTTGCTGACATTAAACAAATTATACAAATTTTGCTGTTTAAAAATACTGCTTAGTTTAAAGTATTTAAATGACATTAAACATGTCGAGATTATATGTGAATTTACATTAAGCAAATGTCAGAATATGTTTGACTAGACTTAAAGCAATTGTTGGCCAGACTGTATCTGATTATCCCTAATGTTATGAGCTAACCTTCAGGCACACAGTCTGTGAACAAGTTCACCAACAGTGGAACATTGTCAATGTTTTGTAGATGAGGTCTAATGTTTTCTATACCCCTGGGTAGGTGGGCCTGGCAGATGAAAATATAACAATCAATACAAATTACTTAGTCCTAACTTTTCTTGTTAAAATCAGTTTAACATTTTAAATATTATTTATTTTGATATGATGGATGTCAGAAAAACTAGTTTGCTTAAGTTATGAAGTCATTGCTCATTTTAAATGCTGATCAGGTGATTAAAGGGAGAGCAGTAAATTTTTAAACCATGTGTTAAAGCAGATATGTCATCATTTGAGTGATTTTTATTACTAGGCTTAGAATTGTGAATCTGAAAGAAACAGTTCTGAGCTAACATAACATATTAAAATTATGTGTGTAAAAATTAGATGGTCTAGTTTGAAAGTATTACCATAATAAAAATGTTATTTACAACATAATAAATAACAGTACATTTATTAGTAATGAAAATGTATGAGGTGTTAGATGATGTAAATGTTTTAAAGCCAACTGTAAGCGATGCTAAGTTTGAAGAGATTTACTTGCAAATGGCTCACTGACCCCTTACACACAAGCAGGAATATGTCAACTAAATCAATTCATTTTTAAATATTTAAAGTATGAATGAACTTAACTGCTTAATTTAAAAATTATTCAGGTGTAATGCATATATGTCATTACATTCCTTGGGGGAGGGGAGAAAGGGGGATTGCTATTTGTGATAATGTATAATAAGATGAAGAAAAATGTGGTTAAAATTATCTCAGAAAGATTGACCTAAGACTATAATGTATAAGATTCTCAACTTAATAAAAAAATCTGTATAAGCACATAATAGTAAATATTGGCGTAACAAATGCTGATTCTCAAAGGCATTGTAACTAGATTGTCAAGTGTTTTCTTTTAGATTTTAACACAGGGCTATATAAACTTGACTTAAAACAATCTGTTTGAAAATTAATGGAAATATTTCTATACCATAATTTACCTAACAGTTGTAATTAGAAAAAAAAGTGAGATTTACATTAAAAAATGTTTTAAAATAGGCTTAATGCAGCAACAACTACGGTTTTCACGTTGGATGCGAATGATTGGTTAGCATGTATTGTCTTTACTAAATCAACATTCTATGTAGTAATATACAGGTGATATAATTAGAGGTATGTGAGGCTTAACTAAGGTAGGGGCAGGTGAAACATCACTGGGGACTGGTAAGAAATCAGTGTACAGAGATATATTGAGGGGGGTGGAAAGGGGGGGACAATGGAGAACATGACAATATAACTGGGGACTGGTAATACCATTTAAAATTTTAGCACCAGAATGATTAAGGAAATAGGTCAAAATAATATTTTGAAAATACATTCTATTTTTACCTGACTTAAAGCTATAAAGTAAACTGATCATAATTTTATTGTCAGTTTTCTAAAATTATGTAAGTAGTCTAAATATATTTTTGTAATTTGTTATTATAAAGCTTTTTTTTTTTTAATTTGTAAATGTGAGCCAAAAAAGTTAAAGCAAATAAAAGAAATTTTCAACATCCATCCTGAAACAGTGAATTGGCAGAAATGAAAATGAAACACAAAACAAATGGCATGCAAAATAAAAAAAGAGGTTCCCATGTCCCAAAACAACCGTTGAGTTAAATACCTCTCCTTTAAACTCGGCTCTCCAATGACTAGTAGTAGTGGTTAAATTCACATCAGAATTATGATTTTGCTAGAGTATAGAAAAGGTTGCTTATGTGTAGAAGTTAGGTAAACAATTTCTGGCAGTAACAAGAGTATCAATACTGTAGAACATAGGCACAAAGTCTGACAATAATTTAATGGAAGTTTTTTCTTCCATAGTATAGGCCAACATGTTTTAAATGTTAAGGTCTATGATATCTGGTTATTGATTAAAGATGTATATATATAGGATTATGAATTGTTATTTTGATAAGAACATTGATATCTTATATGTAAAATAAATGGTAAAAAGAAAATGAGCTAAAATCAGAAGCCACATAAAAGATTTAACCTTAGGGCACCGAGTGCATAGAAAAACAACATCTAGCATACAAGAAAGTTGAGAGGAAACTGTATTCACCCTATTGTCTAGTGCACCAGTTAAACTGTCCTCTGTGTTCTCCGTCACATAACTGGAGGTGTAACGGCTATCAGACTGGACATCAAAATCTTCCTCATCGTCCTCATCCTCGTATTCAGATTCTGCCCAAGATTTGTGCCCTCTGCGTGGCACCAGTCTTCGCTTGTCCTCATCCTCTAGCTCGCTGTTGTTCTCAACCTCATTGTCATTTTTATTTTGCTCCGTCAAGGCGGCTTCTTTCAGCAGAGCTGAGGTTTCATCTCCGTCCTGCTCGTCGTAGTTACCTTTGCCACAGATGGTAGAGCCCACATCAGTCAGTAGAATGCTGTCCTCTGTCACTGAGTCATGATCAGGTACCATTGGCAGTGTGTCTTTTGCAAATTTTACCTACATTTAGATCAACATTTTACAATTCAGTAATGTGAATGGCACAATTTTTTTTTTACCTTGTTTGGATGATTATTCAGTATGGATTAAAATGAATGTTAATGTTACAATGTAAACAACCAATTTTTAGTGACTATTAGGATTACTTTGTTTATGTCACAACTATTGATTTATTTGGCATACACAGTTTGAGAATGTAAAGTAAAAAGTGTATGGAAGTGTACTGAAGCAACTACCTGAACTTCTTGAGTATTTACAAAACTTGGAGCACTCTGTGTACGTGGAACAAACATGGGATTGGTTACACAGAGAGATCCTGTGGTCAAGTCCCTGGAGCGTATCAAACCCTGAGGGTTACTGCCAGTTTCAGACATGGGTCCATCTGCTGCCTCCCCCTGCACATTGTTGCACAGGCTGGAGAGGTTTCTGCTGGAGGAGTTCTCTGAGGCAACAGACTCAGCAGCCATGAGAGAAACATGACAGTTCCACCCCGCTTCCAGACCCATCTTTTCTGCAAAAACCTAAAAAAAATTATGTGGGATTATTTATTTTAAAAACTGTTTTATAGTTTTATAGTGTATGTTTATAACAAAGTTAAAAAATACATTTTAAAATGTGAACTTACTCGACTTCTTACTTCATTTTCTTTTGAAAAATGAACAAATCTTATACAGGCTGACTCCAGTTTGTCAATTAATTGAACAAAATCCTGGAATAATAAAGAGAATAGAGATTCAACATTTTGCTCAATATTACAAGGTGCCCAGTAAGATATCCCATGTTACTATTTCTTAACTCTCGCACATGACAAATTAAACACAAATCAGAAAAACAAGATTAGATAGGTTGATAATAAAAATAGAATTAAACGATATTGACTGATTTAACCATAAATAAACATATCTAAGCTAGCTTCATTGATTAAATATAAATCAAAATAAGGTTAGCTTGACATAACATAATAACAAAAGAAGACAAACTTGACTGATTAAACATAAAAACATAACTTAAGTACCCAGACTAATTTAACATAAGATGACAAACAAGACTTGCCTGCCTGGCTTGATATTGCAAGGAGACCATCCCAATGAAGGTCTGATGAGACTGAAGCATCTTGCCCAGGCCCAGCTCCTCCATGGATGTTGTGGGGCTCATCTCCAGCAGGGAGTCAACACTGTGGGACCTGGGGTGTCTTTGGATCTCCTCATCCCCATCCAGGAACACCCTGTGTGAAATGGCACTCATGTTAAAAGGTGTGTGTAGTTTTGTATACAATGACATAACTACCAACATCTAGAATACACTTTGTATGATGGAACTTGTGATAAATAGTGTATGTAGTTTATGTACTCAGTGACATCACTAATACCATCCAGTAACACTCTGTGTGAAACGGCACTCATGTTAAAAGGTGTGTGTAGTTTTACAATGACATTATCATCTAGGAAACTGATGGCACTGCTACTCACCCCATATCCTCACCATGAGCTACTTTACTCACCCCATATCCTCACCATGAGCTACTTTAGTTGTACTCACCCCATATCCTCACCATGAGCTACTTTAGTTGTACTCACCCCATATCCTCACCATGAGCTACTTTAGTTGTACTCACCCCATATCCTCACCATGAGCTACTTTAGTTGTACTCACCCCATATCCTCACCATGAGCTACTGTACTCACCCCATATCCTCACCATGAGCTACTTTAGTTGTACTTGGAGTCTCCATTAGTTCTGTGTACACATCGCTGGACCACTCTTCCACAGACTTTGGCAGTGGCTTGTACGCAAATGCTGTACAGTACGCGATCATTGAATTTCTGTGGTAAAAGTCAAGCACCCTCTTCCTGTAGAAAGCATGTCACAATAGCATTCACATAATGAAGACAGTACTTGACCATTACATTGATCAACTCGTAGGTCACAGCTTATAATGGTACCAATGCTAGAATATAATCCTCTGACCTGTACTTGACCATCGCATTGATCAACTCATAGGTCACAGGTTATAATGGTACCAATGCTAGAATGTAATCCTCTGACCTGTCCATCTCTGTGAGAGTTTGAAGATCTGTCCCATTCCAGGCATCAGTGCAACAGTCCAGGACCAGATCTCCTGTTCCTTGGGTCATCAGCTGGCACATCCCTGCAGAGGGAAATCTTTTCAATAAAGATTAAATATGTTGGGAACAATAGAAATCTTTTAAATAAAGATTAAATATGTTGGGGATAATAGAACTCTTTTAAATAAAGATTAAATATGTTGGGAATAATAGAAATCTTTTAAATAAAGATTAAATATGTTGGGAACAATAGAAATCTTTTAAATAAAGATTAAATATGTTGGGGATAATAGAACTCTTTTAAATAAAGATTAAATATGTTGGGAATAATAGAAATCTTTTAAATAAAGATTAAATATGTTGGGAACAATAGAAATCTTTTAAATAAAGATTAAATATGTTGGGAATAGTAGAAATCTTTTAAATAAAGATTAAATATGTTGGGAATAATAGAAGCCTTTAAAATAATTAGTAAATATGTAGTAGAGAATATAAACATTTTATATGAACATTTTAAATAAACATTCAATATGCAAGCTTTAAGAACAATACTCACAAATGATTTTAGTAAAGCAGACTGAAACTAACAGAGCTTTTTAAGCTAACTTATTAAATTTGTAACCATTAGCTTAGAGTAGAAAGAAAATGTTACCAGTCAACTTATCCCTGACCACCACAGACACCTGGTTGGGCATGGGGATCTTGTGCTGAATGAATGATCTAGCTCGGTTCTGCTTCTCCCTCTCAGCCTCTTCGTGTGGCTAGAAAAATAGGGATGTCAGGACAATTTTTATTGCACTAGTTCAAGCTAAATAGAATGATTTGTGTTGTCTAAAGACTTTTAATACAAAGACTGGAGAACTAACTCACAAAGTCAAATACACAAAATTTACAAGAAGAAAAGTGTGTTGGGTTAGTCTGTTTTTAAGTTCAGTTCAGTCAAGGTCACTAGTTGTTACAGTTATTGACCCACAGAGTATGTGCATACAATTTCTTCTAATGGAACTCACCACTTGTCTATAAACACCAAGGGTGGCCTCATGTGTAAATATATTCACAGCATCATCAACAAAACCAATTTCCCTTGGTAGTAAACACAAGCACCTGTAAGGGATGAAATGAATTAATTTTCTAAACTTGCACATATATTTCAAATAAAGCAGTATTATGAACTATTGGGTCTAGAACAAATGTTAAGTGTTGCATGCAAGGTCTAAAAATGTGCCAACATTTTAAATTCAAATAAAATAGTAATGTGAACTTTGGCATCTAGGGCAGGAGTGATCTGTTGCAGGTAATGTACCCTTTCAGACCTTATGGTCCTTCTGGGTATATGCAAACAAAGACTGTGTCTTTAAACTCTACTTATAAAAAGATTATTTAGCCAGCCACTATGTCCAGCCACTTTCACCTGAGTCAGTCAGGTACACATTACAGATGAGAGGACTCAGGAAATGTCTTAAGGACTTGATCCTAGGATATGGAAACTGTCAGATTAACTAACATTAAATACAACTCCAGCACACTACTGCTGCATGTGATGTAAATAAAAATACAGTAAAAAGGCAACCTTCTGTTAATAACAGCAACTGTGTCTTTTTTTTCTCTGGCAGCGCATGACACGTGATCTGTAAACTGGGTGTACCACTCTGATGTGCAGGGGTTGCAGGTGTTCAGGAGGATGTTCAGACCCTAGGACAGAGGCAACAGACATAGAAACCAACAGACCCTAGGACAGAGTCAGGAGACATAGAAACCAACACACCCTAGGACAGAGTCATCAGACATAGAAACCAACAGTTGCATTTAAAATGCCATTTTTTCATACAGGGAATTATCTAAAAAGTAGCCCAGTGTTTCGTTAACAAGCTTAGTCTAGTAGTCCGAGTCAGCTTCACTAATAAGAAATAAACCCACCCTCTATTGGAAGAGCTTACCAATGGTTTAAGGGCAGAAAGATGATTTTTCCAGTTGGGGTCATCAAACAAGACACCAAAAGCATCCTAGAATTTCAAATGTTTCTGCTTTTATTGACATATGATATGCAAAACTGACTCAAATGTATTTTTATCAAAATAAAATTAAGTAGTAATGAAGATAAAGAAAAACAACGACAAAAAGGACAATTTTCAATTATAGTCACAATTTATATTCCCAGATTTGATGCCATTAGATTATATTTATCAAGATATTTATCAAGAAAACTGTATTAGCATATCATGCTGTGAGTGAAAAAAACCCACCCTTAGTTTCGCAGCATCGTGTGTCATATCCAACACTTCAATGTTTGATGAGGGGTCACTGTCTGCGAAAATATAAAATTTTAGGTTGGTTGCATCCAACTATTCAGATGATGCTATGAAAGATAAAATTATTGATTTGTTAATGAACTTATAACGAATTAGCTTCTTCCATGTTCGTGTACCTGATGGAGTCTTGTGTCGTCTCCTACGTTTTATCACCTTTTTTTCATCTTTATCATTTTTATCATCTTCGTCGTCTTCATGGAACTCTTGCTTAGAGGCAGAGGAGAAGAAGAAAACCTTTTCTGCTGAAGGATTAGGCCAGGACAGGATTCCTTTCTTGTCCACACAACACAAAGCCTGTTGAACAGGTATCAAGATTTGTGTAATAAGAGCATGCATCAAGTTTTTATTGGTTCAAGAACAACTACAAGTTTATATGGTTTGAAAACATGTAGCAAGTTTTTAATGTTTATAAAACATGTTCCACTTTTTTAATGGTTCAAGTACAAGTACCAAAATTTTAATTGTTTCAAGAACATGTACCAAGTTTTCACTGTTTTATAAAAACATACAAAGTTTTTAATGATTTAAATAATGTTCTAACCATCCAAGTTAACAATACTGCTATGATAGAATCTAAAGAATTGCTAGCAATGAACTGATGAAATAAAACTCTCCTTACAGTGACACTGCCAAGGGCATGAAGCATCTCAAAATCTGGACAGATAATAGGTCGTTTAGCCCAGAACATGTCCCAGAACCGGCTTAGTGTTTCTGGCCAGCTTATGCTGATGTCAGCATCTTTAACCGAAATGTTGCTGCAACTTCCTAAACTTTCGGTGGAGTCTTTAAAATCCTATCAGAAGGAGATTATGAATGTTAAAACAGTGAAAAATTGTATATTTTGATGTAGGATTTTCAAAATTAGAATAAAATTCAGGAATATTTTTTTTTTGCTAACGAACACCTTAAACTGAAACATCAGCTCTCGAGTGTTTTTTAAAATGGACATCTGATTGACTGAAACACGATATAGAATCTATTTTCATATTACCTTTAATGAGCGGAAAATATCATAAGCAGCAAAAATGTGAGCCTGTCCAAATATGTTGACCACAGTCCACAAAAATGGCAGGAGGACTGGAACTAGAGGGAGGGCCCCATGGACCTGTACAAAGTAATCTCATTTTAAAAAATTCATTCATAATGAGTATTAAATTTAATAAGAATTTATGTGAATACTATCATTAATTATTCTGACTTAAGAATTCTATTTGAATTTTATTTATACTATGCCTATAATTAAATGTAATGATTTAAGAATTGTATCTAAGCTGTAATTACAAATATTGAATTCATTATTATATTTATACTATAATTAATTATACTGAATTAACTATTGTATGCATACTATAATGTTCTGCAAAAAAAGTAAAAAAAAAACTGCCAAAAGGAATAAAACAGCACCTGTAAAACTAAAATAAGTTCAGTCCAATGTCCTCCTCCTTTCTCTAAATACAAATATCTTGACACATTAATAGCTAAAAACAAAAGCTGAAACACAAACAAAAACTGCTTGACGTTTAAACAATATGAAAGTCTTTAAACTCAGAGTAGTTTTACAATTAAAACTTTAAAAAAAAAAAAACTGGCAGAAATATTCTCAAGAGCAGAAATTTTTATAAGGAATGTTAACAAAAATGTAACATAAATCCAATCATACAATAATGAATTACAATTTATTTGTTTTGATCACACAATCTTATAGGTAACTTAGCAATCACACACTATCTTAGCATGAGGTGCAATTAAAAAAAAAACTTAGAATAACTTACAAAAGTTACAGGTAAAAATCTCTGCTCAAGCCAAACATTGCACACAGTGTAGCGCTCATTTTCTAAAAAACTAAGTGGCTTGCTTGGATTTTCTTCAAACATAGACCTGGAAAAAAGTGGAATTCACTTCTGATATTATTTAAGGTCATTTATTTGATAATTTATGCATTAGAATAATATCCTTCACAGTATTAGTTTGATCCTAAGCAAGTAATGTATAAGGTCCAATGAGTTATAGTAATCAGATTAATTGATTAAGTGCAAGAAATTTCAGTGAAAGATGAACTTTACTTGATATTCTTTATAATAGGTGTTTCTTTGAGAACAAATTTCTTAGGAACAAGCGGTTTCCTTGGTTGTGGCCCTTCCCCTGACTCCTGATGCATTTCAGAGAAATAAATCTCCCCAGATTTTAGCACCATGTCACCCTATATAAAGATGTTACAGCATAAGAAATTATGGTTTTATTAGTAAAATAAAAATTTCTAATTGCAATGATAATTTACAACTGAGAAATACCTGAATAATGCATAAATAAGAATTATAGGGGAAACAACTTTAGTGTCTACACAGCTGTACATAAAGAAGAAAGGAGAAATAGCTCCACAACTTATGAAAGAACAAAAGGAGAAACACATCTACAAATGTACAAAAAAAAGAAAGGAGAATTACCTCTACAGCCTGACAATGTTCAGGCGCTGGATGACCTGGTCTGAGCATTATAACATCCCCAGCAACCAGGAGTGTGTGTGGTAAGTTGACCAACATCTTGTCCCGCATGCACCACTGTAGGGATATACAAGGTGACATTGGCGTGTGCAGGTGGGGATAGTTCTCTGAGCTCCAGGTACTATTGGTGACAGCATCTGTTATAGAAAGCATTTCAACAAGACATCAGTATGGTGATAACATCCTTTGGAAACTCTCAGTTTATGGTTTAATTTTGTGTAATTAACCTACATACAAATATTTCAATAAATATTTTTTTAACAAGAAAAATCATTGAAATTGCATTGATAAATTTAAATCTGCTTACAATTAAAAGATTTATTTTTAAGTTTTTACAGCAGCAAAGAGTTATTTGGCCTTGTTTTGACAGACACTATCATATATTTACCTTGGAGGATCTTTATAAATGCTTTCTTTAAGCCAATGTCTTTAGCTGTGTTTCTTTTAATTCTTAAGCAAATTAGGAGGCAGTTAAAAGCTATAGATAATATGAGTAGAACAGCTTCAACAACCAGCCATGCTCTGCTACCTGATGAAAATCTAAAACAAACGATAACATGAGATTAATGAATAATTTGTACAAATCTGAACAGCAAATTATCAGACTAAGCTGTTTGAATTGATATTGAACAAGCAATTTTAAGGAAGTGGCAGACTGAGACAATGTTAAAATATATTTTTTCACTATAAATTGCTTCACATAAACTAGATGTTGCATATAATATAATTAAGGCCTCACCAACCCTGGTTAACTGGCATTAGTTTCATATTATAGTGCAAGCATTATTTACTGCCTGTCTATGGCATTTGATGTTATATACCCATTTATTGAAAGAGTCTCATGTCAATCTTAATCATTTTTTTTTAATATGTTGAAATGCCAAGGCCAAATTTAAAGAAAAACAACATCTAAATGACATCGGTTGTGAACAAACACCCTTGAACTCACTTATCAACTTCTTCCATAGAAGCCGCAACAAGCAAAGCCACAGCCATGCCAAGTACAGAGAAAAATGAAATTGGTGTGTAACGGGAAGATCTGCACAGCATTTGTGACACAAATCTTTTGAAACATGTTTTTTGTAAAATCTGCTCATGTTCATCCACAATACTGGTAATTTCATTGCACAACTTCTGTACTGCCTCAGATGAACTAAGACCACTCATTTTACATACATATCTGAAAAACACAAAAAGAATAGCTTTCAATGTAACACATATGCTATAGGCACCATGCATGCACTCCAACTCTCTAACCCTCCTCCCGCCTCCTCCCTTGCTCTCCAGGCATGGGCAACAGCGTGTGTACCCACCCACCCCTTTTGGACAACTGTGTCTTTCAGGTAGTCTTCACCCGTCACTAAATAGCGGCGTATGTTACACGGGTTAGCTTGTATTTTTATTTCTGTGTTTTTTCTCTAAGATGGTATTCATTAAAATAAACTAAATAGAAAGAAGTTGTTAAAAAATATAAGTCTGCATCAAAGTTCATATAAATCATCGGCGCATTGAAATTTAGGTGCGCTAAAATTTTTCACAGATATCAGTGCAATTTATGCCCAACAAGACTGCCAATTGGTAATAAAAATTTGGGCGATTCCAGCCGGAAAAGGATATGCATGCGTAATGGAGAAAAAATACCGCCTTCATTTGCTGTGATATTTTTTATGATACTGGGCATGCAGGTGTTTACAAAACAAACCGCAGAACCCTAACCTTAATCCTTACCTAACCCTAGCGCAGCTATTAATATTATATCACTGCGCTTGCGCAGAACTAATGAGTTTCTTATCTTCTGCCGAAGACCTGTTTTATCACCTTTTTTTCATCTTTATCACCTGTACGTCTAGCTAGGTCTAGATAGAGGCTAGCTAGAGGTCCTTGCTAGATTCTAATCTAAATTCTAAATATTAGTAAATAAATTAAATCTAGGCCTACGGACATTAATATATAATATATACTATAGCTCTAGATCTAAATCTAGACTAGACTAGTAGTAGTAACACATACATTGTCAATGTCACATTATTTTTAAAGGGATGTGTGACACTTCATCATTCTAAAATCTGTAGCCAGAAACCAAGTCGGTAAAATAAATAAATTAGGCCTACAAATTATAAAACCAAAACAATTGTAAATGTACTCTCTATTTATCAAAACAGCAATTAACCACCAATTTATTCATTGAACATGGTATCTCTACTGACATTTAAAAGTTGAAAAAGGGCATTTTTGTTTCTGCTAAATGTATAATATTCTAAAGGCTAAATAATAATATAAATAAGTACATTTTAGCCAAGTTGTTTCAACATATAGATCTAGATCTAAGCATGAATTAGTATAGTATAGGACAGTATGTATAGGTAGACAGTTGTGTATTATAGTGTAGGCCTATAGCTTGCAACGGTGATTTAGAACCACACAATTCATAACATATAGATTTACAGTCGAATCTAATAATTTTAATAGTAGTACTCAAATAACAGTTCTGAAGTCCAGAAGTAGGCCTAATTTTAAAAAAAAAATGATAGGACCTAATCATTACCCATTTGGCATTTAATCATCAGCTAGATCCATATCTTATGAGTGATTCCTCTTAGGGCCTAATTGCTTCTTCGAGCTGACAAAGACACATATTTTAATGCCCTTTATCTTGGCTAACTGTATTCGTGAATATTATAATTTCGAAATAGATTTAGATCTACATCTTTAAATAATATGAGTAAAAAAATCTTAAAACTTGTCATTTTGAACGTATGTGTGTATTTATTGTCGATTGCTTGACTTTAGAGTTACTTCTTGATAATGTAATCAGTATTCTGAATTTATAATCGATTAGTGATTAGGCCTAATTTGAATATCATAATCACGATAAGTAAGAGACAGGCTGCATAAAACTTAATGCAAATACTATAGGCCTAGCTATTTTTAGTTCTAAACTGTATCTTTTTGAGCATAAAACTGCATGTAATGTAAGTTTAAGAAGTAATATTTCTAATTTCTTAAATCATGTTTATCGATACAATACACAATGAAGGTTATATTTTTACTCTATGAGTACTGGCCTAGAATATTGTTTTCCGTCGCCTAGACACGAAAAAATAATATAGATTTCTAGATCTAGATGTAGAATCTAGAATAGATTCTCTAGACTGGATCTAGATATAGATTCTAGATATGCAAAATGAGAAATTATCTAGTCAAGGGCTGATCTAGATTAGATCTAGATTTCTAGAATCTAGACTATTTCATTATTTGTCGATCTATTTTTTATTTTGTGACATACATTGAGTACATATAGTTAGTACATTGACGACACATTCACATTGAAATTGTATTACACACTGACACCCCCACTACTGTTAACATGATACATGTGTTAAGTGTTAGTGTGTGTTAGTGTAAGCAAGGCAAGTGTTAGTGTACTTACTTCTTAGTGTAGTCACAGTTAACATCAAGCCGGTCATCACCAGCCCTGTGGTTTCGTGGTGAAGAGAATCAGAATGTGGCTGTTGTTATTACTTGTGTTGTTTGTTAGCGTGTTAGTTACAGCAGTCCCTCTGTTTTGTTTCTTCTTTAAAAAAAATATTTGGGGTATTTTTTATACCAGTGTCTGATAATAGAATCTTCTTATTGAATTGGTAGTTAACTAAAATAAAATACTCACATGGCTTGCTAATGCCTGTGTTTAATTTAATGTCATTGCTAACCAACCCTATCTCTAACCTAATCCCAACCCTAGTAGTGACCTAGTCATACCATACGCTTAATCCTAATTTCTAACGAAGTGGTACTTTACTCCAAATAGCCCTCAGAAGGCTATTTGTACTTTGCTCTTTTTAGCCGACCAAGCAAATTTATTGTTAAATTTAATATTGTCCTGTGCATGCGTGCATGATTATTTTTTTATTATCTTGTGTATGACACTCGACTTTTAAATAATATTGGAACTTTTCGGGTGGTCTAAGTGGTTACGCATTGGCTGGTTAGTTTCCGTGGCGTAGGTTCCATTCCTTTTGGCTCGGATTGGAGTTTGTATTTATTTTATTTAAATTTTATTTAAAGTTTAGGAATTAGGGTTAAGTTTAGTTAGGCATTAGGGTAGGTTTAGATGAGTTTGGCATTAGGGGATAGGGTTTAGGATTGGGCTTAGGTTTAGTGATAAGGTTAGATCTAAAAAAATAGTTCTACATTGCATGAATAAGGGAATTTAAGGATCACAGATAAATGTCTCACTCTGATTGGTCAGAGTACAAATAGCCTTCATAGGGCTATTTGTAGTGAAGTACGAATAGCCGCAGCCATTTTTAACCATAAAACAAGTCAAGGTTACAATTCTATAAACAACCTACCACACCTATTTTTGGAAGAAACTATTATAATTATTGGACATCAGTATCTGCAATCATCCAAACATGTTTCTTGTCATGTAAAAATCAGTCTGGTACACTGTGAATGACAATCAAATCAATAAGAATAAAACATTGATTATTTATAATCATTAGAAATTAATAATAGTTGACAGACCAATCTAATTATTAAATTAAAATTAGGCCTAAAAACTTAGAGAGGTAAGTAGGGCAAGCTTTATAGTTTAGGCCTAGGCCCTATAGGCCTATATATTTAATTAATTGCTTAGGCTTAATCATTTTCATCAAGTAGATCTAAATTTACTGTAGACTAGATTATCTCTAGATCTAGCTTTGTTTGCTAGAGTAGTCTGTCTGTAAGTTTAGACTAGAGGCTAGAGAGAGATTTCTAAAAAGTAATAGGCCTGTAGACTACTGTAGCTAGAATATAGATAATAGATCTATTTAGCAGATAAATATGAAATTTTATTATGTGTATTACTTTTAGCATAGAGGTTCAAGCAAAAGATAAATAGCTTTGATACATCCTACCAGCTGCTCAATTGTTTACTGTTAAGAAGGCTTAAGAGTTCCTGTTGATTAGCCTACCCATGGCCCTCTGTTGAGCAGCATGGCATGAATGAATAGATGTTAGGGTGGGTTGTTGTTTATTTTTTGTTGTTTTTTTGGTGGGGGGGGGGGGGGGGGGGTTGTAGGCCTAGTGAGCAGCATGCTGGCTATTAAAAAATATTGCTCTGCTTAATCACAGAATAGACACACCGCTTATTATAGTTCAATATTACCTAACAACCATTTTGTAACATTGATACTGTGATGTTAATTATTGATCAAGCTGATGTATCAAAATAATCTTTTTTTTTCCAGAAAATCCCCTTCATTCAATGTGCTTTCATAACCTAAAACACACAGAATGGCCTATACATCAGTGAAAAATCGTCAAACAAAAAGCTCTCTGCAATTTGAATTAGACTCATATCACATCTTAGATATAGAGATTGATGACACAGGAATAGAAGCATGTCAAACAGGGCTGTGTGATATTGATAAAGCAGAAATAGCACTGTTAAAGTATCATGAAATTCCAGAATTTCTGAAAGGAAATCCATTTGTTGTTAAAGGCTACAGATCAATGCTTCCATTTTCTATGTGCATGAAAAGGTAAACAAGAAGAAAGTTTTATTTTTCTATTATTTTATACTCTCATTATTATACTCTATTTTAGTAACAAGTTTTAATCATCTTAGGATTGTTTTAAAGATTGTTTAGGTTTGAGTTACATAATTATGAGGTTTATTATCACTTTTACCAAGTGAAGGAAATATTAAAAAGTTTTTAAATTGTTTATATTTGAATAATTACATAATAAATTACGATCACAAAAGTATGAAACTAGTTCCATTAAATGGATATTAGATACATTTGTAGTTGCACAATGATATTTGATCTTAGCTACAAACATATGAAAATGCATACTGTTGTACAATTAAACCATCATAAAATATCCAGTTCCAAAATTTAAAAAGCAGCCTACATTTTTTAGCTATGCTTTAAAGATTTATTCTTTAACTAATCTCAGTTATCTGTAAATATTTCAGCTTATTGTACTGGACGAATGAGACGTTAAACATTTGGACTCATCTTTTTGGATTCTTTGTTTTTCTTCTGCTGGTGTTGTATGACAATCTAGTGACACTTCCAAATTTAGGCGGCTCATTTTCTGATCATGTTATTTTAACTATTGGACTTGTTTGCTTCATGGTAATGTTTCTTTAAATATTTTTAAAAAGTTAATATTCATTTTATTTTTTATTTCTAGCTAGCTGTGAACTATTGTATTTGAATCTAATAACTTGATTTTTTTTAAAAAAATGTAAATACTTTATTTAATACTTTATAAAGTAAGACTTACATTTAACACAGCCAATATTGGAAGTAGGAAATATTTTTCCCAAATACTGTTTTTACAAAAAGATTTCCATCTACTTGAAAATCTTAATGTATTATTCTATAATTAAAAAAAACTCATAGGTTTCAATATTTAATGTTTTTAGGTGATTGAGTTAAAGTTATTTTCTGATGCTTCTGTTTTTTTCCTTTTAGCCAATACTTAAATTTGAAAATTGTTAATTGTACACAAATGAAAATTCAGACAAGATTAATAAACATTTCAGTTTTGTATGCTGTGTTCCACTGGCTTTCACATCTTCTGTTGCCATTCTGAGAGAGCAAGTCGCAGATGGCTGGCTGTTGACATGACAGGAGTCTCCATGGGCATCATAGGATGTTATCTGCCTGCTGTGCATTATGCGTTTTATTGCTTATCTGTACGTAATGTTTCCTTGATCTTTGCTTTGTTTACTTTTTATAGGGGAGTAGTCTGGTTCCATCAACTTCAGGTGGGCTCCTAATGTAAACAAGCAGAAAGTATCTGCTGATCGCAAGTGGGAATAACTTTATAATCCCCTGTGCTGACCACGCAGTTCTATGATATGGCCACTATTGATGTTACGGTTTGAAAGGGCAGCGTTAAATTTTCTATGTAGAAATTTTGTGGCCTAAATGGTGCACAGTACCCTTACTATCTTGGCTTGTAACTTAAGATATTTACACCAAGTCTATCACACAGATTATTGGTACTAATCAATATTTTCCTGTGATATCATAATAAATAGATTAAATTACAACTAGTATGCCAATAGCTTAATATCTCTTTTTGATGACAATCAATTTTTGAAAATTGCATATTCAATTATTTATCTTTTTAAATGTTAAAGATGAAAGGATTTACTTGTTGTGTTTTCATGACTTAATATTTTTTTACCTTCTAGATATGGAGAGATTTGTACATGATCATCATCACTGTGCTTTCTGTTTGTACGTTGATGTTCCAGCTTCATCCCAATTTTTTTACCCACCATTGGTTTTATACACGTATTAGCGTGTATGTTGGTCTTTCCTCTTATGGGGTTTTACCAACACTTCACTGGATTTATCTAAATGGTGGAATGTCTTCTCCCCTAGTTCAAGTATGTTGATGTATTATTACTTAGAAAAGTATCTTGAGATATACAAAAATATAAAGCAGCCTACAATAAATATTAACTTAGCTTTCAGTGTAATTTCAACATTCTTAGACAGTAAGTTACAAAATTAGCTTTTGATTTCAGATGTTTGTCCCAAAAGTCACAATGATGTACATGCTTGGTGGGCTAGCATTTTCCTTTTATATTACCAAGTTTCCAGAAAGACTTTTCCCAGGTGGGTTTTGTAGACATTTTATTAAGATTGTAAATATTTAATCATGATACATCTTTATTACAAAAATGTGTAAACTAATTGAATTTGTTTCATCTTTGTCATGTTATTTCTATATTTCAACCTTTTTTTAAAACAATTTTTCAGGAAAATTTGATTACATTGGTTCCAGTCATCAGATATGGCATACACTTATAGTGATTGCATTTTGTTATTGGCATAAAGCTGGTGAGGAAATCCTAATGTTTAGGATATCTAACGAATGTCCAGCTTAACAAGACTGATCACCTTCTACCTGAGATATTTAGCTGTGATCAAACCATTTTTTTATCTATTTATTTTTACTTTTGAATTACTAGAAAATCTTTTTATGTACTTAACTAATATCAATGGCATAACATGACTGTAAAGTGTTCCTTAAAGAGAAGAATACCAGATACAAGAAACAATACTTAAATACATCAAACTTATAAATCCAAGTATAAATTATATTTATATATAAGTGTAATACTTAATTTTAAAAATAGCACAGATAAATTATTTAATTTAAAATATGTGTCAATTAGTTTTTCTTGGATAAACAAGAATCCAAAAAGTCTCTCAGCAAAGAATTAAAGACCAGAGCATTCATATATAAAAAAAAAAATTTGAATTTTTTTTTTACTACATTGTAATTTTTTTATCAGAACATGATAGTACAATGTGAAAAACAGGTAAATTCAGTGTTTATTAAAAGTTAGTAGGACAACACTTATTTATAAATATCAAATTGTGTATAGTAAAAAGTTCAGTGCTAGCTTTGAACAACTTAAGATATATGAATTTAAACTTACAACTGAGTTATATTCCCTATTGGGAAAACCATGTCTGATGTTTAAAATGATCATAAGTATGATTTAGGTATTTAACCTTTGAGTATTCTGGCATGCCACAGATTTCTTGGTACACACATTTGGCCAAGATATTTTCTTCCATGTTTTAAAATCAGATTATTTTTGTTCACATTTTATATCTGTTGTTTATGCAATAGTTTATGTAAGTTAAGAAAAACTGTTTTTTTACAAGCTCACTTAGTACTTGAGATTAAAGTATTATTTATCACTAAAACAATCAAATATGATAATTTTATTTTACATGAAATGAACACTGCAGCTGAAGGTGTCAATGGTTACTTTTTAAACTTAAGTTACTGTGTTTACGTCTCTTTTTGTAATCCTTTACTATTTTTCATACATTATCATGGGTTGATCTATCATGGCTGGGGAAATTGAGGGGGGTGGTGTGACTAGTTAAAAAGCTTTGCTAATTTTTATGATACTGAATGTATTGTAAGTCTTCTGTTCTTAATATTTTTAATGTATAATTGTATAGCTTTGGGTGGATCACTGGAGGGTCATGAAGGTCGAGCCCCTCCCCCCCCCCCCCCCCCCCCCCCAACTCAGGTGCTGGATCAACCTATGGATATTGTATTTTGTATGCCAACACATTCTGTGTTCATAGAGCAGTGAATACTCTCATTTTAAATTGTTTTGTTGGTTGTTTTTTATTTAGCAAGATTAATTTTATTTCTACCTTTACAGGACAATATCTATAATCTTCAAGCAACAAACATTATGTTTTTACAATTTCTTGTCATATTTGTTGTTTTTTTTAAATATTTTCTTTAGATGTCAACTTACGCAATAAACAATTATTTTAATTTTGAAAGAATAATCAACTCATTAAAAATTCTTTTAAAATTGATTAAAGCATTTTATCATAGATGTAGTTTAATTCTACAGTTCTAGCTTAATGTTTTATTTCTCAATGCATTAGGACCTATAATAAACATGTTTACATTAGATACTTTTAGAATAAATTTTGTTTCACAACATGTTCGTGTTTTAATTATGCTGAAAAATGTTGGTCTCTGTGACAATTTAACTTAACAAATTTAGTGTGCTTGTCTGGGGGTGCTTGTGTTACAGTAACTAAAGTTGGAACAAAAGCAGCAACGATGTATCTTTGTGTGATCCCATCGAGATTCTGAACCCTGTCTAGGATACTAGCCCCTAATTACACCCCATGTTAATTTAAATAATCCCTCCTTCCCTACTTATTGAAAACTAGATTGGCTTAGCGGGTACATTGTAACGTTGCTAGACTCTACTTGTGAAGGAGGGAAATTTAGATGTGATAACGGTGAAACTACTGACACTCTCAATGTGCTTATCTATGGCTATTGATTTTGAAGTCTGAAAGATGTATCGTTTGAAGTACATAGGAGTTTAGTATATGTCATTGTTTGGCTTGACTTCCCATGTTTGCCAAGCAGTTTCCATTTATCCAACTTATTATAGAAAATACACTTGCGACATGTTTACTGTACGTCTAGCAATAAGTGAGTTTTGGTAAAATTGGCTTATAGCAACGTTTTTTTTTAGACATGCAAGGGTAAATGCACTGTAACAACAGCCTTAAAGTTTGGCATAGAAAACTGCAAGCCACTGACCATCCAAACAGACGTTTACAAAAACTGGGAATCACTCAGAACAAAGAAATTTCCTGACTTTAACTCTCTAAGATAAGCACACAATTTTAAATTTGTGTTCCACTTTTAGAGTGGGAAAAAACAATTCACAAATTAAAATTTTACAAATACTGTTGTACAAGATATTGTTAACTTGTTATTCATGTTTTTAAACTTTTTTTTTGTTGTATTTTATGGGTATTCTTGACAGTGGTTTATTAATATAGAAGCAAATTGACAGAAGTAAGTTATGTCATGCTTCTACAGGCCCATTAGTTGCAACACTATTTTAGAATCATCTTGGGATACTGAAGTTATTTAGAAACAGCACTTAGATCCTGGAGACTCTGAAATTCTAGGAGAAAAACAATTCAAGAAGATTTCTGGGATTATAAAACTCATCAAGTAAAGTAAAGCAGTTATAAACAGAACACTTTTTATTCAAATGTAAAATGTTTTAATCATATACTGTATATAAAACGTGCATCTCTGGTTTAATTTCATTCAACAGTTTACACTTAATAGAATTTAAATTTTATCAATCGTTATTCAATTCTGGTTACAAAACAGCAGCTCTTGTGTGTCGTTTATTGAATATAAATAACACAAAATAGCAACATCAAAATAATAGTAACATAATTATATAATATTGTTATATAATTATAAGTATATCAAATTGTAGCACAATTTGTTGGTAAAACTAAATATTTTAGAATTTTGGAGATATGATCACAAAAAAGTCTTACATTATAATTATAAACACCTAAAGTAATAATTATTACAAAAAGTATTGAGAACTATTGAATGAGAAGATAAAAGCATGTTATTGTTACATCAGTAATATAAATAAGTAAAATATCTTGAAATAAAAAAATAAAATTGTGTTTACATGTGTCTAAAACTTGTTAAAATGATAATAAGCAAACATAGGAACAGCTTGTATATGTGCCAAATAAGGAATGTTTTGAGCCATGTCATCACAATCAACAAATAAACAAACAAGAGTAAACAACAAATTATTGATTTCTATTATATTTTACAAGGAAGATGCTTAGAGGATTTGAATTGATTTTTAGCACAAACCAAATGTGCTGTTGTCATTCATGTGTAGGGCTACAGGGGTGACTCAACGAGCATAAAAGATACTAAAGATGTGGTAGAACCAAAATCAAAAGTTCAACAAGAGAAAGGAAAGGAAAAGCATTTACAAGAAAATTTAAAGTAATTAATGAACTACTTTGAACCCTAGTTTTAATGCATTTTGTTTTATGTATATATCTACTGATATTGGAAAATTAATGCATCCAATTACAAGGCAATTTGAAGATTTAAAATTACAGCAGTACAAGTAACATCAGGATTTTTTTTTTAAATGTGTATGTGTAGTTACAGAAAAATGTTGAAGTTAAATAGTGGTGGATACAAATAAAAGAAAATTTAAATAGAAACAACTAAGAAATAAAGCCTACACAATTTTTATAACATGATTTATAAAAATCATACACACATCAACAATAATTATCAAATATATTTATGTATAAATAAATCTGTCAAAAGTAACTGACACATTTATTACCTGCTGGCCCAGTGAAACAAGACTTGGGGATGATCAAACATTCTTTAGGGTGCCTGGACATGAATTCCATTTCAAACACTCACTCTTATTTTCCCTGTTAATTTTCTATTTATTTGTTTAATGTAGTATCCAGTGCCATCACAAGGAACTGAGGAAATATCAATAAACTTGTTAAAATTGTCATTAAGTTGAAATATAAACATTTGGAAGAATAATTCAAATTATCAACAACAAAAAAGATGTGGCTAAATATTACAATCAAAAGAACACTTTGACTTGTTTATTTTGGAAGTTGAAAAGATTGCACACACTTAGTTTTAAAACCAATATTTTTGTTGTTTGGTTTAAGCATTTAGTTTAAAGTTAACAGATTAAACTGATTAGTTAACATATATTTTCCGTTAGAAATACAGCCAGTGAACGTTGAGTATTGGTGCAAAATATATTCAGCTAAGTTCAATACAACTGAAAAAGAAATGAGTTATTCCTACAGACCTCTTCATAGCCAATGTTTATCTGGCCAGTTTGATTGACATCTTTTTCTCTAAATTTGTCTGTTAAAGACTTGAGCATAACGCAAGCTTGAATGAAATCATCAAAATTTATACAGTAGCCACCACGGTTGCGGTCAAACACTCGTACAACAACTTGACTGAACTGTGGGGATCTGCAAGTGAAAAAAATGTGTCAATAATGCTATCTCACATAGTGAAGTTGTCAAATATTGATTTGTTAAACTATTAATCATAAGGAGAGTTGATTTTATATTTTAACTGTTCATTACATTTTAGCTGATAATTGTTTTCTACAAGGGTAAGTATTGTAAAAAATCTTACAGTCTATAACCAAATGTCTGTAAAGCTGTTCCAAGCTCATTAGCATCAATGTTTCCAGATCGATCAGTATCAAATCTTAAGAGAACAAAAAATACATGAATGAAAGAAAAAAAAACTGGCCATTTTATAACTATCTAATAAAAATTAATATTTAAATAATTTACCTATCAAAGCAAGCTTTCCAATCTTGAATATATTTCCACAGAGCAGCAAACTCATGAATGTCAATAGTTCCACTTCTACACACACAAAAAAGAGAATGACATAACAGCATATAAGCTAGAATATCTCACTCTACATATTGTTAAAAAATTATAATAAGAAGAGTAAAATACAGGTTAACAATGTTTTTATAAACAGTATGAATGAAGTTCTAATCCTACTAATCCAAACTTATTTTGGTACTTCCTCCCCTTCCCAAAATGTTAAAAAGAAATATAAATGAAGGGGGGGGGGGGGGGTGCTTGATATTTAACTGTATGCATATTTTAAAAACAGTAATCAGCTTTTTAAAGTTTTTGGCCTGTTTAGATAAAAATTAACCATTTATTTGGTGTTCCTGGCACCTGACTGGTGAACATAAAAAAAAAAACATCCTGATCTGTTGCCACTACACAATTAAATACATACGGTTAAAAGAATTCTTATACCAGTTTCAGCTAGTTGAGTGAATTAATATTTGTACCTGTCTTTATCAAACATGCCAATCATAAGTCTACATGTCTCAGGATTAAATGGAGACCAGTTCCCATTCATAAGTGCTTGCTGTAACTCTGTCGCTGTGATCTTCCCTGAACGGTCTGTGTCCACTGACTGCAATTTTATTAAACAATAAAACCGGTTAAATAAGAAAGACAGTTTTTCCTGAGAGCATAGAAAGTTAAATAATCTAAAAGGATGTTGCTAGGGAAATAAATATCAGTCTGACCTGGAACCAAGTCCATAGCTCTGGACTAACACCAGCAGGCATCCCACCTCCACCATAGCCACCAGGGGCAGCACCAAAGTTCCCTTGAGCACCATATCCTCCCTGTTGTTGAGCACCATACCCTCCTTGCTGTGGGGCTCCATATCCTCCTTGCTGAGAGGCACCAAAAGCAGCCCCACCATAACCAGGGGCTTGGCCTGGCGGAGCACCGTACTGAGGGGCCTGACCCATGTGTGGTGCTCCAAACTGTGGTGCTTGTCCTCCTGGTTGGCCAAATTGTCCAGCTGGGGGTTGACCATACGCTGGAGGTGCCCCTCCTTGTCCAGCTCCTTGCCCATAACCACTCTTAGGTTTTATAAAACAATTAATAAAGTTTATTAAATTTTTTAATGACAAACCTAATCATTAGAATTCAAAACATTCTCATTTAATGTGGGAGCAGGATGTTATCCCTTATCAAAATATGGAAGTAGGAAATTACCTCCAAACCATTTAGAGATAGATACAGATATGTTTGGTTTAGGGAAAGGTTAAGATTAGGGATCAGAGTTTCTTTCAGGCATCTCTTCTGAGTGGCAGTGCCACCCCCACCACAACCCAAAAAGCATGTCCACCGCCCCCTGGTGTGAAATGGAATATAATTTATTTAAAAAATATATATTTAACCAGTGTGTCACTGTTTCCTAGATTTGTTAGTTAAATTTAGTCTAACAATGAATTTTAATAAATGAATGATAGTGTATTAGCTATAGATCAAACTAAAGCAAAGATTTCAATTTTTTTTAATATTAAAATTTTTTTTTTTTTTTTAAAAATGGAATGTATCAATACGCAATAATTTAATTTATGTCATACTCTACTCTAGTCTACATTCAAATAGTCATGTCATATTAATTAAATACATACAATACAATATTATATAGAATCTAATGCCTATTAACTAGTATTAACTTAATTTGAGAACCTAATTAAAACTAAAATATAGGCCTACTTTTTTTTACCATTATTATTGTATGTATGTAGATCTATGTAATACTAGTAATAGTAAAACTTCTAGCCTAGTCTAGTAAATATTAAATATAATTTTATTCAAATTAGGCCTATTATTAAAATATTAATTATTAATGATCCCTGTGCCTGTGGAAACATTAACACAGATAAAAAACGTCAACTTACTTACATTATCTTGAGTCTAGATCTACATTCTTATTCTACATCCTTAAACTCAACTTTGTTTTGAAATCAGAAATTACATGTAAAAAAACAGTCACAGTCACATAGGCCTAACTAAAACTACTACTAACTAAACTACTAGTGAGTGAAATCTAGTCTAAAAATCTAAAATCATTAATAATTTGCCTTAGGCCTAAACGTTTTAACTTACATATTGTTGTTGTCCACCCCAAGACATTTTGTTAATAATATACGCCTACAGTCAAAATATTGAACTAGAATATAGGTTTAGAGTCTAGAGATCTAGCGTAAATAAAATGAACAATCTACGTTCAAGTATCATAAGTGTTGTAAGATTTTTTTTCTATGACGAATAAGGAAATGTTAGGAAGTCTTTTGAATGAAGATACGTAAGTTGGTTAGGGTAACTAACACAAATAACAGGCCCAACAAAAATTACAGAGACAAAATGTGAACATACAGACTAGCGTCCTAGATCTAGATCAGTGTTTCTTCCAGACTTTTTTCTCCGGGGGGGGGGGGGGCACTTGAAATTTTCGGGGGGGGGGGGGGCGGTAGACTTTCTTCTAGGGGGGGGGGGGGGGCGGACACTGTTAAAAGTTTATATTTTCTATATAAATTTCATTTCGTTCGGGGGGGGGGGGGGGGGGAAGATGCCTGGAAGAAACTCTGATCTAGATCTAGATCTAATCCAGATCTAGATTCTATCTTTGTCTAGATTGCATATCATATATGATTTTTTTTAAAAACATATTGAATTCATTATTCAATAGTTCTGTTCTAAGTTAAGATTTTAATATTTGAAATCAATTTTAGAAATGATTGTTTATAACCAGGTAATGTTCATGAACTCCAAAATAAAATGCTTCATAGTGTAGTTGTTTTTATCTTCTGTGGTGTGTATTGAAATGTAGATCTAGATCTATAGGCCTACAACATTGTCATAGAGAGGATGGGATGGCATCAGTAAATAACGTCACATAGCAAGAGAAAATGATTTCAGATATAAAATAACTGTGATAACATCATTTCGAACTGTGATTGGGGGGGGGGGGGGGTCTTATAATTTGTAAATTATATTTTTTAAGGCGGTGGGGTTGGGTGTCCTGATTTTTTTGTAACGAAAGTAAATCTGCTAAAATTGCGAGTTCAAATTTCTCCGGGGGGGGGGGGCACTTGATATTTTCGGGGTGGGGGAGGCGGACTAAATTTTCCAAACGGGGGCGGACATTGATAAAAGTATATATTTTCTATAGAAATTCCATTTCGTTGGGGGGGGGGGGGAGTCCCCCGAAGAGATGCCTGGAAGAAAATGTTGCCAAGTTGAGCGATTTTTTGCCTGGCAAAACTAAATGAAAACTTCCCTAAGCTGCATGGAGATGGAAAATAGAAGAACACCACGCTCTCTCACTGTAAGTTGTAGCAACAGATTTCTGAGCTAGTGTCTGAAAAGCAACAACAGAGGTCACGCTGATATGCCGTAAATATTCATAATTATGGGGGGGTTTTCGGTGTGAAAATCATATTTCAATGGTTTTGTTTTTTCAACACAGTGATGTTGATGCGCTGTTCATTTTGTGCATCAGTAAAATATATTATTTTCCCTATTAAGAATGGTTTGGAGAATGCATACTAGGCTGGTAGGGTTCGGTACCTCGAATAGGGTTAAGAAACATTGCTGTAGGGCCTGTACTGAAGACTGGGTTAACAAGTTTTGTAAAATAAAAGGAAAGCGAGACTAAAACAGTCTAATGTGGAAAACGTGAAAACGTCATTTGTTGATGGCAGTGTTTCTCCCAGACTTTTTTTCTCCGGGGGGGGGGGGGGGGGGACACTGTTAAAAGTATGTATTTTCAATATATAATTCCATTTCGTTCGGGGGGGGGGGGGGGGTAGTCTTTCTTCGTCACAAAGCCTGGAAGAAACACTGGTTGATGGGATAGTGAGGTGGAATTATTGTCTGAACGACTGCCATGTAATGCAGCGTGTTGTTGCAGCTTTTGCCGCAGCTTTCCTGACACAATCAGCCATTGTTTTTTTTAGCCCTACCTACCCTATGTCGGTGACAGATCGCGGAGAACAACTTAAACTTCCGGCGAAATTATTTTTGCTCCAGCAATAATGAGCAGCCACAAACGCCGAATACGTGTTTGCAATTTCTCAATTTAAAAAAATTATACCCATGAACTAAATTAAAAAAAAAACTAATGGGAAAAAAATGATTAATTAGTCTGAAAAAAATTGTTTTAAATACAATGATTATATAGCAGTCCCCTATTGTACATCCTACTAATAAATATAAGACATCTATTCGAGGGGGGCTCAGCCCCCCCCCCCCCCCCCCCCCCGATGGAAATGGAATTATTATGGAAAACATACTTTACGAGTGTCCGCCCCCCTCCTCCCCCAAAAACTTCAAGTGCCCCCCCCCCCCCCCCGAGAAAAAGTCTGAAAGTGGCAATGTAGACTCTCGACAGTTTGTACTTGAATATAGATAAAAATAAGAAAATGGCGCTGGATGGGGCACGTCTTAAGAATGATCCAGATGATATTGCAGGAATGGCGCTAAACAGGACGCCTCAAGGAAAATTAAAGCCAAGGTAGACGTGGAGACGCACAGTGGGAAGCTGCCGACAGAGGCAGGACTGTCATGGGGGACTGCCTGGAAAATTGCCGGTGACCGACAAAAGTGGAGGGGGCTTTCTGTGACGGCCCCATGTGTCTTGGGTAAAAAAGGGAAAAGAGGATAAAAATAGACTTTGAAAAATGTTAAATAAGACAAAACAATGACAAGGTGTTGTATGACATACATACAAACAGATAATTTCATAGACGTAACTTTAAAATGAAGTTAATAGAAATTTAAAATGGTTTAGCTCATTTATTTTGAAACAAGTTATCACGAAACAACCGCGTCCATGAAAAAGTGCGCGAATAAGGTTACTCTGGTCATTTCAGAATTTTCCGAATAACCAAATCAACTGTAGTTACATTCAATGTACGCACGGAAGCAGAGTAAATACCGAGATTTACTCTCCATATAACGTTATAGTTGTATTGATTTCTGACGACGGTCTCACAGCCAATTCTAGAGGGAGTGATCTTGAACTTGAATATACTTTTTTTTTTTCATAAAAGGAACAATGTTTGCATTAGATGGGAGTTACATCCCCTTGTTGTTCCAAGATTTCTGTAGGGTTGCTGTTATGTTGGGTTATAGAACTTGAATGTCACTGTGATGGTGGTCTCGCTGTTTGGACTGGTCACCGCAGTTGTTAGATGAGAGGTGTTTGCTAGTGACTCATACTTTTCATTGCTCATATGTGTAGAGGTGCTTTGACCAACACACTAAAACTGTATGGTGCCATGAACTTGGGACAGTCAAGGTAGAGGTTGGATCAAGCTATAGGCGCCCTAGCAATCGCTGGTATTATCAATTATGATCTTTTAAGTCTGTTGGTTATTATCACATTTTACGTTAGTCAAACTTTCCTGGGATCTGTATCCGTTAATCAAACTCTCCTATCTGTATCCGTTAATCAAATTCTCCTTGTATCTGTTAATTAAATTCTCCTATCTGTATCCGTTAATCAAACTCGGATCCAATGGTGATGCTGATGTCACCAGGCTGTATAAAGGTCGAGTGGTACCACAAGTTGGTGTCGAGAATAACTGGGAACAGACAGAAAATAACACATTAGATTATATATATATATATATATATATATATATATATATATATATATATATATATATATATATATATATATATATATATATATATATATATATATCATATATATATATATATACCTCGTTTGTTAAAAAATAACGTATTTCTTCCTAAGACTATTGAGTGTGTATCGTGAATCATCTCGTATTCCACAGCATCTGTCAACATGTCTGAAGGTAAATATTTATGGGAAATTACATTTGCATAGCTTCTCTTTAGTTTTTAGCAATCTAGAGAAAATATGTTGGTCGGAAGCCATTTTGAATGTCCACGGGACAAACAAAGGTCATTGTGAAGGACTGACCCAATGTGAACTGACCCAATGTGAAGGACTGACCCAATGTGAAGGACTGACCCAATGTGAAGGACTGACCCAATGTGAAGGACTGACCCAATGTAGACTGACCCAATGTGAAGGACTGACCAAAATAAAAGTAATGGCGCGTTGAAAAATAAAATACTAAAATGACGTAAAAAAGACTCAATTTAAAAATGACAAGGACTTGATCTCAACCCTTTAAGAAAGACATCGTGTTAAAAAAGAACGCCTGTGTCCATTATGTTGGTGAGAGCTTACAGATCTACATCTCATTTTGAGACTGACAATACATGTTGAACACAGGATATAAACTTAAGGGATAAATGTTCAACACACGATTTAAACTTACGTAATACATGTTCATGGGACGGCGTGGCCTAGCGATAGAGAGCTAGACTACTATGTCCCTCAAGTCCGCCCAGCTCTGATGGGTAACTTACTAGTGATGATGTCTCTGAAGCAGATGAACTCTACTTCATCTACCCCATGTATCTTGGACACGAACGGGAAAGGATGATGAATACATGTTCAACACACGATATAAACTTAAGTAATACATGTTCAACACACGATATAAACTTAAGTAACAAATGTTCAACACACGATATAAACTTAAGTAATACATGTTCAACACACGATATAAACTTAAGTAATACATGTTCAACACACGATATAAACTTAAGTAATACAAGTTCAACACACGATATAAACTTAATTGATACATGTTCAACACACGATATAAACTTAAGTAATACATGTTCAACACACGATATAAACTTAATTGATACATGTTCAACACACGATATAAACTTAAGTAATACATGTTCAACACACGATATAAACTTAGTTCAACACACAATATAAACTTAAGTAATACATGTTCAACACACGATGTAAACTTAAGTAATGCATGTTCAACACACAATATAAACTTAGTTCAACACACGATATAAACTTAAGTAATACATGTTCAACACACGATATAAACTTAAGTAATACATGTTCAACACACGATATAAACTTAAGTAATACATGTTCAACACACGATATAAACTTAAGTAATACATGTTCAACACACGATATAAACTTAAGTAATACATGTTCAACACACGATGTAAACTTAAGTAATACATGTTCAACACACGATATAAACTTAAGTAATACATGTTCAACACACGATATAAACTTAATTGATACATGTTCAACACACGATATAAACTTAAGTAATACATGTTCAACACACGATATAAACTTAAGTAATACATGTTCAACACACGATGTAAACTTAAGTAATACATGTTCAACACACGATATAAACTTAATTGATACATGTTCAACACACGATATAAACTTAAGTAATACATGTTCAACACACGATATAAACTTAAGTAATACATGTTCAACACACGATATAAGATATAAACTTAAGTAATAAACATGTTCAACACACTATATAAACGTAAGTAATAAACATGTTCAACACACGATATAAACTTAAGTAATACATGTTCAACACACGATGTAAACTTAAGTAATACATGTTCAACACACAATATAAACTTAGTTCAACACACAATATAAACTTAAGTAATACATGTTCAACACACGATATAAACTTAAGTAATACATGTTCAACACACGATATAAACTTAAGTAATAAATGTTCAACACACGATGTAAACTTAAGTAATAAATGTTCAACACACGATATAAACTTAAGTAATAAATGTTCAACACACGATGTAAACTTAAGTAATAAATGTTCAACACACGATGTAAACGTGAAAAATGTTCAACACACGATATAATTTATATATAAAACTTAAGTGATAAGTTAGGGCGGGGCGGTACAGCTAGATGGTTGCATTGAAAACCATGGCGGCGTTAGCTTTTCTAGAATTAAACAGAGTTGCTGCCCTTGGGAAGGAATTCCATTTTTGTCAGCTTCAATTCTAGGCCTATATCCAAGATATAAACGGATAAAAGAGGGGAGGGGAAAATGAGTGTATGAATGTTGCGAGACAAATGAGATAAAATGTTTTCCCTTAATGGAAGTTCTCAGCTTTTTTTTTTTTTACATTTAATCTTATAACAACATAGACGCGTCTTATAGCCGTGGATTTTTAGATTTCGATTTCATGAATCAAATCAGCACTGTGAATAATCTAGAGGAGAGATTTCAACTTTATATACACATGTAATGTAGTCGTTTTATATAGGCCGATTTATAAATTCTTTTATAAAATATAATCCGCTGTACATAATCGTGCGGGACGGCGAGGTCGAATAGTAGAGCATGTGGCCAATAACCCGAAAGTCTCAAGTTCGAATTTGTAGAACGTCCCTGAGTCCACCCAGCTCTGGTGTGTACCTGACTCACGTTAGGGAAAGTAAATGCGGCTGAGACATAGTGGGCAGCAGGCTACTATTAGTGTATTAGCCTGCTACCAGCCTACTATTAGCCGGCTACCACCCTATTATTAGTCTGCTACCAGCCTACTCTGGCTGCTATTAGCCTGCTACCAGCCTGCTATTAGCCTCCTACCAGCCTGCTATTAGCCTGTTATTAGCCTGTTATTAGCCTGCTACCAGCCTACTCAGGCTACTATTAGCCTGCTACCAGCCTACTCAGGCTACTATTAGGCTGCTACCAGCCTACTCAGGCTGCTATTAGCCTGCTACCAGCATACTCAGGCTACTATTAGCCTGCTACCAGCCTACTATTAGCCTGCTACCAGCCTACAATTTGCCTGCTACCAGCCTACTAACAGCCTACTATTAGCCTGCTACCAGCCTACAATTTGCCTGCTACCAGCCTACTAACAGCCTACTATTAGCCTGATAGTGATACCAGCCTACTCTACTCACAGATGTCACCAGGTTCGACTATGACGGTGAGTGGACGACACGCATGGCTACACCCGGGGCTGGGTATGAGAGTCCAGTTCTTGGTCCCCGACAGCTGGGCTTGCCAAGATGGCCGTCCTACATAGTCGATCTGAAAGAGAATTTAGTTCCAGATTAATGGATAAAATGAGATTATCACCTCGCTATCTGCAGGTGTCATGAGATTATCAGCTCGATATTTTCAGGTAACATAAGATTATCAGCTCGATATTTGCAGGTAACATGAGATTATCACCTCGCTACCTGCAGGTAACATAAGATTATCAGCTCGATATTTGCAGGTAACATGAGATTATCAGCTCGATATTTTCAGGTAACATAAGATTATCAGCTCGATATTTGCAGGTAACATAAGATTATCAGCTCGATATTTGCAGGTAACATGAGATTATCGCCTAGCTATCTGCAGGTAACATGAGATAAGCACTCGCTACCTATAGGTAACATAAGATTAGCACACGCTAACACAAAGACTTACGTGTAATGCTGCCCCCTGACCGGGCGAGCCCATGAAGATCCACAACAAGTACTCGTTCTCTGCGCCCTTGGGTAGGAACTGCATGCTGCCCAGATGGGAGCGTAGTGTGTTAGCCAGTGTGACGTCACAGTTGCTCCTGGTAGACAGTCACAAAACAATATCAGCCAGGTAAAGAAGTTGCTGCTTATAGTTTGATTTCATCCCACATCTCCCCGATTACCTACCATTCCACATCTCCCCAATCACCTACCATCCCACATCATCAGTTACCTACCATCCCGCATCTCCCCGATTACCTACCATGCCACATCTCCCCAATTACCTACCATCCCACATCCCCAGTTACCTACCATCCCACATCCCCAGTTACCTACCATCTCACATCCCCAATTACCTACCATCCCACATTCCCAGTTACCTACCATCCCACATCTCCCCACTTACCTACCTTCCCATATCTTCCCAGTTACCTACCATCCTACATCATCAGTTACCTACCATCCTACATCCCCCAATTACCTACCAACCCACATCTCCCCAGTTAACTACCATCCTAAATCTCCCCAGTTACCTACCATCCTACATCATCAGTTACCTACCATCCCACATCCCCCAATTTCCTACCATCCCACATCTCCCCACTTACCTACCATCCCACCTCTCCCCAGTTACCTACCATCCCACATCCCCCAGTTACCTACCATCTCACATCCTCAATTACCTACCATTCCACATCCCCAGTTACCTACCATCCCACATCTCTCCACTTACCTACCATCCCATATCTCCCCAGTTACCTACCATCCTACATCATCAGTTACCTACCATCCCACATCCCCCAATTACCTACCATCCCACATCTCCCCAGTTAACTACCATCCTAAATCTCCCCAGTTACCTACCATCCTACATCATCAGTTACCTACCATCCCACATCCCCCAATTTCCTACCATCCCACATCTCCCCACTTACCTACCATCCCACCTCTCCCCAGTTACCTACCATCCCACATCCCCCAGTTACCTACCATCTCACATCCTCAATTACCTACCATTCCACATCCCCAGTTACCTACCATCCCACATCTCTCCACTTACCTACCATCCCATATCTCCCCAGTTACCTACCATCCTACATCATCAGTTACCTACCATCCCACATCCCCCAATTACCTACAATCCCACATCTCCCCACTTACCTACCATCCCACCTCTCCCCAGTTACCTACCATCCCACATCCCCCACTTACCTACCATCCCATATCTCCCCAGTTACCTACCATCCTACATCATCAGTTACCTACCATCCCACATCCCCCAATTACCTACTGTTACGGGCCAGTGGTAGGTTAGTTTAGAATAGGTTAGAATAGTCTAGAACTAGGGGAGAGTGCCTGTGTGAGTGGAGTTCACCTTACTGTGTAGTTACCCTTGTGTGTTTATGTCTTGTAATCCCAAGGTCGAATGCGGGTATAAAAGGGGGAGTGAACGATTGTGGGGGGCAGTCAGCGGGTTAGTAGCGGTTAGGACGAGGGCTGTTCTGGTACGCTTGAATGCATTGAGACGAATAAAAGTAGTGAAGTTAAACACGAAGCGTTGTTATTGATTTGAAATGAACCCAGAACGTAACAACTGGTGGCCAGTATGAATCAAGTAGAAGCATAAACTGGATGCTGTCCTGTCGTTTGCCTGATGCTGTCCTGATGTTTGCCGGTTGCTGTCCTGATGTTTGCCGGTTGCTGTCCTGATGTTTGCCGGTTGCTGTCCTGATGTTTGCCGTTTGCTGTCCTGACGTTTGATGGATGCTGTGGGGATGCCGTTAGCCCGACGCTATAGCTGTTTGACAGAGTATGTAACAACATCGACTGAGAGTTGCAAAATTTTTTGTGATGTAGAATGGTTGAGATATGAATAGGAGTCATAAACCAGTGTAGCCATAGAGCGCAGGTTGACTCAAATTTTTTGTGATGTAGAGTGGTTGAGATATAGGTAGGAGTCGTAAACCAGTGTAGCCATAGAGCGCACAGGGTGGACTCAATTTGATTTTGTTAGTGATGTAGAATGGTTGAGATATGAGTAGGAGTCATAAACCAGTGTAGCCATAGAGCGCAGGTTGACTCAAATTTTTTGTGATGTAGAATGGTTGAGATATGAGTAGGAGTCATAAACCAGTGTAGCCATAGAGCGCAGGTTGACTCAAATTTTTTGTGATGTAGAATGGTTGAGATATGAGTAGGAGTCGTAAACCAGTGTAGCCATAGAGCGCAGGTTGACTCAAATTTTTTTGTGATGTGGAATGGTTGAGATATGAGTAGGAGTCGTAAACCAGTGTAGCCATAGAGCGCAGGTTGACTCAAATTTTTTGTGATGTGGAATGGTTGAGATATGGGTAGGAGTCGTAAACCAGTGTAGCCAGAGAGCGCAGGTTGACTCAAATTTTTTGTGACGTAGAATGGTTGAGATATGGGTAGGAGTCGTAAACCAGTGTAGCCATAGAGCGCACAGGGTAGACTCAAATTTTTAGTGATGTAGAATGGTTGAGATATGAATAGGAGTCATAAACCAGTGTAGCCATAGAGCGCAGGTTGACTCAAATTTTTTGTGATGTAGAGTGGTTGAGATATGAGTAGGAGTCGTAAACCAGTGTAGCCATAGAGCGCACAGGGTGGACTCAATTTGATTTTGTTAGTGATGTGGAATGGTTGAGATATGGGTAGGAGTCGTAAACCAGTGTAGCCATAGAGCGCAGGTTGACTCAAATTTTTTGTGATGTGGAATGGTTGAGATATGGGTAGGAGTCGTAAACCAGTGTAGCCATAGAGCGCAGGTTGACTCAAATTTTTTGTGATGTGGAATGGTTGAGATATGGGTAGGAGTCGTAAACCAGTGTAGCCAGAGAGCGCAGGTTGACTCAAATTTTTTGTGATGTGGAATGGTTGAGATATGGGTAGGAGTCGTAAACCAGTGTAGCCAGAGAGCGCACAGGGTAGACTAAAAAAAATTTTGGTCTGGGAAGTTCTTAGATTCGGTACGATGCAACTGGGTGTGTATGATTTTTTCTTTGTTTGTTAGTTACACGGATGATTTGTGCTAGCTCGAAATTGTGGCAGTTCTGTATATTGTCATTATGTATTTCATTGTATATACAATCTGTCATATACATTCTTCGGAATGTATATTTTTAACTTGTGTATGTTTTTTGTGTATGTATATTTTTAGCGCAATTTCCATTCTGGAGAATTGCGTTTATTAACGCGTCATTTCTGGATGGATGGATGGATGGATGAATGTATGGATGAATGTGTGTCCGGGCTTTAAGTCGTATCTCCTCCTCAACGAAGCAATATCGATGACTAGTTCCAAAAGCAATTATGTTAAGCAAGTTACAAGAATGAGCATAGGCCATAAAAATTCCGGGTTTCTTTCATGTATTTCCCGGAAAAGCCAAAAAAACCTCGAAAAAAAGCAGTTTTTGGCTCATATCTCGTCAACCAGACCACTTAGCGACTTGAAACATGTACCAATCGATTCCTGCCATAATTTAGAGCAATATTGCCGAAGAAAGTTTTCAAAAATATCCTCTCGTTTGGTCACAAATTTTAAAATTACAAAAACACCTACAAACCGATTGTTCTTCTAGCTTGAACGCATCCCAGCATTATACGTCAGAGCTATTTTTAGATAACATAAGGAAATTGCGCATAAATGTCACTAGACTTTTTTAATTAACTTGTTTAACTAGTGTATGTGTATGAAAGGCTTTGTGTTTTTTATTTAGCTAGGTTTTGGTAGTCAGTATTTGTAGTTATTACTACAAATACTTAGGTGGGGGGTAGTGTTACGGGCCAGTGGTAGGTTAGTTTAGAATAGGTTAGAATAGTCTAGAACTAGGGGAGAGTGCCTGTGTGAGTGGAGTTCACCTTACTGTGTAGTTACCCTTGTGTGTTTATGTCTTGTAATCCCAAGGTCGAATGCGGGTATAAAAGGGGGAGTGAACGATTGTGGGGGGCAGTCAGCGGGTTAGTAGCGGTTAGGACGAGGGCTGTTCTGGTACGCTTGAATGCATTGAGACGAATAAAAGTAGTGAAGTTAAACACGAAGCGTTGTTATTGATTTGAAATGAACCCAGAACGTAACACCTACCATCCCACATCTCCCCAGTTAACTACCATCCTACATCTCCCCAGTTACCTACCATCCTACATCATCAGTTACCTACCATCCCACATCCCCCAATTACCTACAATCCCACATCTCCCCACTTACCTACCATCCCACCTCTCCCCAGTTACCTACCATCCCACATCCCCCAGTTACCTACCATCTCATATCCCCCAATTACCTACCATCCCACAACCCAAGTTACCTACCATCCCACATCTCCCCACTTACCTACCATCCCATATCTCCCCAGTTATCTACCATCCTACATAATCAGTTACCTACCATCCCACATCCCCAATTACCTACCATCCACCATCACACATCTTCCCACTTACCTACCATCCCACCTCCTCCAGTAACCTACCATCCCACATCACCAGTTACCTACCATCCCACATCTCCCAGTTACCTACCATCCCAAATACCATCTCTTCCCAGTTACCTACCATCCCACATCTCCCCAGTTACCTACCATCCCACCCTAGTTACCTACCATCCCACATCTCCCAGTTACCTACCATCCCAAACACCACCCCACATCTCCCCAGTTACCTACCATCCCGCATACCATCTCTCCCCAGTTACCTACCACCCCACATACCCAGTTACCTACCATCCCACATCTCCCCAGTCACCTACCATCCCACATCTCCCCAGTTACCTACCATCCCACATCTCCCCAGTTACCTACCATCCCACATCTCCCCAGCTACCAACCATCCTACATCCTCAGTTACCTACCATCCAACATCCCCCAGTTACCTACCATCCCACATCCCCCAGTTACCTACCATCCCACATCCCCCAGTTACCTACCATACCACATCCCCCAGTTACCTACCATCCCACATACCACCTCTCCTCCCCCTCTCTCCCTGCTGCCCTGTCCTCCGACATAGCGAACACATCCTCCAGACTGCGAAAGTCAGTGCCATAATAAAAGAACTGGCAGTTACTTTGTTCCGCTAGAATCTCAGGATTCGATGTGTACAGCTCTTTGAAAAATTGAAAACTGAAACAAGAGAGTTTTAAAATAAATCGGGTGATAATTAGAAACAAAATCTTCAGCCGTGTGGGCGGGAAATGTGACAAAAAAAAACAATTAACTTTTCTAACAATTGTTTTTCTAAAACCCACATTAAGGGTTATTGATTCTTGTGGTCTCTAAATTTAGATGCTGTTTAAAAAGGGTAAATGAAATTAAAAACCATTTTTTAATAATGTTGCTGACAGTTAATGTCTTAAAATAAATATGCTGAGTGTTTTTAACTGTTCTGTGTTAGATAATGATGGTTGAATTAGCAGGGTGAAAAGTAAATCTGATGTATAAGACAGTCAGAGGATCATTTGATACAAGAACTCTTTGTGTCTGGTATAACATGATGGGTTCATTTACATGAGGGCATTGGGGAATTGACATGAGATTCTTGATAAATAGTGAGGTACATTTCTACCTGAATGTACTGCTGACAACCACAACCTTACCTGAATGTACTGACAACCACATCCTTACCTGAATGTACTGCTGACAACCCCACCTTACCTGAATGTACTGCTGACAACCACAACCTTACCTGAATGTACTGACAACCACATCTTTACCTGAATGTACTGACAACCACATTCTTACCTGAATGTACTGATGACAACCACATCTTTACCTGAATGTACTGCTGACAACCACAACCTTACCTGAATGTACTGACAACCACATCTTTACCTGAATGTACTGATGACAACCACAACCTTACCTGAATGTACTGCTGACAACCACATCCTTACCTGAATGTACTGATGACAACCTCAACCTTACCTGAATGTACTGACTGACAACCACATCTTTACCTGAATGTACTGATGACAACCCCAGCCTTACCTGAACGTATTGACAGCCCCCCAGTCGCGACACGCCCCCTTGAGCAGTACCGGTACAGCACCATAGCCTGACCCCAGAACGGCCTGAACGTACTGATGACAACCCCAACCTTAAATTGAATGTACTGACAACCCCCACCTTACTTGAATGTACTGATGACAACCCCCACCTTACCTGAATGTACTGAAGACAACCCCAGCCTTACCTCAGTGTACTGATGACAACCCCAGCCTTACCTGAATGTACTGACAACCACATCATTACCTGAATGTACTGACGACAACCCCCACCTTACCTGAATGTACTGACGACAACCCCCACCTTACCTGAATGTACTGATGACAACCCCCACCTTACCTGAATGTACTGATGACAACCTCAACCTTACCTGAATGTACTGACAACCACATCATTACCCGAATGTACTGATGACAACCCCACTTTACCCAAATGTACTGATGACAACCCCCACCTTACCTGAATGTACTGACAACCACATCCTTACCCGAATGTACTGATGACAACCCCACTTTACCCAAATGTACTGATGACAACCCCCACCTTACCTGAATGTACTGCTGACAACCCCCACCTTACCTGAATGTACTGCTGACAACCCAAGTCTTACCTGAACGTATTGACAGCCCCCCAGTCGCGACACGCCCCCTTGAGCAGTACCGGTACAGCACCATAGCCTGACCCCAGAACGGCCTCATCCCCGGACACCTGCGACAACGCCGAGACGTGGGTCAAATTCTGGCACTGGTCACATGAGAAATACGGCCCTGTCCACTCTCTCAACAGGCTCTTGCTAATTAAGCATTTATCGTTGTAGATGTAATTAATTGCACTTGATTGTAAGTCCAAAGCCAGCGTCACAACTACCAAGACGACTAATGTTACCGCGATGATAAACTTAAAGCGATGACGATACAGATGGAACAGTTTGGTGTGAAAATAAACCAGTCCAGCTTTTGGAAGGAGTTTTTTAAACACCAAGAATGTTGAAGAGGGCCGAAAAAGGTGGTATATTTCATCGTCTGATAAACCAAGTTTTTGGCCTCGTTCCTTCAGGCGTCGAATCTCTCTTAAGACCTGCACCTCATTGATGGTTACACACAATCGTTTGCGACGTTTCTTTGATTTGTCCATTTTTTTCACGACTTTGTCACCAGGGACAATCGTATGTTAGTATAACGTGAAATGGTTGTTTTCGGGATTTTTAAAGTTTTCTTAAAGAAACTTTTGCTTTCCTTGCGGTTGAAAGAAACAGTAGAAAACTGTAGACGTAAGCAGAAAAGTTATCTCCCTTTAATGCTGTAGGATAGTAAATTAATTCCCCTTTTTTTTAATTAAAAAAAACAATTGGTAACGTCCGTTTACTGAAATAAATGGAGTAAAAATTCACACATTTTTTTTCCAAAAATTAGAATCACTGATGTTAAAAAATAGAAATGTTTGAGACTTATTTAAAACAGCTAACGTAAACGTGTTCGGAATGGAAATTCCAACGTGAACCAGTTTGTCATTTCATCGGACTGGCGGCAGAACTCATTACATCTCGCGTCTGCTAAAGGCACGCGCTGAACAAATGCTGACGTCAGCAAACGACCAGTGAGCATTTCACTTGAACCAGTAGCATCTTGTCAGAAGGTAATTTTTCTCTCCCTTGAACTTTGAACTCGCTCTGTGCCAGAGAGAAAGCCTTGAAGTGACATAGTATCAGCCAATCAATAACGAGATACTCTGAAGCCGTAATTGTACTTTCCACTCTTTGAGTTTCTATAGCAGGGCCATTTTTCTCATTCTTTTTTTTTTCTTGCTTCAACTTCCTATCCTTAAGGAAACAAGAAATGTACAACGATAATTTTTTTTTCAAGATAGATTTTATTGACCTAGCAAATGGGAGTTTGATGTGGTAGCCAGTAGCTAGAGGACACGATCTAAAAGTGGCTACCTAAATCAGGCTGAGAGTCATTTAAGTAGCAAACTGGTGATTGAATTTATTGATTATAAAATGTCTTGCTTGCTTGCAGGAACTGACTCAACACCTCCCACACACCTCACTTACCACCCCGCACAACTTTTCTCCTTGCGTACACCTCACTTCTCCTCCACATCTTTTCCCCTCACCTCAAACATCACTTCCTACTCTCTACTTCCCACTCACACACATCACAATTCACATCCCTTCGCCAACACCTTCCACCTCCACCCACATCACTTACCCTCTCAACACATCACTTACCCTCCCAACACATCACCCAACACATCACTTACCCTCCCAACACATCACCCAACACATCACTTACCCTCCCAACACATCACTTACCCTCCCAACACATCACTTACCCTCCCAACACATCACTTACCCTCCCAACACATCACTTACCCTCCCAACACATCACTTACCCTCCCAACACATCACTTACCCTCCCAACACATCACTTACCCTCCCAACACATCACTTACCCTCCCAACACATCACTTACCCTCCCAACACATCACTTACCCTCCCTATCACCTTTGCGTCTTCCTCCGCACCTCACTTTACCTCACCTTCACCACATATCACCCCACCACATATCACTCCCCTCCACCCCACATCACTCCCCTCGACCACCATATCACTCCCCTCCACCACATGTCACTCCCCACCACATATCACTCCCCTCCTCCACACCTCGCCCCCCCCCCACATCACTTCCCCCCTATACCCACCCCACACTTAGATGTTCTCTCTTCCATCCCATTATTTTCCTGGCTTGATTACAATTGCCAGCAGAACCTTTCACGGTCACGTGACCTCAACCTGTGCAATAAACAGATTAGGCAGACTTTAACGCACCAGTGGTTCGGTGCTATTGTTCTGGTTGGTGCAGGCACGTGTCGATTGGACAATCTCGTTCTTGTTTTGTTTTTTATTTCATGTTCATTCAATCAAATTACGGATATCAATCTCTGAGCGCAGTTATTGTCTAAGTAACAATATTGGCAGTACTACAGGGCAGTAGGGCACTAATAGCCGCACTACAGGGCAGTAGGGCACTAAGAGTAGTGCTACACGGCAGAAGGGCACTAACAGCAGCACTACAGGACAGTAGGGCACTAAGAGCAGTACTACAGGGCATTAGGGCACTAAGAACAGTACTACAGGGCAGTGGGGCAGTAAGAACAGTACTACAGGGCAGTGGGACACTAATAGCGTTACTACTGGGCAGTGGGGCACTAAGAACAGTACTACAGGGCAGTGGGGCACTAAGAACAGTACTACAGGGCAGTAGGGCAGTAAGAGCAGTACTACAGAGCAGTAGGGCACTAAGAGCAGTACTACAGGGCAGTAGGGCACTAAGAACAGTACTACAGGGCAGTAGGGCAGTAAGAACAGTACTACAGGGCAGTGGGGCACTAATAGCCGCACTACAGGGCAGTGGGGCACTAAGAGCAGTGCTACAGAGCAGTAGGGCACTAAGAGCAGTACTACAGGGCAGCTGTGAACACATCATCACCACCTAAGAGATTATGTTTTGTCAGGAGAGTATGTGTGTTGTGAAAGGATTGTGTATTGATAAAAGAATGTGACTTTACGACTTGAGTGTGGGGATGTGACGTTTTGTAAGACAGGAGGTGTAGGTGTAGTTAGTTTTCGTCATGTCGTGCTGTGGGTGGGGTGGAAGCTTTAGTATCTTCGTTGTGTATGTCTCAGGAATATGCAGCCAAGTCTTTTCTAGAATATGGATGTTATCAACTGCATGTTAGTTTAGTGTCAAATAAGACTAACATGGAATTACATAGGCAATCGTGTTAAGTTTCGCTGTGAAGTGGTGTTAAGTAATGCAAGACTGAAGAGTGAAATCCAAGATAAAAAGAAACAATTCTTAACACAGGTTAGAAGCTCGCAGAATTACAGCAGAGCAGCACCACACAACATCATCACACACAATCACTACACAACCTCACCGCACACCAACACCACACAACCTCACGCACACACCAACACTACACAACATCACACACAACAGGGCTACACAACATCACCACACAACAGCATCGTACAACATCATCGCACAAATGCACCAAACGACTACACCACGATCGTACCACACATCTGCACCACACCACCCTACCACACACCATCACCACACATCTCACAACAGTACCACACATCAGTACCAGTCGAGATGACCACTTCAGTCAAAATACTCCACGAAGGTCTAGAACCAGAACGTTGATCGATCGAGGGGAAAGAATGTAGAGATCAAAAACATTTTCTCTAGTAAAGAAAGCCGTGTGATGGAGCTCGCTTGCAATTACAGGTTTTTTTAAAAAAATGTCGTTATTTTAAAAGATTTTTTTTAGGCAGCTTTCTCGTACGACCTTTGAGTTTTCACTTTTAAGCTGTTTCTAGAGCCTAGGACCAACACCCTTAATATACGAGAACATTATGGTAATACCTCCTCCCCCACCCCCCCCCCCCACCCCCCTATGTATGCTTTGTGTGCGTACGTATGCGTGCGTATGTCCCCTGTATGAATTACAACTTTCACCCGATAGCCATGAAACTTTGGGAAGTTGTTGAGAGTGCTCCTGAGAAGGTTTATGTGGGGGGAAAAGTTTAAGTTTCGGAAGGGCGGCGCCTCGACAGGGTACGATTTGACGCACCGGGCTTTCCCGTGAGCTCTATGGCGCCTACGTTTGTTTTAAGGAGTGCGGTACACTATGGATACGATGGGTTTTTTGTCGGTGAGGGACATAATAGCAGCGGCGTCATAAGGACGGGTGTCGCCCTTCACCCTCCCTATTTTATCATTTTAGTAGCCAGGAAAAAACATTATTTTTAACAGTAAATGTAACGAATTATTTTTTTTAAATGTTGGTATCACTCCGCCAAAAGGTGTCACTTGGTGCGGACCGCATATAAAGCCCCGCCTTATGACGATACTGCCTAATAGACCTAGAATTTTGAAATTAAATTAGTTTATTTGGAGCCGTTTTATCAAACATGTATTATGTGTTCTATATTGAGAAAAGTAACACAAAAATGGAACGATAGGCAAATTGCGTTTACAATGCCGAAACCTTATTTAAATTAACCGTGAATTAGACCAATGTAGAAGTAGCTAAGAAAATAACCTTATATATAACCAAATTTATGCTAAGGGGTCGTCCATAAATAACGTCACATTCGTAAGGGGGGGGGGGGGGTCCGTAATTTTGTGACGGTGTGTGATGCGGGGGAGGGGGGGTTCAGATGGTGCGACGTCACACGTTTGCATTATAAAAAAGCAATGTTAGAAAATGAATCTTAGACGTTAGTTTGCGTTTTAGAAAACTGTTTTAATAAATTGTAATAGGAATCGATTAAAATACTCTATTTTGACAGAGTTCAGACAAGATTTTGGAAAAATATCGATGTTTAAAAAAAAATTCAACTGCAATTTTGAGGGGGGTTGTAGGCTGAGATGTGACGTCATTTTAAAGGTGGGGGGTCTGTCTTTTTGTGACGACGTGTGACGGAGGGGAGGGGGGGAGGTAAAAATCGTCAAAAAAAAGCGTGATGTCATTTATGTGACAAATTTACCCCCCCCCCCCCCCACACACACACACACCGTCACATTGTCCACAAAAAGGCAGCCCTTTCCCTAAAATGTTACACATCAGCCTACATTCCTCACCCCCTTCTCGTAATAGCAGGTAATTGTTTTTAAAACATTAATTTCATTCTAAAATATTTACTGAGCTCGGTCAACATATAGAATCTAGTATAGTAATCAATTTCTAATACAATTTGAAAAATAGCATTTTTAACGCGAGTTAACGGCTTCTAACATTACTTTTAAAATATTTTTTTTTTAAATGCATCTGTTTGACATCACACTTTCTGAACATTATATGGACCATAAAAATTTGGCTATATTTGAATGGAGAGCTGCCAGCAGCTATAAATATACTATTTAGGTCAAGATAGCGAAGAAAAAAAATAGAACATACTCACATGATTTATAGTTCAAGGTTTAAATTTCAGTAGCATAAGTTGTTTAAGTTTATTTGACCCCTGCTAAGCACTAACGTGTCAAAGTGTAGTGGCAATTTGGCACATAAAGCCTTGTCTAAATGATATTTTTGTCTTAGACAAAGTTGGCACAGAATTTTTAAATTACGTTGTCGTATGCAGTTGCCAGTTAGTCTGATGTTTTATAACTTTACAAAGTTTAACTTAGGAGATGCCTGGAATAAACACAAAATGTATTGATATTTATCTAAATTTTAAAGAAAACTACGAATTTTAAAACTAGAATGCAAACTCAGTCAAACTGCGTTTTGGAGAGCGAAAATGACTATCCTCTTTATAGCGTCGGAACTAAAATAGAACTTCGTGTACATAAAGGCATAGACACAGTAGACCTAGTAAGTTCTACATTCAAATAGTAAATTCAATTTTCTTTAAGACTGTCAGAAATTTTTTAATTCGTTCACATGACATAAAAGAAGTCGATGCACAATTTCATCAAAATATGTAACTTTTAAGGGAGACAAAAACAAAGCAATCATTAAGCCATATCAATAATTTATATATCAGTTATATGGATACTCAAAGCATGACTAGCCTAAACGACAAGGGGGAGTCTATGCCGCCACAATGACATTTAAAATTATTTTATTGAACTGAATCGTTTAACATTAATTTAAAAAAATTTGATAATCGTTATCAGTGGCGTAGCGAGGTCAGGTGTCACCCGGTGCGGCACTTAATGGTGTCACCCCCCCCCCCCCAGAGGCGTAGCTACCCTTCCCGGGGACAAATTTTCGATTTGCAACCCCCCCCCCCCCCCTTCAAACTTTCGATTTTCACCCACCCTTAAGTTTTTCTCTATATATTTTGCTGTGTCACCCGGTGCGGTCCGCACCCCCCGCCCCCCCTCGCTACGCCCCTGATCGTTATGAGAATTGACCAGTCAATCGAATGGTTTCTAAACTATTATAGATCTATTATTTCGGCAATTTCATTGCTAAGGGAAACAACTCAATGAATAAACCAATAGATGGGTCTGGCTAAATACTATAGTGATTACTGTCGTTCTGACTATATTTGTTGGAGATACAAAAAGGGAATGTAAGAGGGAAACGTCATTTCTATAGCCCATAGGGGGCACCGTCCTACATCATCTTAAACTGTACAAATAATTAAACCCATCTTAATTAGAAGCTCTATGACGGATTAATTTTCTGGTTTATGAGTAAGTTAGTTATCAGTCACTTACTAATACTATCTCAGTGTAAGCATACGTATAAGTACATTGCAAGTAAGAAACAGTTTTTTTTTTTTTAAATTTGGGGTATTAAGGTTAACTACTAGGACAAATGAAGCTAACAAAATAAGTGTTTGTAATTATTTTATTTCTATAATATCTGATCAACATCACCCCTTTGTAGTGAATCAATCAAAGATTTTCATGTGAACGAAAATATTGACAATATTTGCTGTCTGAAAATAAAGTTTTTTTTTAGGTAGGCCTACAAGTCTAGCTTAGTCAAAATAAGTAACAGATTTATATTAAAACAAATTAGTTTTTAAAACAACCTCAATTACCAACTAATTATTTTAATGTTCATGTTTTTTTTTAAAAAGAAAATATGAAGTCTTTCCTCAGAAGAAATAGCTAATACATCATAAGAATGATACTGAAAACAGTCAGGTACTTGAATGGTTATCACAGCTGTACATTCATGCAAATATTTTAACTTTAACTGTAAATAGAAATAGGTTCTACAAAAGGATGACCAATATTCTAGAAAACCATGAACATAGACCCATTAAACCCATAATTGAATGAAGAATATAAATATTACATTTCCAAATTTTATTTCGTAGTTTTATTAAGTATTTTATTATTAAGTAGATATATATGTGTAGTAAAAAAAAATTTCATAGATTTCTTACGTAAAATAGATGTTCAATAAATATATTGCAAGAAAGAAATAGGTCTGTAAATTAAGTCGTGATTGAGTATGACAGAATAAATGGTCTTGTTAGTAATAATCTGTTATCTGACAAAGTTATCTGTTATCTAACAAAGTTATCTAACAAAGTTAGAAAAAAATATGTTTGATTGCACAACATTGAAAACTTTTTTAAAAATATGTTAAATGTTCTTTAAAAAATGTAAAATAAAGATGTGCATACTTGGATGGATGTAGGCATAAAGTTTACTTTGGTTTAAACCTGAATTTGGATTTACACTTCAGTAGGACAAATTATGCTATCAATTTATCAAATATTTTTTTATGAACTGCATTAACCACACATAAATATTGAAAAACTGACAATTCATGTTTTATTGTTACACTCAATTCAATGTAATGATAAAAAAGTTTAAACATACAAGCATTTAAACAGGTTTAATTTGATCTTAATTCCTGTGTAAAAGAAAAAAAGACTTCATGATAAAAACAATTGCTTTACTTTCTCTGTAGACTAGAGCTATTCTTCTCTTTTATTTCACATTCTTATTTTTTTATTTCTTGAAAATGTTGTATAAATGCTAATCAACTTTTGCAAATTTACTTCAACATGAGCTTTTCTAAATGTGTGGTTAAGAGAACATTTTTGAAACAAAAAGATAGAAATATTTGGAATGTTTTGGAAGTTTTAATAACCTGAGCATTACCAAAATACAAAAGTATTTCATTATCATAAAGGATTGGGTAATTCTATAATTGTTCATAGTCAATTTTTGTAATCACACATTGAAGTATTACACCATTAAAGAAACTAATCAACACACTTGAAGATATCACTTAAAAATAGATTTCTAATTTTATTACTTATATACAACAGTGTGTTTGTAAGTTAAAGAAGGCTGTCTTTCAGCTAAAACTTCATCAAATCTTTTATTCAGTAAACCGATATACAAAGCAAGTTTTAAACATCAGGCATTATAATGAAACCAAACAAACATGATTGTAATGGCACAAGGCAAATGTAGCAACACTGACCCAGCTGGAACTTCAAATCAATCAAAATCAACCATCAGCAATGAAGATTTTCTTAAGGAAAACAATTAGGAGATAATTTAAATTAGGTTTAATTTCATTTTTTTAAAAAACAGTTTAACATAGATCAAATAAATAGAATGACAATAACTATTTCTACTCAGAGAAAATGTTCCATAAATTTTGTTTAAGAAATTTGATTTTCTCTAAATTATTATGTTTTAAATCTTAAAACAACAGAAGATAAATATAATGGACGGTTATTGCTGTATGTACACAAAAAATATTCAAGGAAAGACAGGTTCTATACAAAAAGCTGGACTTTTTCTTCCTGGTATATTCAATAAATTTATTTAGGGATGTACGGTAGAGACACAAGAAATAAATGATCACCCCAGTCTGTCCCCTGCATTGTACATGTCATCTATCACCTCCTCCTCAACAAACTCTGAAGTCTCCTCATCATTGTCCCCCCCTCCCATTCTCATCCCATTCATCCTGTCAGACTTGAGACTCCTGTCCAGCGGCAGAGATAGAGCTTTATGAATGGCTTCAATTGTTTTCATGTTCACATAATATCCTAAATATATCCCAGGAAGTCGACTTTGTAATTCTTCTAGATGTGCATGAGCCTACAATAAACAATACAAAAGTTATAATTACGACCCTTTTGCTAACATTATTATGCTATTACACAGTAAACACATTATAATGTTGAAATCCTGTGGTTTAGAAAATTAAAACTGAATGACTATTAGCTAAAACTGAGATTCATTGTGGTTTCAAAGACTCATTAAAGTCAACACCTTGATATAACCTGGAATCTTGTGCTATATCCCATATATATATTAAACTGTACAGGACTGTAGATATATGTTTGTAAAGTACAGGGCTCTCTCTAAGAATATGTGTTTGTGTGCCTACATATTGATTACCTCAGGGTTTACACATTTTTTTTTTTTGTGTGCCTACACATTGATTACCTCAGGGTTTACACATTTAGAATGAAACAACTATTCACTAGCAGAAAAAAACGTTTTTCAATAATTTATTTTTTAAGGTCATACAATTCTGCAGTGTAAACATTTAATATGAACCAGCTTGAAATAAAAAGAACTTACAGCCTTCCATCTCTCTTTAGCAGCATAATGTTCTATCATGAAACCGTAAATATCTCCAATCCTTACGGCAGAGTCTAAATCTTTTTCTTCCAGTAAAACCTGACATTGTTTGATTGCTTCTTCTGAATTCTCTTGATATGATCTTAATGGATAGTGGTATACAAACACCATTAAAAAAATGTGACAAAAATGTACCCTGGTAATTACATTTAACTACAATTTCTAAACTAAACTAGACAAAAAAATGTTAGCCTTTCACCTCCTAGCTGTAGTAAACCTCTTAATGAGAGACATTTTGTGCTTGATTACACCCAGCTTTTCCTCTTGTACCATGGAATCATCAAACTTAGCTTTAGACATGCATTTGTAGGCCTCCCCCAGAGCCCCCAGGGCTTTGTCATAATTCTGGTACTCATCAATTTCAACCTGTTGCATTTTAAAATGTCATATTGGTGGGTTTTCTTTCTAAATAGCATTGAATATTTAAACAATAAAGTCGTTGGTTGTTTTTTTTTTTTTTATATAAGAGTAATATTTTAAACAAATATGTTTCTAGGCAAATAACAAAAAGAAATCTAACATTACCATAATTTTTATGTGACATTTAAAAAACATTATTTCAAATAAAGATATCCTAATACATTTTACAATAAAAAAACTAACACTACAATAATTTCGAATGTGATATTTAACAACAAAGGCCAAACCTGAGCACAAGCATCATAAAAGGAAGCAAGCGCGTCCAGTGCTCTCCCCTTGGTGTAGAAGGCTATAATGTTTTTCATAATTTCTGGATCTTTCCTCCAGTCTAAGGACTGCAGGTAGTTAGCAGCCATGACGTAAATCTCTCGCTGCCTTGAAACCCCAGCAAAAAATACAATTTTTTCAGTGTCACCTGATTTCAGAAGTGCCTTCATTGCCTGAAATAAATCAAGTTATCACATTTATTTTTTTAACAAATTGTAACTTAAATTGTAACTGCAAGGAAAAATATTTATTCAAAATTTCATTTATTTTCCAAGTATACTATGGTTATACAATTGAGTGATTTAGGTGATCTGATTAGAACTTTTTTTTAGAATATTTCTATAATGTCTTAATTCCTAAATAGTTCAATTTCTTGAAGATTTTTAATGCTAAATATTTAAAGTAACTTGTAGTTGTAGTAAAATATTTTACTGAGTTTAAAATGAGTTTCTGCACTCTAGACCAAAAGTACCTTGATCTTGTTGCCAGCTTGAGTAAACTTTTTAGTGGCCAGGTGATAAGCTCCTTGGTGCATGCAGACTTCAGCTATTGCCTCCAAGATTTTTAATCTAGCCATCGGGTCATTTTCAAATTCTTTATCTGGAGTCAGTTTCTCTGCTAGCTCCTCTGTAATTTCTACTGTTTGGTCCATACAAATTTTCACAGCCTCCCAATACTGTAAAATCAAATATACTTTTTAAATTGCGGGATGTGGCTTACAGTTTATAAGGAAATAATACTTTTTTCTGTTACAAAACATTTAAAATAACTCTATAATGAGGTTTTATTTCTATGAGTTGAGTTAAAATTGAATTACTTTTTTCCCAATTGCCAACATATCAACTGCCTTATCATACTGGCCATTTTCCAAGAAGAAGTCAGCACATTTCTGTAACAGTTCAGGATCTGCCCTTTCATCCAGCTCACTGGATATTTGCTGTAGGGATTCATATTGCTTGGTTGTGAAGGCTAGTTCAAGTGCTTTAGAGTAATTTCCTGCCTGAAAAGATTCAACCAGAGACTAGGTTTTATTTTCTTTAAAAATAAAATTATCTTCAATTTTAAATGGAATCACCTATTCTAAACTCCTATAAGTGATAATCACTTTCCATGTTTTGACCCGTATATGATAAATCAAGGATAAGTTGGTTTACCTTGTGATACATCATCACAGCCTTGTGCTGTTGTCCTGTCTTTGTTTCATAATACCTGGCCGCCTCCATGATATCCTCAGGTCGACCAAGCAGAGCACAGTTGAGAAGCTGATCCTCAAATCCATGTTCCTGGAGGAAACATGTTTAAAACATTCAGTGCTGCTAGTTCCTTTCTCAATAATAAAAAAACTGGAAATAGATTTCTAAAACAAAACAAAGATTTACCTTGCACAGCCTTATAGCACTTCCATAAGCTTTAGCTTTCTGGAAGAAAGTAATGGCCTCTTTAATTTGGTTCTGATTTTCATATTGTCTGGCCAGGTAGTAGCAAGCTGCTCTGTCATTGGTTGTGGTACAAATTTCAGCTGCCTGCACAAACATTCAGGAAAACAAAGGGGAAGTAATCATGCATGATTTCTGATTAGATCATTGATTCTGTTTTGTTTTAAAAAAATGTATTTAAAGCTGACTCACCTTATCAGTATTGCTACAGTAGCAATGTATCCTGACAAGAGAGAAGTTATCCCCAGCTGTCTGGTAGTACTGTATTGCTGACTCCATGTCTCCTGTACTCTCCATGTACTGACCCCACCACTTGTGTAATGTCCTAAAACAAACAGGAATTCAATACCAAATATGAAAGAATATTGCAATTTATAATACAAAAACACCAGCTGAAACATCACGATTTTAAAAGTTGTCAAGTTTGACTGACTTGTCTTGTGTTTTGTTGACGTAAGCTTCCAACTGATCAGGGTCATCTATCAGCATACGAGGCACTTCAAATTTGTGGGTTTCAGATTTCTCATAGCTGGTTAAAAAAAAACATTATATTAAGTACATTTAGAATTGGTTTGAAATTTATTGAAATAGCTAACTATAATACAAGTTTCAAATATAATTTAGAGTACTTATTTCTTACTTGGGTATGGCTGCAGTAGTGTCCCCTTCATCTTCAAGGTGTCGAGCATAGTTATAAAATGTAGTTCTTAAGTGAATGCGATCATACATTTCTGCTGTTTCTAAGGCCTAGAAAATTAAGTAATATACTGTATATTTTATTGTATGCGTTAATAAATTATAAAAGATATTTTTAAAACAAGAGAACTGAAAAAACCTTAATAGTGTAAAAAAATACTTATTTTGATGTGGTTATTGGTAAAAAGTAATGAAATAATGAAAGATCTTTTATATATTTAAATATAAATATCAGAGTTTCAAATTTACCTTTTGCCACTGTCCTCTGTTTTGATAAAATTCATTCAAAAGATCATATCGTTTACAATTTCTTAATAATCGTTCTGCATCCTCCTGTAGTAAAAAAAAACAATCATAAATGAGGTTGGAAAAAGCTTACTGCTCCTTCATGTTACAATTGTTGTAAAAACCGTAGTGAAAAATTCAACAAACTGTTCCTACTCACATGAAGCCCTAAGTGAATGGCCAACACAGCTACTCTGGCATCAAGCTCTGGCTCTGCCATAGCCTCCCTTAGTGCTTTAGCTCCCCTGGCATGGCCCATGTTACCTAGGCAAACACTTGCCACATCTAAACGTCGGCTTTTAACACACATCTTGGCCATATTTTCCCACACAGATTCACTGAAATCAAAATTTATATCAACATTACCTCACAAGTAGTTGGTTTTTATTTAATTTGAACATACACATTATGGAGGATCCTACACACCTTTTTATTAGCTTGATGGCTTTAAATGCTTCATCCATGTTGCCCACAGTAAGATAAAAACTAAAGTTCATCATAGCGTCCCTTGTTCCCTTGTCACTTTTCTCAAGGCCAACAAAGTCCCGCATTATCTTTCTGGCTACTCTCTTAGGGTAAGACACTGCACCAGTCTCTGGGTTGATAATGCCACCATCTTGGTGCTCCTCAACATTAATCTCACCCTGGTGGAGGAGAGAGACAAACATTAATGTCACCCTTAATGAGAGCGACAAACATTAATGTCACCCTTACAGAGAGAGACAAACATTAATGTCACCCTTACAGAGAGAGACAAACATTAATGTCACCCTTACAGAGAGAGACAAACATTCATGTCAAACTGGTGGAGAAGTGAGACAAACATTGAGGTGGAACCCTCAAACAAAGAAAGCGCAAAAGGTGTCAAACCTAGAAACACCTGGAGACAAATCTTGAGGCTGAAACCACAAAGATGGGCTTCACCTGAAGTCAGGTTTAGAAAATGGTACAGGACAGAGAACTCTGGAGACCTTTGGTTGGCGGACTAAACCACAGCAGGGATGATGGACAATGATGATGATGGAGAAAGACAAACTCAATAACATGTCCTAACTTAAACAACATTGTATTATCACTACTTACTTTGTTGTGCACATTTACCAACAAAATACAGAAATAACAAAGCTAACCTTTTGTGTAAAGCAGTAGTATGGGATTTCAATACCCATAAGATGGACGTAATTTGGAGGAAGGGAAAAGTTGTCTTGTATGAGTATCCCATTTTCTGGCGTGCAAAATAAGGAGATGATCATAACCTCCACCTGTGAATGAGAAGAGAAACTGTGCCTGTTGTATACAGTAATATTCAATAATATCTAGCAGTGATGTCAGTAGTATATTCAGTAATAAGTGGTTGTATAGAAAAATGAGAGAAGTACTTACAGGTCCTTCCTCAATGATTTTAGTTAGAGAAGGTTTTTTCATCTGGTTTGTGTTGATGGCTTCAGACAAGATCCAAGCCTCACAGACAAAAAGCTTAGGCTCTGCTGGGTCCCAGTGCTGGGACACTGGGAATCGGCCTGCGATGTCTTTAGCTGCCTGGTTCTTACCTCTAGAGTACAGGGAGAAATAAGGTAGAGATTTCTATGTTAGCAATCTAATTACCAAAACACATAATACAAGCAGTGAAATACAGTTAATAAAAAATCAAGTTATAACTAAAATACTGTTGGGGTAGTTGTATAAATTAAAATAAGAGTGGCAAGAAAACAAAACTACCAAATGAAATTGTTATCACACATAAAAATTCTAGAGCTAGTGGCTGGTATAGTATAAATGAGGATCTACCTCTCAGCATCATTAGTGTCCCCATCGCTGTCTTGAACACTGTTAGGGTTGGGGTAGTCATCTTGTTCACCTCGACCAGTTTCAAAGTTGAAATACTGCACAGTATCCAGCTCAACATCCCAGAAGTAAAGCTTATGGTCAGGCTTTCCATCAGACTGGTCCAAAAATGAACAAAAAATGTATTGTTGTGTTTAATCAAGTTATTCAAATAAGCAATATTATTTACCTGGTACAGATTAAATTATTCATTATTTTTATTCTAGTAACTGATTAGAATTTAGCTAGCTTTCTTGAGACTTTGAATCAAAGTTTTTATTAGAATCCTGATCATCCACTTACCCAGTATGGGGGGGGGGGGGAGAGTGGGGATATGCTTAACTTTCAAAATTACCCCATGCAAGTAAAATGTTGGATGTGGGGGGGGGGGGGGGGAGAAGGAGTAATTCTAGAATTTAACAGAACAATCAATTCAATTACCTAACAATACATAAGATAATTCATATCTGATAAAATACTCACGGATAGATCTTTTAGAAATTTAAAATCTGAGACTTGTGTAAAATTAGAACAAAACAATTTTATTTATTATTGTGTGCATATTTACTAATCTACTGCATGTAACAAATTACGGAATACTAAGTCCACTATCAAGAGCTGGTAAACAATTTTTTAAAACAAGAATTAAAACAATAAATATTCCTGAAAGACTTACTGAAATGACTTGGACACTGACACGGTTCCCAGCACAGTTGACTTTAGCACAGATAATTGAACCAAAGCCTGGAATTACTTCTGCTAAATTTTTGGGGCTACTGTGAGCTTTTGCTTCCCTGGAATTTTTAGTTTAATAACATTTTACGCAGTTGATAAATATTTAATTTTATAAACAGTACAATACTACATTCAAGTTAATAAAAAAGTACTTTTAAAAAAGATTGGATGTAATCTATACAAACCTCCTTGAAAGATCGTAGACACGAAGGATACCTAGATTTGTTGCCACTACCAAATAGACACCACAAATGTCAAGGCTAACTGGGTGACCTTCTGGTTCAGCAAAGGTTATCACCTGTTTAACTGTCCCCTGGGAAAAAAAACATAAAAGATTAAAGAACATTTTTGCAGCATTCACAACTAAGGCCCTACTACTATATCAGTAGTAGATCTATAAGCAGATTTTCGTACTACATTAATTGTTTATTCATTCTTAATCTCTAATTAATCTTAGATTAAGTAATCACTTAGGTAACAACCATTAGCAGTAAGTCAATTATATAAGGATAAACATAACACATCAAAATTGTCTTAATAAATTCAATTTTAAAGGTACATAGCTTAAACATGAATGTGTATGTAGTGTAAGTAAAAAATATAATTTATGATCTACCATACATATAGAGCTACAAACTATTTGAGACATAGAGCACATAAGGGTAATTATATCAGTTGTTTAAACTTATTTAACGTTATACATACTTGAAAAGTGCGAACTTGTACTTTATTTTGCTCTATTGTGTACACATTCTGTTCATTAAGGGAAATAACCATTGCATCGGTAACAAATGAGCCTGAAACAAAATTTCAAACGCAATAGCTTTAGGATAGACAGCAACTTGAGAAACATTAGGACAGGATTAATTAAAGAATGTAAAAAAAAAAGCTTTTTAAATACAATTTTAGCCATACAATTTCAGGCTTGAATTAACTTCTAATATATTTGTTTTAAATTGACTTTTATAGTGAGTTAAATTCACATTACCTGCTGCCATAATTTGTGTCTTGTCAGGGGAGTACTCATAAATAATAACTCTTTTTCCATTCCAAACTGCTAAGGCATCCTAAAATAAATGTAAAACATGCTTATTTTTATATTCAAAGCAAGAGAAATACTTCACATTGTTTATAGAATGAGCTAAAAAGTTATTATCAAAAGCGGTATAGCTCAACATTATAGAGAAAAAATAGTGACAAGGCTTACCTTAGTAGTACATATTCCCTTGACCTGGATCTCTGTCTTTAAATCATGATGGACACCTGTCCCAAACATTTCAATACTTAGAGCACCTGGTCCATACTGGACAACTGCTATCTGAAATGGACAAGGGGGGCACTTTACTAATGTGTTTACATTTTGAGTACCTGCTATAAGCCCCCCTGTGAAAAAGTCCACTTTAACAAACCTAGACCCAACTGTAAACAATTAGCTATACAAAACATGCGCCCACATGCAAACACTCAACTACAGGTATACCTGAGCTTACCTGATCTCTGTAGCTGAAACTCATGACGTGCTCACTGAGAATGTAAACACTGGCAATTGTGTTGACGGCCATCAGACCTTTCGTGCTGCTCCACTGGGGAAGGTAAGACAGAAGCTCACATTATACTATTTATACAAGCAAGCTATAAATTTAAAAAAAACCCATGTCCTATAGAAAAAGAAGATCAAACACTATAAAGCTGGGCCTATGTACCTCTATTTGTCGTACAGGTCCCTCCACAGTGGCAGGAGGCTGGAGCTTCCACTTCTCATCCCCTTCCAGTTTCCTGCTGCCAGCCACAGCGGAAAACTTCCACAGTGCAATGTTGCCCAAGTTTGTCCCTCCAGCCAGGACTCCACTTTCTTTGTTGTAAGCAAGGCACATGATAGTCTCAGTGGTGTTGTAGCCAGAGTTCCCTTCTAAGGTTAGAATGTAGTTGTCATCTTGGTCCAGGTCCCACATTCTAGCACAAGCAGAATGAATCTCAGGTTAATTAGGTTAATTAAGGTGTAAATCTTCTCATAATCTATATAACTAAATTTATGGAACAATACACCAGTGTTAAACTTTTGTAGAGTGGAAATATAGTTAAACATGATCTAACCTATGACTATCTTAAAAAAAATTGAGAGTAGAAACTTCTAAATGAAGAAAAACTACTATTTAATCCTGCTATGTTGGCATATTGTGACTTTGACTTGAATTAGATGTAATCAAATTACCTGACCACTGTTTCACCAGTCGCTGTAGCTAAAATTCCTTTACCAGCCCAAATAAATGTCGGGTTCTCAGATTTTCCACTTAATTTAACCTGTAACAAGTTTAAAAGTTCATCAAACAATGTATAGCTGTAAATGAGCTAAGATTCTAGTTTAAAGTGCTGAACAGTTTATTATTTTTATACTAAGTATTTTTTTAAAAATAGGAATAAAGATAAGAAAGATTGAAGAAGATCAATGAAACAAATTAAAACTAAAAAACTATAATTTAAAAAAAACAACAGGATGACAAATACAAAACAGACCTTTAGGATTTCTTTAGTATCACTCTCCCCAAAGATAGCATGCTGTGTCAACATTAAATTCTGTGTGATGGTAACAAGATAGTTTTTGTCTTCATAAAATAAAAGTTTTTTAACTGGGGCTTCAACTGAAAAGCACTGGGTACATCTACCTTGGTCATTCATGAAATACACACCACCTGTAAAATACATTTTCAAAAAATGAAAGCACTTTAAAAAAATACTAATGATTTGAGGGCTTTTCCTCAAATAAATCTAGTACTAATTATAGCTATCTAAATTGTACAAGGAAATTATTACCACTTGCGCCTCCAATAAAAAATAAGAGAGATTCTTGTGGACCAAAAGGAGAAGGTGTCATTTTATTTTTGCCTCCCCTCTTCCAGTTAAACATATCCAGTGCTGTCTCATCTCCACTCACAGCTGCTCTAGCAAGGCTACTGATGTCCCTACATTTTACAAGTTCAGTGATTAAACTTCTTTAGCTAAAATTAATAAATTATGTCTAATTAATTACTTATATTGATCTCTGAAATTTAAATGAAAAATATTGTTTTACTCAAATTTTAAGAGTTACATTTGATATTTTAAATAAAACAAGATGGAGTAACTTGCATTGCAGGATCAGGAGGAGGTGCTGGCTTCAAGATGATTTGAGAAATAGGTTCCTGGACATGGTTTTGAATTGGGTCATTACCTAGATGTCCTTTACTGTCAGATTTCCAGCTAATGAGCACTCCAGTCTGATAAGGTAAAAGACATTATTTAAGTTAAAAAAATGTGTTTAATGTAAGCTATTTAAAAACTAAAAAAAAAGCTATTTTTGCTTACAGTGTCTGCAGAAAGTAATCTTGTCCCATTTGAACTCCAGTGCATAGCTGAAATTTCAGAACGATGAAGATGTGGAGCCTCTATAAGTTCTTTATCTGACTCATTCCATAGAGTAAGTTCTCCAGTCTCCCACCCTACAGCTATAATTTTACGAGTGGGATGCCAAGCGTAGGATGTTGGCTGACCTTGATGAGCTATAGGTTTGTGGGGAAGTTTTTCTCCCTAGCAAGAAGAAAGCTCTTTATTTTATTAATTATTTTACAAGAATAGAAATATATTAAAGCCTTCACTAAAACAATAAGTAAGAAACTATTTTTAATAATGTGTAATGAAATCTTTTAAATATATCTCTTTAAATTGTAATTAATTGTGTGTTTTAATGGAATACCGAATGTACCTCTTCATTAAAAAGTCTAACACTGCCTCCATGATCCTCATTGTTAGAAAAAACAGCAAGTATTGGTGAGCTTTTAAGCCAACCAATATTTACATTTATCCCAGCACCTTCTGTATCTAGTCTGTGGTCAAAATGCACTGCCATTTCAAAAGTATACTTGCTGTCAGTCTCTAATGAAGCTTTACTACTTTTAGAATGTTCATAACTATCTATGATGGTTCAATAAAATCATCTGGAAGAAAGAAAAATATTATTATAAATGCAAACCTCAAGTTTTAACATTTTCCCTTGTAGCCATTTTATCTTACTCATTAGACATTATTGAGCTTATTTATGGTTTGATTATTTTCAAAGTAAAATTGTGTAGGCCTATATAAAAATAATAGACTTCTCTATGTGTTTTTAACTTGCTTAGTCAAATTTCTGATGAAAAAGATTTAATTTAATGAATTAAGTAAGAGTGTAGAGGTGGGTTTACATTAGGCGTAGGACTTTTTTTAGGACTGGTATTTGATTTAACAGTGATGTTCTATAGGCCTACAAATTTTACAAAAATAATTTGGGAAGTGTTATGCCCTATAGTAAATTTTATCTCAAACTTAACCCAAAAAAAAGTAACAGTATTAAATTAATTAAATTAGTGTTTCAAAGTAGTAGATCTAGATCTATATTTAATTTTTAAGAATGTGAATTATTGAATTAAAAATTAACATGAAATGGAATTTAAAATTTTAAAAGTAACATTCTCTGTCAGTGCAGTTTTTTGTATTCATTCAGTAAATGATTGAATGATGTTTTAGGGTTAACTTAGCACTTTAAACTTTAAGTATTTTTATACTAGTTTTAATAGTGGTCCATTGATGAGTGCTGCTGAGCCTGAGTCGAGTGCAGTCACTGCAGTGAGTGTGTCAGTGTTGAGTGTGTTGCTCGTCAGACGTCAACAAGTTGAAATAGTAGAGAATAAAAGTCTAACATAGTCATTAAAATATAACAACAATCATCTTGCTATTTATAATGTATATTCATTCATCCACTTACTTTAAATAAAATCATAAATTCGGCAGTAACATAGACGAAAGTAGATATCTGGTTTGATATGTTACCTTGGTAACTATGATGCCTAACCCGTATTGATGCGTTCCAGGTCCACAGTGTTTTGAAAAAATGCGTGACTCCGGAAGTAATATTTCATGGTGGGTAAAAAAAAATAAAAAATTAAAATTTGAGAAAAGGAAAGAAATACTGCATATTTCTGTCCTTAACAAATTAAATGCTTAATCAAATAATAAAAAAAAATGTACATATTTTTAAACGTAACAATATGATTCTGGGGGAAAAGTGTTATAATAGGAAGGGGAGGTGTCTTCATAGATGACGTCACTTTTTAAAAAGACATTTCAAGCAGTAGCTTTATTAGTAGCTTATATTGAGGCTTATATTGAGGCGAAGAGACCCCATTCGGCATCCGGGGGCGAACTTTCAAATTGCCCCCACCCCCTTTCATATATATATATATATATATATATATATATATATATATATATATATATATATATATATATATATATATATATATATATATATATATATATATATACCCTGTATATTTTACGACCAAAGCCCGAAGTACGGCAAAATGTTAGTATCCAAAATCCAAAATACTACTGTATGTATTATTTTGTGTGATTTAGCCCTCTATGATGCCATGGTGAGACTAGTATGAAATAACAAAATCCGTCCTCGAGCAACAAGACGGAACGGTCAAAAGACAATGCAGCGGTATAGATGCTGCCCGTATACTGCATACAGATTGGATGACATGGGCACAGAGGCGTAGCGACCCTTCCCGGCGTCCGGGGACAAACTTTCGATTTGCACACCCCCCCCCCCCCCGTCAAACTTTCTATTTGAACCCCCCCCCCTCGAACTTTTCGTTTACGCACCCCCCCCCCCCTCAAACTTTCAATTTGTTTTTCCAATTTGGGCGCCCCCCCCCCTAAGGTCGGCGCCCGGGGACATATGTCCCCCCCCTGTACGCCTCTGCATGGGCATCTGAAATTAGGGTCTATATTTTTTTTATCAACAAAAGGGGAATACCCAATGAAATTTCTCATTCTAGTCTGCTAACTCAATGTGCCAGATTTCTAAAGCATCAGAGACGAAATTCAGATCAGCAGACGCTGAAGATAATAATGTACGCATCGGTAGTTATCGTGTTAACAAAGGTCCTTTCAGTTGCCATGAACCTCGATGGCGCTCTCTGGAAGCTAAGAACAGAGCATGACGTTCTCAAAGAGTTGCGTACCTGAAGTGAGTTTTCCTTCCAGTACGAACAACTGTTCACAGATGTGTTCTGCCTGCTCGCACATAGTCAACAACACATGTAGACAAATCGTACAGGTCAATGAGTAACAACTGGTCTATTGATGGTGATTCAGACCAAGACGTTCAGTTTGGAATCAACAACTGTGAACTTTCTAAATCAATGTGCCGTTCAACTACATTGTCAAAATAAGTAATATATGTCGGAGAAAGAGGGTAACAATGTGTAACAGACACCAGAGAACGAATTGAGAGAGAGGAAATGTTGGTTGATGCGATTTGGGACAATTTACTTATTTTATAGTAAGGAAACTTTATAGAGTTAATTTGAAACATGGAAAGCCTGATTAACAGTTTTATTAAGTTTTTCAAAAATGTCGGCCAAACAGAATCGCCTTCCATTCCACTCGCTCTAACCTTATGCTATGTTACAGGTCAGATAGCCACTTACTAATCACAGATAGCCAGATAATGGTCGCTGATGTTGATATTGGTGAGACACATTGGGGGAGCTGCAATGTTAACATGTGTTTTTATTTAATATGGGGATCCGTTTGTCGCGGTCCTAATTAATTAACAGGGGCCATGAAAGTTGACACGGACATTATTGATAGTGGTTCAATTGCAGGTGGTTCATCAACTAGGATTCCCAACTATAGATGCCCTCTGCGCAAAAACCTACACCAGAACAACTTTTTAAATGTTTGTTTTTTTTTGTAATGTAGGTCAACTGCTGTTAAAAAAAAACAATGGATGAGTTAAATAAAGGACATGGGGTCATCCATAAATGACGTCACGCTTTTTTTGACGTTTTTTTTACCCCCCCCCCCCCCTCCGTCACACGTCGTCACAAAAAGCCAGACCCCCCCCCCCCCTAAAATGACGTCATACCTAAGCCTACAAAACCTCTCAAAATTGCTGTTGAATTTTTCTTAAAACATCGATATTTTTCCAAAATCTTGTCAGAACTCTGTCAACATAGAGTATTTTGATCAATTCCTACTACAATTTATTAAAACCGTTTTCTAAAACGCGAAATAACTGTTAAACTCGTTTTCTAACATTGCTTTTTTATAATACAAAAGCGTGACGTTACACCATCTAACCCCCCCCTCCCCCTCCACACACCATCACAAAATTACGGACCCCCCCCCTATAACTGTGACGTCATTTATGGACGACCCCCAAGACAACAGAGGTGTAACCGTGTATTACACACGAAGTTTTTTTTTTTAAATCTTATAATTGGTTCGTGAATGGGAATTTGAATCATTCTAAATTTAATCTCAAGGTAAACCACATTTAGTCTGCTCCATAGAATCCACATTACACCGAAAACAAGCCCCACTTTCCGACTTTCGTAATACGCCTGTAAACAAGGTCGTTCCACATTGATAGTATTTGAGAAGAGCAAATGAATTAGACCGTGTCCTCGCTTAAGCTAGCTACACATGTACACACAGCTTCGACACATTGTGCAAGGTTCCTACACTTTTTTAAAAACATGGACGTCTTTTTATTCGATCAACAAGTTTTTCTTTTTCACGTCAGCGTAAGCGTTTTATTTTCCTTACAACGATAATTTCTTACTCCTGTTGGCTATTTATATCTGATACAAGCAATAATCATTCACATCTATTGATTTCTATTTCCTATTTCTAACGTATTTGGAACGACATTCCTTAGCTAACACCTCCGATGATACACTTTGGCGATATTGTGTCTTTTCAGATTTTCAGTAGTCCTAATTGTCATTTTAAAAAATCAAACTTAATAAAATTATTATTTTAATCTAAGTGGGGGGGGGGGGGGGGGGGGGAGGGGCGACTTGAACGTATATGTTCTATATAGTGAAGTTTAGGAACCGTAATTATAAAGGTGCATGACGTTAGATTTTAATTTCTAGTTGTGGACCTACTCCAGCACTATCATAGGCGGATCTGCATAGATGGTGCCCCTAGGTCGCAGCCAGGTGTTCGGGGTTGGGGGATACCGTTAATATGACTAGAGTATTTAAGCCCCAAATAAATTGCCAAATATGTTGATTCCTTTTGCACAAATTGTGAGAAATTATATGTATCCTGTGTCGTTACGAGGTCGGATTTCACCAGGTGTGATAGCTTTTGGTGTCAGTCCAAAAATGTAGCTAATTTTTCTATAGTTTGTTACTCATTCAAATGCTCTGAAATTTATTTTCTTGCTTTTCTTAAATTGCTGTTCACAACCCGATCCGGGACGGTACTGTGCGTACTACACCACAACCCCAGGGACTTTAATAAATGGAAAAGATGTCTATAGGGCTTGATGTTATAAACCAATGCATCACGAGTAACTGATGTAAATTCAATTATAATTTGGTGACCTTTTTGCGCTTTAGTAACTGTGACTTTTTGCCCCATGCCTTGTGTAAATCTGCCCCAGCATAGGTCGAGACTTACTTGACTTAATCCTCTTTACTCATCAACCCTAACTTTCCATTTCGTCCGGTCCACGGCTGTTGATACATTGCAGCCTCCTAAGACATCCACTTCAGTTCTTCAAGGAGACTCTTCAGGTCTGTCTTGGGCACCCTCTCTTTCGCCCATCATGGGGGCTCGACTCAAGCGTCTGGCGTGTCACATTAAAGTGAGCCTTTCGTAATGACAAGTAAATGTAAACAAGGCAGGCGCTGTATTCTTCGGATCATAGTTGTTGGGGCGCAAGTTGGTCCACTCTATCGCCCAGACGCCGCAGGGCGTGCTTTATGAAAGGCTTGAGTGCATGTTAACCCCCCCTCCCTAATAGTGAAGTAAAATACACCACGGCGACCGCGCAGGTGTCAGGGACGTCACGGGGCGTTCTCTGGAGCCACCGGCTATACTACCGCAGCGGGTACGGGTACAGTCACTAGTCCGGTTTTGTAATTGAATGCCCTGTATTGCCATGTCCTTCTTGTACAATGTTCTTTAAAATGAACGTAGGTGCAATAGTGCTCACGCGGGGAGTTCGGGACACCGAATTGCACCCTATTTGTCGCGCCTCTTTCGATATAGTGAACGATTAACATAGCCAATCGTATCCATAGTGTATCGCACTCGTTCAAACGACTGTCTGCGCCATAGGGCTCACGAGAAAGTCCGTGGCGTGTTATTGCAATTTGTCAGGGCGATGGCCCTTCCAAACTTAAATACTGTTTTTCGCGGAAATCACACCATGAGTAATCTCAACAACTCCTAAAAGTTTCGTGGCGATTGGAAAATGTAGTAATGCATAAAGGACATACGCACACACACACACTTTCATTTTTATATATCCAACATGTATATAGGTTTAATATTTGCTGAATTGTATGATTTCATCAAAGCTAGCTGGGTTAGTGTCAGTGGTGTATATGATGCTCCTTCAATTAGTTCTAAATAAAATATTGGATTGAAAATGTATCAAATCGTCACCCCATGGGACGCGATCCATTGATTGGGATACCATGCGCTGATATGATATAGATCTTGATTAGATCTAGTTTCTTCAGGCATCTCTTCGGGGGGGGGGGGGGGGGTCTCAGTGTCCGATTGTAGGAAAAAAAGTCACAGGAAAAAAAAAACACAGGAAAAAAAATCAGAAAAAAGTCACAGGAAAAAAAGTCACAAGAAAAAAAGTCACAATTATATATTTGCATGGAATTTGTTAATACTTTTATGAATTATATATTGAGAGAGTGAAAAATTAACTTAAGATTAATTAAATATAATGTTATGTGTTTAGGTTATATCAGAGGCGTAGCCACCCTTCCCGGCGCCCGGGGACAAACTTTTCGATTTACACCCCCCTCTCGAGATTTCCATTTGCACCCCCCCCCCCTCAAACTTTTGATTTGCACCCCCCTAAACCTTTCAATTTATTTTTCCAACCCATTTTGGCGCCCCCTAAGGTCGGCGCCCGGGGACATATGCCTCCCCCCCCGCCCCCCGCCCCCTCGCTACGCTACTGGGTTATATACGCATGGTAATGTTTATAATTCACCTAAAATATTTAGTTTTAAGTAGGCCTATGTAGATTGTAATTATGTAAAACATAATATTAATAGCATTTAATAGAATGTTCCAACGTCCTCGGTTTTCATCGTGTTTTTTAAAATATACTAACATTAAATTACCATGAAATGGTAAATTCATCTGACTTGCTGCTCTCGACTCATGGCAACGATAGTTATGATTAGTTCAACCACGTTTACTGCCCACATTTATCACGCTCATTACATAACAAAGCATAGGATCAAAACAGAAAGCCGACACGGTTCAAAGGCTGTCATTGGCACAAAACGTCCACAACACACAATATGTTCGGACATGGCCGACTGAGAAGAGGCCGACCGTAGAATAGCCTACGGCAAAACATATGCAAAACCCAATGATGTGCCTAAATTTCTTATATAATTAGCTTTTCTGCCGCGTATTTAACTAAATACGCAACATAAGTTGAGATTGTTGTGTAAATTATCTAAGAGTATTTTACTTACAACAGTTATAAACCATAATGCTTTTAACGTCTATAAATAATATATGCTATCAAAAAATATAACCCACAACAATAAAAAAAAATTACAATTTGCAACAAATAAATCAAAATATTTCGGAAAAGATTTTTGTGACTTTTTTCCGTGACTTTGTTTCTGTGACTTTTTTTCCGATAAAATTTTTCCATTGTGACTTTTTTTTCTGTGACTTTTTTACCTAGCAAAAACTGTGACTTTTTTCTGTGGGTTTTTTTTTCCTGTGACTTTTTTCCGTTCAACCAGTGTCCGTCCCCACCCCGGGAAATTTACTCCCCCTCCCCTCAATATCAAGTGCCCCGGAGAAGAAACACTGGATCTAGATCTAAATCTAGAACTAGAATCTAGATCTTGCCACTAATGCCACTCAGGCATATCAAGATGTCTTAAAAAGTCGAACTTCCGGAATAAAAGTTTAAGCCGCCATAAAAATTTTCTTTTTTTGATTTAATGAAAAGAACAAGTTGGCATAATCTAGCTAGATCTAGACTTCTAGATCTAGATCTAGATTTAGATATAGACTAGAAATCAAGTAAGTCTAAGATTAGTTGCGAACTCTTAATTTGTCAGCTTAGTTAGTAACTAGATCTAGAATCTAGATCTAGATCTAAATCACTTAATCAGTCTCTACTAGCTAGATCTAGACTAGATCTAGATCTAGATCTAGATTATTAATATTAATCTAGATCAGCGTAGCGAGGGGGGGGGGGGGACATATGTCCCCGGGCGCCGACCTTAGGGGGCGCCAAAATGGGTTGGAAAAATAAATTGAAAGGTCGAGGGGGGTGCAAATCGAAAGTTTGGGGGGGGGGGGGGTGCAAATCGAAGTCTTGAGGGGGAGTGCAAATGAAATCTTGAGGGGGGGGGTGCAAATCGAAAAGTTTGTCACTTGTCAAGATCTATAAATCTAGATCTAGAGAATCTAGATCTAAAATCTAGATTTCTAGATTTATCTAGATCTAGAATAATCTAGATTAGATTAGAATCTCTATATGATTATAATAAATTATAATTGATTATAAATATTATATAACTATTTTTTTTCGTTTTTTGATATATTTTTTTGGGGGGGGGGGGAGAAACACGGTTTCTATATATATAAATTCCATTTTGTCGGGGGGGGGGGGTGGGAGGAAGGGAGGGAGTAGACTTCCTTCAAGCCCCCACCCCACCCCCCCCCACCCCCCGAAGAGATGCCTGGAAAAAACTCTGATCTAGTCTAGATTATTCTAGAATCTAGATCTTAAATAAATAACTTAATAATAATACAAAAAGACTTAATTTTAATACTTTCATTTAACTTATTTATTATTCATAATTACTTCTAGATCTAGAATGTTGATCTAGATTATTATATATATATATATATATATATATATATATATATATATATATATATATATATATATATATATATATATATATAATACATTTTATTTTTCTGACCTATTTCAGGCAATATAGTAGAATTTATTCTCGTTTTTAAAAAAAGAATACAATTTCTAGCAGAAGAAACTTACAATGTCGCTAGGTACTTCAGTTGATATCATACCTTTGAGTAAGTATAGCGAGGAAGATGTTTCTATACCTTTACTGAGGTTAACCAAGAAGGAAAATGTTGATCCTTTGAAAGACACTATCTCATATTCAGACAATTTGGATAATCAATCAAATGAAACAGAATCAAGTGGGCCAGTGTTAAGGAAGGATAAATTAAGTTTACCCAATTCATCAGTTGATAGATCAGCTCGTCTTACTCTATCAAATTTTATTTCAGCACATGCTAGTTGTAAGTATACACACAATTTATACTATGTCCCCTACAAGCCATTTGTTATTGTACAAAGCTTAACTATTTTAAAATGAAGCTGATCAATTTTAATAACCATTAATTAAGTTGATGTCTCTTTTTCATTTTAAACTTGGATAAGCCTTGTTTTTTTTTTGTTTTTTTACAATATCTATTGTTTTATTGTTGTTTCTTGTAGTTGAATTGTTATTATTGTTTAATTTTGAATAGCAATGGATGCAGATGACCTAAGGCTTTTAATTGTGAATGAATTACCTAGTTCCCATAAAAGACGATGCGCTATTTATGAACAAAGGTACAGTAGCTAAAAAGTTCATATCAATTATTTAAAAACTTTTATACTCCTTTTATCTCTCAGTTAAAAAATACAAACTTTATTTAAAACCCTATGTACCTTGAGCTAGTAGTCAGCCATGCCCCTGCCTTTAATGGTTTACCCTAGCTTGCCACTGTTGTCGGTACAGGGTTTTATTACACTACAAATGTATTACAGAAATAAACCACCTATAGTCTGTGCACAAGAATTAAATGATACCAAAAAAGAGACTCCAACTGATATCTAGATCTACAAGAAGCAACTATTTTGAAATTCACACACATAACAAGACAAGCGTTAGAATGTAACCCTCAAAGAAAACTAGAAGATAAAAATAACTTGGAGATGATCCGTCAGAACTGAAATATTTAGCATATTGCAAACACATGATGTAAGACCGTAGCAGATTAATTATTTATTTGTTTATTTATTTTAGGTTAAGCATGCACAGAGTATCAGTGAGGCCACAATCAAATGCCTATAGGAATATTAATCAAGATAATGATCTTATACATGGTCTAGCAGATTCTATTGTCAATAAAAATGATTTAAACATCCGTAAGTACTGACCCTATACAAAAAATCTTCAATGCAAAAATGAAACTAAGTACTTAAAATACAAAGATTTTTGTGAAAATATTGATTGGTAAAATGGTTTGATTTAATAAGTTGTAACTTTATGTTCCAGCAACTTTCAACAATCGGAAAAGATTATCAACTGTCCATGATAGTCACCAAGATTATTCCCTTCGAAACCGCATTACTTCACTGCGAGATATTAGAAATAGTGCCATCCGAAGTACATCAGTTGATGTAGCACATAATACAGATGATGATGACAGCTCACTCCAATATGAGTTTGTTCCTGTCAAGTAAGTATTACCAGTTTAAAAGTTATAAGTTGCATGTTCCCTTCCCTGATTGATGGTATACTATCATGATTTAACCTCCTTTAATGAGCTCATTTCAAAGAGAATGATTTTCAAAGTGTATCTTTAATATTTGAAGTTAACACAAACTAGACATGGTTTAAATATTTTGGCCTTTATGCCAAATGCTCATCGTAAATAGTTTTAATGTCTATAAACTTGTCATGCCTGTTACATTGATATTCATCATATCTGTTTATCTTTAAGCTATGCACCTCTTGGTTGATCCATTAGTGCAATAAGTAAAAAAGGATGGGGGGGGGGGGGGGGGGGAAGGTGTTAACAAATAACATAGTTATTAAAAAAAAATGAACGGCTTGTTCAAATAGATTAACTATTATCAAGTTAGTTTTAGTAAGAATACAGTGAAATCATACACCTATTGTGAACCTCATGATATTAAATTATCTTCAATGATTACTGACACATAATGCTATGTGAAACTCACCAAAACTTGTGTATTAAATTTAGCTAAGATAGTTATGTGTTGATAAGAGTGGGGACATGTTGAAATAGTTATGTATTTATAAGAGTGGGGACATGTTGACATAGTTATGTGTTGATAAGAGTGGGGACATGTTGACATAGTGTTGATAAGAGTGGGGACATGTTGACATAGTGTTGATAAGAGTGGGGACATGTTGACATAGTTATGTGTTGATAAGAGTGGGGACATGTTGAAATAGTTATGTGTTGATAAGAGTGGGGACATGTTGACATAGTTATGTGTTGATAAGAGTGGGGACATGTTGACATAGTGTTGTTAAGAGTGGGGACATGTTGACATAGTTATGTGTTGATAAGAGTGGGGACATGTTGACATAGTGTTGATAAGAGTGGGGACATGTTGACATAGTGTTGATAAGAGTGGGGATATGTTGACATAGTTTTGTGTTAATAAGAGTGGGGATATGTTGACATAGTTTTGTGTTAATAAAAGTGGGGTCATCTTGACATAGTTATGTGTTGATAAGAGTGGGGACATGTTGACATAGTTATGTGTTGATAAGAGTGGGGACATGTTGACATAGTGTTGATAAGAGTGGGGACATGTTGACATAGTTATGTGTTGATGAGAGTGGGGACATGTTGACATAGTTATGTGTTGATAAGACTGGGGACATGTTGACATAGTGTTGATAAGAGTGGGGATATGTTGACATAGTTTTGTGTTAATAAGAGTGGGGATATGTTGACATAGTTTTGTGTTAATAAAAGTGGGGTCATCTTGACATAGTTATGTGTTGATAAGAGTGGGGATATGTTGACATAGTTATGTGTTGATAAGAGTGGGGACATGTTGACATAGTGTTGATAAGAGTGGGGACATGTTGACATAGTTATGTGTTGATAAGAGTGGGGACATGTTGACATAGTGTTGATAAGAGTGGGGACATGTTGACATAGTTATGTGTTGATAAGAGTGGGGACATGTTGACATAGTTATGTGTTGATAAGAGTGGGGACATGTTGACATAGTTATGTGTTGATAAGAGTGGGGACATGTTGACATAGTGTTGATAAGAGTGAGGACATGTTGACATAGTTATGTGTTGATAAGAGTGGGGACATGTTGACATAGTGTTGATAAGAGTGGGGACATGTTGACATAGTTATGTGTTGATAAGAGTGGGGACATGTTGACATAGTGTTGATAAGAGTGGGGACATGTTGACATAGTTATGTGTTGATAAGAGTGGGGACATGTTGACATAGTTATGTGTTGATAAGAGTAGGGACATGACAAAAATATATGTTGATAAGAGTGGGGACAGTTATTTACATATCATTATCCCAACTGTGTTGAGTTCGCATGAAAACTATGCAAAGATTGTTATTGATTGATGTCAGGTAACACACAAGGAAGTTATAAGAAGGTTAATTAAAAATGTGTTCTAAAACTGTATTGAACATTGTCCGGGTAATGTGACAAGACTGCTGAACATTTGTGCAGTGAAGTACGGTAATGTGACCATGCTGCTGGACGTTTGTGCAGTGAAGTACGGTAATGTGACGAGACTGCTGGACGTTTGTGCAGTGAAGTACGGTAATGTGACGAGGCTGCTGGACGTTTGTGCGGTGAAGTACGGTAATGTGACGAGGTCCCTGCTAGCAGTGTTTACTCTCCTGCCTGCACTCACATGCCGCTACAACAATGCTAATCAAAGCTGCTAGTGGGGGAGGGAGGGGGAAGTGGTCTCTAGGGGAACTCACTGTGATACCAGTTACTTGATACAGTCGTGTGCGCTCATTATTAGCCCATCACTTGATGGGAAGTCATTCATTCGTATTGGTGGAAAGTTTATTGGTATAAACTAGAAAATGGAGTGTAATACTTCACGTTCTTTATAGGAATTAAATTTACTGTGAATTATTTCCCGCGCAGTGTACACTGGATTTTAAAATTTTCATTTTATTGCGTGGATTTAGTCGTCAATATTTGTGTTGATTCTTGGGTGGATTTCTGTTGTAGTAAAGCAAAGTATTGCTATAGTTCACGCCCACCCATACATTTTCTTTCACTGAGCATTTTAATTAATTATATATGGCTTACGTTGTTTTTATGGTGTTGTACGCCGCGGCATTATGGCAATACAACACAAAGATTCTAATCAATAGGTTCGTTAACTCTGTCTGAGACATCAGTTTAGATAAGTTATGTTTCTTGTACTTTGGCTTGTGTGTAACAAAACGTACTCATACAAGTACTTACACACATACTGAGAGGCACAGACTAGTACACATACACGCGCACACCCATACACATCACGCGCACACTCAAGCAAACATATGCACGCACACAAGCACACATACACGCGCACACATACACTCACGCACGCAGCCAATGTCGTGACATTTGGTAAAAGGAAACTGTGCCTGGGTCTGATCATGTTCAAGATGTTCAGGGTGGGTGGGTCGTATCTCTCTACAGCCTCGCATCAAGCTGTAGTCATGTAGTGTACACACGGCTGTATAGACCTGCCCTCTAACTAAACTGTTCACTTGTTCAGGGTGGGTGGGTCGCATCAAGCTGTAGTCATGTAGTGTACACACGGCTGTATAGACCTGCCCTCTAACTAAACTGTTCACTTGTTCAGGGTGGGTGGGTCGCATCTCTACAGCCTGGCATCAAGCTGTAGTCATGTAGTGTACACACGGCTGTATAGACCTGCCCTCTAACTAAACTGTTCACTAGTTCAGGGTGGGTGGGTCGCATCTCTACAGCCTGGCATCAAGCTGTAGTCATGTAGTGTACACACGGCTGTATAGACCTGCCCTCTGACTAAACTGTTCACTTGCAAGCTGTAGTCATGTAGTGTACACACGGCTGTATAGACCTGCCCTCTAACTAAACTGTTCACTAGTTCAGGGTGGGTGGGTCGTATCTCTCTACAGCCTCGCATCAAGCTGTAGTCATGTAGTGTACACACGGCTGTATAGACCTGCCCTCTAACTAAACTGTTCACTAGTTCAGGGTGGGTGGGTCGCATCTCTACAGCCTCGCATCAATCTGTAGTCATGTAGTGTACACACGGCTGTATAGACCTGCCCTCTGACTAAACTGTTCACTTGCAAGCTGTAGTCATGTAGTGTACACACGGCTGTATAGACCTGCCCTCTAACTAAACTGTTCATTAGTTCAGGGTGGGTGGGTCGCATCTCTACAGCCTCGCATCAATCTGTAGTCATGTAGTGTACACACGGCTGTATAGACCTGCCCTCTAACTAAACTGTTCACTTGTTCAGGGTGGGTGGGTCGCATCTCTACAGCCTCGCATCAATCTGTAGTCATGTAGTGTACACACGGCTGTATAGACCTGCCCTCTAACTAAACTGTTCATTAGTTCAGGGTGGGTGGGTCGCATCTCTACAGCCTCGCATCAATCTGTAGTCATGTAGTGTACACACGGCTGTATAGACCTGCCCTCTAACTAAACTGTTCACTTGTTCAGGGTGGGTGGGTCGCATCTCTACAGCCTGGCATCAAGCTGTAGTCATGTAGTGTACACACGGCTGTATAGACCTGCCCTCTAACTAAACTGTTCACTTGTTCAGGGTGGGTGGGTCGCATCTCTACAGCCTGGCATCAAGCTGTAGTCATTTAGTGTACACACGGCTGTATAGACCTGCCCTCTGACTAAACTGTTCACTTGCAAGCTGTAGTCATGTAGTGTACACACGGCTGTATAGACCTGCCCTCTAACTAAACTGTTCACTAGTTCAGGGTGGGTGGGTCGCATCTCTACAGCCTCGCATCAATCTGTAGTCATGTAGTGTACACACGGCTGTATAGACCTGCCCTCTAACTAAACTGTTCACTAGTTCAGGGTGGGTGGGTCGCATCTCTACAGCCTGGCATCAAGCTGTAGTCATGTAGTGTACACACGGCTGTATAGACCTGCCCTCTGACTAAACTGTTCACTTGCAAGCTGTAGTCATGTAGTGTACACACGGCTGTATAGACCTGCCCTCTAACTAAACTGTTCACTTGTTCAGGGTGGGTGGGTCGCATCTCTACAGCCTGGCATCAAGCTGTAGTCATTTAGTGTACACACGGCTGTATAGACCTGCCCTCTAACTAAACTGTTCACTTGCAAGCTGTAGTCATGTAGTGTACACACGGCTGTATAGACCTGCCCTCTAACTAAACTGTTCACTAGTTCAGGGTGGGTGTGTCGCATCTCTACAGCCTCGCATCAATCTGTAGTCATGTAGTGTACACACGGCTGTATAGACCTGCCCTCTAACTAAACTGTTCACTTGCAAGCTGTAGTCATGTAGTGTACACACGGCTGTATAGACCTGCCCTCGAACTAAACTGTTCACTAGTTCAGGGTGGGTGGGTCGCACCTCTCTACAGCCTCGCATCAAGCTGTAGTCATGTAGTGTACACACGGCTGTATAGACCTGCCCTCGAACTAAACTGTTCACTTGTACGCGCG